CGCGCCAGAGTGTTGTTATTCAACTGGGAAAGAGTGCGATTTGACTTCACCGCAGTGGCGGTGGTTTCGCGCGCGATCGCAATGTTGTGCTTTTGTGGGATTTTTTCCATGCAACTTCACACAAACACAGAGTGTCAAAATTTACATTACACTAAAGATGCCAATCGCGATTCGCGCAAAAGAGAGTTTCAATCATTCGCTATTTTTTATCATTTACTAGTTGTGATCGTAAATTCAGAGATCGCTTGTTAAGATTGCCGAAAGTGTCGTAGGTTGTCTCTGAAGAAAAACCGCGATCTTCGATCTCTGCCAACTTGTGCACATTGAAGATCATATGATGTCTAATAGCTTCTTATTTGATCATGTCTTTCTCGCTTTCTCGCGCCATCTAATGCGTGGAAACTTTAGTATTTTTACTTTAGGTTTATATAAACTACAAGAAAATGTAGCGAAGATCATTCGTGGACGCACTGTAACCGGTTGAGATCGCGCTTTCAAGCTTTTCCAGCAACGTGAGCTTTCGCTACAGAGTTGGAATCTCAGGTGGGCAAATGAAAGTCCAACCGATTGGAAGCTCTTCCTACTTATCCGTCTTTTTCTGCTTTTTCTCACATTTCACGACTTATCGAGGTGTGGTAATGCGATCACATTTGGTCTCATTGCGTACTCATAATGGCCCAAATATAGATTGGACGACGAGTATTGGAGTACCGGAATGGAATTTCTTTCACTGGAATACCTTTTTCTGCACAATACGGTGCGCTCAAGGTGTGTATGATGGAATGCGCGAAGGAAGTATAATTGAATATCCACACCTTGTATAATTTTTAATAATACTTTCTGCACTCCGCGTGGAGACATTTAGCTGTTATTAATGGCTCATTTCTCGGCGATCAGCCATGCATTTATAATAATCTCTTTAACTTTTTGGCACAAACTGACTTATGGCGGAGTTTATTTTTAAAAGATCACCATCGCTCTGCGATTGCCTTGAACTGCTTGCGTCAGAAGTGGAAAAAATGCCGGGAGAAGAGTGTTGTGATTCCTCAATCCGTGGAAAAAGCGCTAAAAAATCACCTCTCCAAAAGCCAACCTGCAGAGAGATTCCATCGATATTTCTTAATATTTATGTGCATGAATGGCATGTGTGATTGTGGAGAAATAAGACGAAAGATATAGTGATTAAGATGACGCTGAAATAGCATTAATTTTTATGCGTGAATATGTCGTAAAGTGCCTTTTACTAGGGGCTGTTCAATAGCCAATTGACCGACATTCCTAATTTTAGCAGGTTCACCAGTTTTTACGCTACAACTTTGTCCTCATGATTTCCCAATGCGCAGTTCTTTATGCTAATATTTAGAGACGATAATTCGACAATACGAATTCGCCAACTCTGCGGCGCTGAAGGAGTGCAAATTAATGAATAGCTAATGAGCTAGAATTTATAAATAGCTCAACTGCTAGAGTCACTCTTCAGTCTGGCGTGGCGTTCTGCATTCCACTGAACAAAAGACATCAATGCCTAGGCGACGAACCCGCGTGGAGACATTTGAAAAACAATGCGAGGATGTTCCTCTTCCTCTCACTTCTCCACACATCACAATATTTCATATATGATCGCCCAGAACAACCATTGCACAGCGAATTGAGCAATTGGAGGAGAGAGAAAAAGAGCAAATCCACCGAAGAAACATGGAGAATTACACATTTAATGCGAGATTTTACTGTGGAAAAAAATCTCCCACGTTGTTCACACAACTGTGTGAATTTGTCACGTCACACTAAAGAGTTCTTCGCACACTCGCGCAGACGATCATTGTGTCGGTGGAAATCTCTCTTTCTTGAGTTCTGCGGCGCGGTTCTCCATTTAGATAAATTTATTGCGTTATGTAAATGGGAATATGGATGGAAATGAAACACCCATGAAGTGGTGTTCTTGAGGAGGAGAAAATCTCTGAAGTTGAATTTTAACACATGAAAATGTATTTTTTATAATCCAGATAGCACACTTTATTGCTAATGCACTTTGGTAATGATTTAAGGAATTTTTCCACGATGACTCAGAAGCTGTTTTGGGCGGTTTTAGAAGAACAAAATAGAGTCTTCTTCGTGGCAAAAAAATTATGAATAGATGTTATTCAAGAAAGGTGTGTTAAAGAATCGGATTTGGATTTGCATATTGGCGGAAAGAAGTCCAGTAAAGACTGGTTTTCAGTATGATTTGATAATGAAATAATCAAAATCTCACTCAGACAAAGAATATCGCGAAATTCAGTCACACAAGAGGGAATTTCACGTGAAAGTATTCAATGTGTAATTCACATTGAACTCATTGGAAAGTGTTTTGAGGAAAAATGAATAAATTTTTTGGCTTTACAATCGCACTTTTCTCTCCCCAGACGAGTGTAATTCGAGCTATCAATAATTTTGTGTGCGGTGAAAATTAAATTTCCGGCATTTCTTTCGTAGTTTCATGCGTTGAGTCAATTCAATTGCCAATCAAATTAATATCTCAGCACTCATATCTAATATGAACACCATAAATGGTAGAAGAAGATCCGCACTGGGAATATTAAAGCAAGTGAAAAATGTTCGACTGACTTCCTCTGCGTGGCGAAGAAATGTGATTTCGTTGGCATACTAAATAATGTAGCTCTAATGGGCAAACAAAGAGATTCTAATTAACTTGCTGATTCTCACGTCTTTTCGTCTCTCTTTTTGGGGAAGAACACATTATTTCGAGTGTGATAATGAGATGGAATGTCAGAGACATAAATTTCAACAATTCAACTAAATGGTAATTCACTTAACCCAAATTCATGTCTATTTGAGAGTGAAAATTCACTGGTCAATTGATGAGTGAATTGCTGAAGATGAAATCTGAGATCAATTTTGAGAAATTCAAGCTTTTACTCATGATTTTGATATCAAAAACTCATAAATTCATTAATTCTCAGCACACTTTCAGAGATGATGGTGAATCTTGAGAGATGAAGTATACGGAATCGCACTTTTTCCATTCCTGAATTCTTCGCAGTGACGAACCCGAGAAATCAGCAATTAGACACGGTGGAAACTTTCAGGCGAGTCTAGCTTTAAGTGCACAATTGCCACTTTCTCACACGTTTTGTGGTGAAAAAGAGCACCTCGTTATCTACTCAAATCAATTCACTAACAGTCAATATGTCATAACTTTTCATTAGTAGTTTATTTAGCTCTTTTTTACCAATGGGCATACTTGGCATTTTATTGATGTTTACTCTCGCTGTACACACATTTTCCTCTCTTTGACCATCGCCGTTGCAACACCCAAACGCGCCGTGGCTGGTCAAAAGCGACGAACTCCGGCTTCTTGCACGTCCAATTTCTACCAGACTGTTTCCCAATGAAAACACAAAATTCCACGGGCTATTGCATATTTGTCGTTTGAATAAAATATTTAATGTCCATCGAGCTTTGGCCACTCTTCGGTGTGGAGTGGAATGCAGGATGATATGGCAGACGCGTTGCAAACTTTCTCAGGTGAATGCCTATTGCTTCATTCATGCTGAAGAAGATTGACGAGAGAGGCACACAAGCGCTGGCAAAAAATTCCTGTCTTTTTTCTCTCCCGGATTTCAATGAAATTCCGATGCCAATCCAGAGGCACAATCGAGAGACATTCTCTTGCGCGGCTCGTGGAATTTTGACTGAAGAGTCTCTCGAGTTGATAATTAAAAAAGCCAACAATTATCTCTCAGAGTCATCCGGCAGAAGACATTCGATAGAGAGAGAGAGACTTTCCGCCTCAATTCAAAACGATGCCATTGTTTTGGGCCATTTTCGCCTCAGACCTAATAAGATGGGTAAAATTTCGTGTATTAATGGGAGTTTTTAATTTAAATCTCCATTGTCTGGAAGTTTTCTCACGTTTTCATGTTCTGTCATTCTTTTTCCTTCACTTCCATAAATTTTTACCTCTTTCTGTACTTCTATTTTTTTTCTCCTATTCAATTAAGACTTTGTTGTGTAGAACAAGGAAATTTGCTGACGAAAGATGAGTATTTTGGGTTATAAATTAGTTAAATGATATTCTAAATTGTTTTGCATGTGTCGTGATAAGAGATAAACAACTTTGATAAATGATTTCTTAAATTCTATTTACAATCTTTTTTAGGGGAAATTGAAGTTTTTCATGCTCCAGTGTTTATTCAATAGTTTTAAGGGTAAAATCACGTTTGAGTCATGCCTTGAACTTTGTCAAAATAATATAAACTTGTTAATTAAGACCAAAATCAATATCAGGTAGTTAGAATCAACATTATCTGAATTTGAACCGTGCTCAGTGAAAGTTGAAAACCTTGGTTAACATTGTTAAATACCTTAAATAAACATTGTTCAAATTATGGATTCAGCAAATACTTTATGATATGAAGCATATCAAGAATCTCTTCATGGAAAGCACAGCAATATAGGATATCCTGCATTAAAATCAAAGGTTAAGTCCATTAGAATTTCCGATGATTGCTCAAAAATTAGCAGTTCCACATTCTCCAAGAAGCTCAAGAGGAAACCAGTCTCGAAAGGAACGAGTTCCATCGAGTGTCGCCTTCCAATTCATCAATATTTTTTGCCAATACGCACCTGGAGATTGGTCAATTCGCAAAATTCCACAAGACGAGTCTCTATTTCATGGAAATCCATTTGAAATACATACATATATATATATTTACCTTGGGACGGCGCATACAAAAACCCGTGTTAAATTTCACCTTTCGGAATGCGCCATGCGGAGCCATGGCGCAGAATTGCGCCTCAGCGACAGCGAATAATTGTCACTAGAAGTGCAATTGAGGGAACGAGAGGCAGTCATGTAATGTGATTTGCATAATTTGCAACATAACTGCTCCAGATGCATAAATTAGCGTCAATATAAGTGATAAATCTGAGGCTGCGAGCAGGTGAATTGATCATAAAAGACTGGTATATATGAGATATTTATTACTTTTATTAGCTCCGCAATACGCCAAAACAGTTTTTCTCCATCATCTTAAACACTATACACTTACTTTTCGTCAGTTTTAATACATGCAAAAAATGATATTCTCTCTTTCTCTCTCTGTTCTTTGATTAATAACTTTTACACCTAGTAAGGCACATGTCTTCTCTCTTCGTGCGCGTGAAGCTTTTAAAAACACTCGCGCACAACATTCATATAATTATAATAGAGCAATATAAGGTGTATTTATATAGAGAAGATTACAAATTAATATTACATATGCGAAAATATATACTCATCGATTTTCCTCTCTTCTGCCAAAGCAATTGAACTCTCTTTGAAGACGCGCGCGAATCTCTTTCACCTTCAGAGACTGTACAAATTGGATAGTTTTTCACTATGAAAACGGTGCAAGAAAATGTTACTATTCTTTGAGTATTACGGTAGTTTTTGCACGTCTTAAAAATGCAACTTGTAGCTACAATTATCTACCAAAGCCGTTACTGTATGTTATCGTAATTTCCCCTCCCATATCCATCATCAGTCCAAAGTGTGCGCGCTGAAAAGCCCTCATAAAAAGGCAATTTAGAAGCAATATAATTTCCCTGCAAGACAATTTTCCAGCGCGTTAATTGTGCAACAAACTAATTTTGCTTGGGCACACAAAGAAAATCGATACGCGAAAGTCGATGGTGAGTTGCGAAAAAATGCGCCAAGAATTCTTGCCCCGATTGGCATGTTGGAAGGTCAAGCGGCAATAATTCGAAAGTTCGCCCCACTGTCATGCAAATCCACCAGTGGATAATTACCTTGCTTTTTCTGGAGACACACACTCAATCGCGACGTGATTTTGTCATGTCACCCACTTACACTGCAGCACAGCAGACCAGAAACGATAATGGATTAATTGTAAAAGAAAAATATTATCTGTTAGCAGTTTGCTTCAACCCAGTTTAAAATCTCTACCTATCTAAACACATTCCTACAATTTCTTTTTACACAATTCTCTGTCACTTCTAACGTAAAATACTCAATTTGAATATTTTGGAATTCAGTCAATATCTTCCTCTTATCTCATCGGAATGGACGTGGAATGAATCCAAGTGAGTGCACAGATTCGAGCCGAAAACGTGGGCGCACTGTGTGATAAAAGACTTCTCTACTTTCATCAATACACTAAAGTTACACTGAAAGCCTTTACTGTATACTCAATTCTTCTCAGTTAATACGCCCACTCTAAAGCTCCGCCTATAGGAAAAAGCTCCTGAATTGGCGGAGAAATCTAACCACATTAAATACTACCAAAAGGTTCTTTACATAAAACAAAACGAACCAAAACTTTTGGTTCAAAATCTATCTTAGCTGTCTATCAGCATTCATTTGGATTAGAGACAGTGCCTGAGTGGGCGGGGCATCTGAAGAGGCGTAGCTTTTTTGCAAATTAAGCACTTCTGCATTTTCGACTCAGATCTGTACCTCTAAATGTGTGGCTAATGGAGCGAGGTTTCGATGGGGCGAAACACTCCCCCAATAGCTTATCGTTCGCTCGCGTGGAAGCCTATCTCCGTGGTTTGCCGAAGGTGCCTGACGAGCCGGCCGACATGTTGGCTCGCCTCTGCAGCGTCGAGCTGGCGCCGTCGTTGAGATCAAGGCCGGCCACCATCTGGGCGATCTCGCGCTCCTTCTTCATGTCGGGCGGATTGAACTGCAGACTGGCCAGGGAGCCATGGCTCCGACTGCGGTGCTCCTGGCGGATGGAGTAGCTGAAGGCGCGCTCATTCAAGTGGCCCTTCCTCCTGTAGATGCCCGTGCCGCCGGGTGACTCGGCGCCCGAGTTGCCGGAGTCCTCGAGACCCGCGGCGGCGCTCTGTGCCAGCTTACGGTTGCTCATGGCCAGCGGCCGCGGCTCGGGCACCATTTGGGGTGGGGGCGGGTAGGCGAACAGCGGCGTGGGCACTGGCATACCCAGAGGGATGCCGTTGGTGCGCCCGTTCATCATCTTGTCCTTCTTCTTCTTGCTGCTCTTGTTGCCCGGCGTTTGCAGCGTGGCGTACTGCGGCGGCAGCATGATGGGCATCGGTGGCATGGCCATCGGCATCGGCATGGGCATCATGTGCGGCCGCCCCGTGGGCACGTGGCCGTTCGTGTAGCCGCCGCGCGTGAGCGTGTGGAACTGCCGCGGCAGCGGGCCGTAAAGCATGTGCGGCGGCGGTTGGCGGGTGAGGGTCATGGAGCTCGCGTGCACGGGCTTGGGACGGATGAGCGTGCCGGAGAGACTTTGGCTGCCGACGCTGGAGCGCTGCTTCTTGTCCTTCTTCTTCTTCACCTCCTCCTTGGGCGGCGGCGGCACTGGCACTGGGGCGCTGATCTGGCGGGCGCGCGCCGGCCGTCCCAGGGTCGATGTGCCGCCCGAGTAGATGTCATACGGGCCCTCTAGGCCACACCCGTTCAGCTGATCCGTGGATCCCGTCCACACCTTGTGGTTCTCATCGCCGTTGTACATAGAACCATCGCCATCGTCCACCACGTCCAGATCGGCGCTGCTCGCGTACACTGAAATGCGAGATAAAGAGACATTCCATGAATAGATTTTCATGAATTCAAGTTGTCGTGTTGTCAACGAAATCGATACTTGATGCATGGCTTTTGAAATTTATTTGGTTAAAAAACATCGAGAAGATAAGCTCTAAACATGATTCATGAGTCGGAGAGAATCGAGCAACTTCCTAAAACCACATCAATGCGATCACTGCGCTTCGCGTCTTGTGTAACTCTGTCGAATGCGAAAGAACGCTAAAGTGGCAAATTAATAATTCATAAGGCATTTGTTAATTAATGTACATATTACATAGTCGATGAAGCCAACATGTCAATCAACGTGTTTTTAATTTCAGTTTTGTCGGAGCGGAAATTCAGTGAATTCCTATTGTTTATCTGAGCAAATTGTAGATATCGTTGAACTTGTGTGTTGCCAATCAATAAAACACCCACTGAAGTGCATTCTTCAGCTTCTTATCATTCCACCAATCTTGTATAATTCCCCAATAACTCTAATGAATTTGAACCGTCGAGAAATCACTTTAAATTTAAATTGCTTCAATAAATACCACCTCATGAATGAGCCTCGCTGTTGGAACACCCGCAGTTTCTAACCATGACACACATTCTGCAGCCATTTCTAATTGGGAATGTAATAATTCTAAACATATTCACCACAAATTCGAGCACAAATTGTACAGCAAATTAATCATTTATGCATTTACTGATGGTAAAATTGCAGCGATGCATTCAGGCAAATTATAGGCAAAAGGGTGCAAAAAATTGTATATAAACATTGGATAATAATAATCCAATGCGAAGTGACTAATCGCTTTATAATTGCTAAAATGATTGCGGTTACATAAAATGTGTTTAGATCCCGCGAGCGAGTGAAAGAGCGACTTGAGATTTACCCACATTTGCCTGAGGATTGAGATCGCAGATATGCACAAAAAGTGCTAAATATGCTTGAGAGAATAAATTCACACAACACCTCGATTTTCCGTCACTCTTGCAAAACTCTTCTTGAAGCTTGTGAAGAATACATACACTTGGCACTTTTTGCTCTAAAGCGCCACGTGATTGCAGACTCTCCCAAGAGTAATTTGCAATTCTCAGGAATTCTCCCTCCTTTTCATCACTCAAATGTACGCGCCTGTTCACATATTTCCGACTGTTTGTCATAATTACGCAATGGCCGCGCTTCCCTCCGCAACAGGTTGCAATGGGACGCCAAGACAGCGGAAAGTATTATGATTGTGACGAAGGCGACGTCAGCGGGTTCTGTGCGCAGACAATCAGAAAACCACATAAGATCGCTTGCATAATTAAGTGCTTTGACTTTCAAAAGCCGTCCATGTGAACGCAACGCTCATGTTTCACTCCCTGCGTACAAGACTTAATTGCCTCCCCATTCTTAATCCACATTTTCCCCCCTCTTCTAGACGCCTTCAAAGTGTCTCAGTCTCGCCGCGGGACGCGGAGAGGCACTTCGCGAGATGCTCTCTTGCGATTTTAGAGAGATTTTGAAGCTTGGAGCATAAAAAAAAGTCGAGTGAGAGGAATAATCAATGAAGAAGTGCATAAATTATTTCAAAACATTCCACATTTATGTGCAAGTGAGTAATGCAATAAAAAGTCTTATGTTGCCACGTGAAGCTGAAGAGGGAGAAGATCGATGAAGTGAATGCAGAAACCCGTTACAAAATATTCCACCAAACGACCGTTTTCCACTCATAGGCAGATCAATAGACTCACGGTGTTTGTATTCATGATTTTTTCCATCCCATTCTGCGATATTTTTGCATAACCAGCCATAATGAGATTGCAAAAGTCACTAGCAAAAAGCCTCACAATATTCTCTAAATAATTGTATGTTTATTTATTGTATGTATTATGATGGCCTTTAGGCTGTTGCATAGATAAAGAATGGGTGTAAATCAGAGAAGAGGATTTTATGATTCGTCTCAGCTCAAGACTTTCCTTCAAAAGCCTCAACATCTATCAACAACACTAGTATGAAACAACCCAGCCAAATAAATACTCAGTTTCTCAATGTGATATACAATTTGCCTAAAATGTGGAATTTTCAGCGTGAAATAAATCAACAGTTAGTGTCTTGGCAGAATAACTAATCAAAAATATTTATTAATAGATCAAGTTTTATTTAATTAACACATTTTTACTTAGTCTGCAGACAGGTAGATTTTATCCTGTTGTTGTTTTACTTCGACCTTTTTTTTAGAGTGTTATTTAACTTGAAATTCCATATTCTTATTGGCATTCAAACTCTAAAAAAAAGTAAATACACTCCTCAATTCACAATCCAAGTGTGCACATTTTGTTCGAATTTGCCAATATTCTAAATTTGTACTTGAGGATTTGTTGCAATTTTCCCATTAATTTTCATGTGATTAATCCATGTCTAAATATCAATTGTTTCTGCGATTTCTGTTTCACGAAATCACTGCAATTTCATATAAAATAATACCACTCAATACAAAAATATCAAAAATGGACAACAGTTTCTCTCAACTACACTCTCACCGTGTTTTTGCTAAAGGTTATTTCAGGTGATTGTGTCAGCCATCGCTTCACCATGCGATCATCAATTCACGATCATCGATCATATGATGAGAACAATAGAGAGTTGCGGGTTTGGCGGAAAAAAAGTCGCAAGAGATCCGATGAGAGGAGATTGTTTCAAGGTTTTTTCGTGCATCTCCGGCGCCAAGAGACAATCACACGTGGGATAATGAGCGTCAAAGTGTTATCATGTGCTAAAAACAGACTTGGGAGGACTTGTCAATCTCACAGGTGAATGCGAAATCATCGCCATGAGATTCAATTTCAAGTTTGTGGGAACTTCGCTCCACAATTCAGCGATTTAATAAGGCTAGTAATGATGCATTTTATCCCATCATCGAGCCATCAGCGTTATCAGATCTGCAGAGGTATTATGCAGACACTCTCAAAGTGGCGGTATTGTCATGATCTTGAAACACTTCCCAGGTCGGCGAAAAACATTTCTATCTCATTTACAATTGACAATAAAAAGCGCCATAGTTGAATTAACATTTAGAAAAAGTTTTCATACTACGCTCACTGCAGAACAATTAAGTCTTTAAGAGTTTCTTTCACTTCACAAATTCAAATCTCTGACTTACATGATTATGTCTAGGCGAAAATAATGTTTTGAGGTGAAAAAAAAATGAAAGAAACTTTTTTTCGAAATCACTTTCATTCTCTATTTCCTCGTACAAAACTGATCTTTTTCAGGAATTATTTGTTTTTTCCAACACCACTCATGCAATGCGCCAACATCAAACCACCAACACAGCATTACGTCACACTTGCAATTGGTCGCGATCAATCGTGGGACTGTGCAGCCAATATCTCACCGCAATGTGTGCTTTCAGTGATAGTGCACTTGTGCAGAAATTGATCGAAATCTCCGCGATTGATTTTGAAATGAAATCGAAAGGGAGGAGAAATTGCACGGCAAATATCCTAAGGGCCCGAAGACTTGTGCAATTGTACTGAAATTGCAGGAGAATAAACAACACATAAATCACGCCAATTCGAAGAGGAGGAAAAAAGTGATCTTGAGATTTGTTGCAGAACTACAATCTCATTTCACTCGTTACTTCTACCATTCATTCTTATGAATCACACAACGAGCGACACGAGAAATAGAGGAGAGTAATAAAAAGTTATGGTAAGAATATTTCACAGGAAGCATACATTGTAATAAAACCCAGATTCGCAGTCAAATAAAAGAAGTCCACGGTAGGAAGTTCGCTCTTTCACCAATCTTGTGTACCACAATGAAAACCATCACAACAATGGCCTCTTAAATGCAAACTACACTTGCACAAAAACTATTGAAATGTGCTCTAGGAAAATTAATTCTTCCTCTTCTACAATAAAATTGCGAGATCAATGGGGAGTGCAATATAGAGAGCGCCAAATTAAGTGGCATTCCCACATTCTTCGAATGAAAAAAAACTGTATACGGATTTGAGGAAAAGAATTTGAATTTGAATAGGAAACTTTTACCGCATTTCTCATATCAGCTGTTATTGCCACACCCTTTAATCTTCTGTTTCCACTTAAAATTCCACCGCGATTCCACCCAATTCACTGTACAAAACACATTAATTTGCAGCCACATTTTTCATTGCAGAAATTTTCCCATTAATTGACCATCCAAGAGTATGAAGAAAACCTTTCAATTGGGTTCACCCAGTCCATAAATCTCACTCACAAATTACTCTATATGAGGAGTGGTCTTGCGACTGCCTTTTTCTCGCAACAACACCACATAAGTATTAATTGTAATTCTATGTTGTGAAGAAAGTTTTTATTTTCAGAGTCACAAGACTGTGAATAATATATTCGCGACTAACTTGGAAAAAGCGAAGTTTTACCCTAGGTCTTACCGAAGGTGCATGTTTCGTTAATTTGTTGCTTTCGCGTCAGCAATTAAACCGTGTATGATGTGTGATTTTGGGGCTGTCACAGTTTTACTGTTCGCGGGCCCACCTCTTACACACCGACACAGCGCGGGCTTCTCTCGAGACTTTCACGCATGTTTTTGGGGGGCTCAACGCACACCAATTCAGTGGAATATGGTACGAAGCCATTAATTCTTGAACAGTCGAAAAAAACCTTTAATATCACCTTCATTCAGAAGAGAGCAAGAAATTAAATTTGTCTGTATGACATTTCGACGAATTGCTCACACAATGCCGATCTCATTCATTCTTATACGCTTGTTAAATAGGTTTTCTTATGCTGTTAAACTTGCCTTTTGAACAGCCAATGTGGAAAATTTATTGTTAGTTTTAGTCCAGCATTGAAAATAATGTGGAATTTTGAGTACTTGATTGTTGCTTCAATTGCCAAATGTGTGGCCATTTGAAGACGATATGCTGAAAAGTGACAATTTGCGTGAAATGCGCAGAAAACTATTATTCCCAGCCTGGCATTGAAAATGTTAAAATAAAATACAATATGCAATTTCCCTATTTTCCATGATTCGCGAGCAAAATAGCAATCAGAAGGTCAAGACTCGGCATCCGGATAAAGATAACGAGCGTATAACTTCGCTAATGACAGGTTTTGTTTAGGGGTAAAAACGAGAGACACAAACTGGGTCACTGAATGAAATGAAGATATCTAAAGTGATTCTGCCTTTTTACAAATCCGCGCAACTTCCTATGAGGAATAAAATAAGACTGAACCCATGATGACTTCACGAAATCTCCTCAGTGATGTGGAACACAATTTGTTTTACCGCGCCATTAGAATTTCTCTGCCCAGATTACGAATGTTTTTCTTACTCTCCACTGACACTGTTCTTCAATCAATTTCTCCGTGACTCATTTGATAATTTTTCATGGAATAGATTTCACTCGGCATGTACAAGAGACTTCACACTTGGATCTTGTGTGTGGCGTCTTCACCAAGCATACAACACACTCGCGCGGATGCTGTACAAGTTCATCATTGTTCCAATGTGCAATGGATTGTGAGCGGCAGGCAAAAGGACAGTGATCTCAGTGGGAATACAATTTCCACACGAGTAAGCTTAATGAGTCATAATACAAGAGCAAATACCTTTAGCATATGGAACAAAATCAACCATGGATTTATGCAATATCTCGCCACGACATACCAGACTCACCTCGCGAGAGAGAGATCGCAACACCTCAAGAGATCCGCCAACTGGCGAACAGACAATATGCACACATAGGAGCGGTTTCTATTGTGTGTTTTACAGTGGTAACGGACTCCAAGAACTGCCTGTCTAACTCCACGTCACAATAGTGCTGAAATTTTCAGCAATTCCGTGGAAATCAAGAGCAATTTTTGTAACATGTCGACCAACACGATCGACTTTCCAATTGACTAATTGCACTAATTGAAAATCAACACAGCCACAGCACGTCACAATTCACGAAATCCCCATTCAGGTCTAATTGCAAGTTAGTATTTTTCATGAAAATCTATTAGGAATTTACCGTTCATTAAATTATAACTACACACATCTTATGGCATTGTTATGGCTTGTTTGTTCCATTCAAATGGCAACACGGATAGCAATTTATAACGTCGCAAATTATTAAATGGAGAGGAAAAGAATCTCCCGAGCAAAAGACGCGGAGAAACTTGAACACGTCAGAAAAAAATAACCGACAAAACCAAAAGAAATCCACACGAATGAGGGAAGATGATAAAAATGCTCAACAATCGAAATGGGGACTTCTTCTGTGTGCTGTTTTTTTTTTGTTCAGCGCGAAGGCAGAAGAAAAGATGAGCAGCAATTCAGTGGTCATGTGATGTTTGCGTGCTGAAGAAAATGAAGCATTGCGCATCTCAAATTGTCTTCTCTCTGCTATTGAGACAAATTATTTATACAATTGCTCGTCTTTGATGGTCTCTCCTCGGAAATCCCTCATATTGGATACACACTCTTTCACTAGCACCGCGACTGGCTAACAGAAATTCCTAGAACAGAAACATCTCGCGCCAGACTTCCAAGAAGCTCATCTATTACCTCTCCGCGCACACGTGTTTTTTCCTATTTAACGAGCTCAAAGTGAATCTCAATTCCGAAAGAATTCACCTCGATGAATCATTTCTCAATTTGCCCCGAGTTTTTTCCACTGCAGACTATTGCAGCTCTTATTGTTTTTGCCACACTCTATCTCACTCAATCACTTTCATTTGGAGTTAGCAATGTGAAAAAACCACGTTCCACACTATTCCCTTCCGTTTCATTAAAACAGCAGTGATTCTTTTTCGCTATGGAGACCTGCAATCGCGCGATCGATATCTCGCAAATGGATGGAGTGCTCGAAGGAGAATCCATCAGGCTGTCTTTCTTGAGGGGCAGCTCACGGTACACCTTTCATATTCGCACTAATAAGCCCAAGACAGTCGGGGGACTTAGGAAAATTTAAGATGCTCGAGTAAACAAACTATATAGACTATTGCGTCAGCCTTCAAAGGCTCATTCACCGGCCGGTGGTGAGCATAGAAGAGAGCGGAGCTTCTAAGAGAACTAACATTATTCCTTGTTAACCATGTGAAATTGGACCTTTGTGAGCGATTTGAAGTTTCTTTCGCATCCAGTTTCATATGAAACAATCAAAATCTATTGATATACAACTGAGATATGATTATTTAAAGGTGTGAACTACTTTATGTATGAACTTCCGATCTTCAACCATGAGCATATCACACTTCAAGTCACTGAAATGCCTGTCGAAATTGCCCGCCACTCCCTTGTGCCAAATTCATGGCTCTGTAAGCCAATAACCCGAAATATCGTTGCATCAGCCGACTTAAGGCTTTGCCAAATTAACTTCCCAATCAACCAGATGCCATAGCGTGTTCTAAGCCATACATCAAGTCGCTCAGATCTAGAGATTACGCCAGGAGAATTGCTGTGTACTCACAATTCTTGACTGTGAAGGAATCCACTCCATTCGTGACTGGCTGTCGTCCCACACTGTTGATCGTCGTCGTGCTGCCGGCCCTCGAGCGCCAACCCTCGCCGTTGGGCTTGCCGAGGGTACCGTAGACGCTGCCCGAGGTGCTGCCCTCGAGCTGCCTGGCATAGGAATTGTCAGCATAGGCGTGGAAGCAGCACCGCACCAGCGCATTGGCGGCCGCCTCGCGTTTGCATATGAAGACGTGACACTCGAGCACCTTGATGCCCGTGGTGCGCCTGAGGATGGCGGCGAAGATGGGCGGATGCTGGGCACGTGGTGTGCGTGCGAAGGGTGAGTCCAGCGGTAGGAACTTGGGCTCTGGACTAGCATTGCGCTCGGGGATCAGCACCTGTCGCACGGCGGCGCAATAGTGGAGGGACTCAATGGGGAAGAATCGCGTCACCTGCTTCCTGTTCTCGTCCACATTCTCCAGCAGTATGCCATTGGACCAGACACTGAGCCAGGAGTCGATGCCTTTGGCGCCAACGGCACCCTCCGAGGGGTAGAGGCTCTTCAGAGGCTCCTGGATGCCCTGCAGCCCATCCTTGCTCTGGCGTGGCACGGCACTGCCCAGATACAGCACACGACATCGGCATATTGGTGTGGAATCACCCATTGTGGGTCACACACGATCAAGCACACCACCAGAGATTTTTCTGTGTCTCTTTTCGCCTCTTCTCCCAATTCTCCTCTGATGGTCGTGCTTCGTCTTCACTTCAACAGGTATTTCTTCCCTGGGCACACACACTCACGAAGTCCGTCTTTCCGCGACCACTACACACCCATCATCTCCTGATTCAGGGAAATTCCTCTGCGGATGCCTCTGCTAAGATGGCGTTCTCCTCACAAGAGACCGATCATTGCTCGCACGCAACACCTTCGCCTGAGAACACACTGAACTTTCGGGATCAGAGAAGCACACACAAACACACACACGGCCGATTGATAAAAAACCACGTCAACACTTTTTCCGTGGGAGAGGATCGGCCGCTGAGGAATCTCGAGTGAGTGTCTTCAGCACTCGCGGCGTATGTTCACTTGATAACGGTTCAATAGCACGACACATAAAGAGTGGCGACCAACTGCTGATGGCACTTTGCAGTGTACACGGCGACCAGAGGCCAATGAATTGTGCCACTGCCAAGAGAGACACCGAAGCAGCAAAGTGGTTGTTGGCACGGCAGAGGTAAACTCAAGAATGGCCGCTCAGGCGAGCACACGATCGCGGCTGAGTCGCGAAGACGAAGCTCAGAGCCGGTTATCGTCTCTCTCTGTTCAGCAGCCGGCAAGGTGGGGAGCTGAGAGTCTTGAGAATTTGTACCAGCATCGACACATCAGGCGATCTCTTTCTCAGGTATTTCACTTAAATACCGCATACGCGACACAGGTATGTATAAGCGCACGGATTGTGCAACAATAGGTGAGACGGGCAAATTGGATCTCTCAATTTTTCATACAGGCATCGCGCACTCAATGTGCCAATTGGAATCTCGAGAAAGTCAATCAGAGAGGGAGGCAAATCAACCTGCCGCCGACTGCGGCACAGTCCAGAAAACGTGACCCTCTGTCCTCCTTCGCTCCACCTGCGGCTCTGCGCACAACATGAACAAACAACCTGGTGATATTTGGTAATTAAGTGGAGAGGAAGCCATAAAAAACCATCGACGAAGATGTGAGGGAAAAGAAGAACTCCTTGATTTCCACTCGCTTGTGTGCTTGACTTCTTATGGGCACAGCAACAGGTAGCATTTACAATACACCAAACGGAAGAATGGAATTTTGAAACGAAAATCACTAAATTTATGTGTAGGACGGAATCTCTCTCACACATTCACAATGAAAACACGTTCAATTGATACCTGTGACCGCTTGTCGCTTACTGCTCAACCCCGTGAAGATGTTGCGGCAGGAAAGTAACACTAGAAAGGATATAGATATGATAAGCCAAAACACACGGCAATTCATTATTGCCTTTGGCTTCAACTGAGAGTTTAGCTAAGTTATAAGATTGTGACTATTGACGATTAAAGCATATTTCTCACTTTTATTGATTCTAAATCAGGCTTTTGACATAAAATTTATTTAATTGCATGCAAATTTCAATCATAATGCTTGTCATAACGAGTTATTCAAGCACAATTAGAAGAGGAAAAGCATAAGTAACTGTGGTAAAGACTCCAATTGTGATTGTAAAGCACATTGAATGATCATAAAATGTACATTATTTCCTTAGTCACAGTCTTTAGCGTCTTTAGATCAGAATAAATCCCTATTTAATACTCCTTTACATACTATATAAACTATACAATCGAACAATTCAGCTGCACAGCGAAAAGGCGAAAACCATCAGCCTCAACCCCAGTCTTTCATGCTGACAGACAGGTATTTTCGTGGTCTGGTGATGCCCCAAAAGAAGAGGAGACAAGCAGAAAGAGAGCCAGAACACACACAGCAAAACACGCTGCAAGTCGCGTTCATGTAGGATTATTAACAAATCACATCATGGACTGAGGTTTTAATTATACATATTTGTTTCTCTAATTGACTTCCAAGAGACATTTGCTCAAACAAGAACACCGGGGCGAAGGAGACTGGAAGAGAGCCAGCAAATTCCATTTAAGTGCATCGAGGCAAAAACACCATTTCAATTTCAGACACTTAAATTGGAAGGACATTGAATTGGAGTTGAAATTAAATAGTCACAGGGAAGGAATTGCTGGGCTCTCAGATTGACTTCATTGATATTTTCCACACTTTGGTGGGAATATCGTGCCGGAGAGGCTCAGAAATTCCATCCCAGAGAGTCAAAATCGACATTTAACAGTTGATGGCGTAAACGAGTCTCCTCAATTTCCAACGACACCAACACCGAAAATTTCTTCTCAATCATTCCCAACCGGTTTCACCATCTTCGTGTCGCTTCTCTGCTGCTTGATAAAGAAACACAATCTCAGACGCGCGCGAGGCTAAGAAAAGCGGAGAATCTTCTGCGATCAATGGGAAAATCTGTGAGCACGAGAAAGAGGAGAAATGGATCAAATCTCGCTGTCTCGAGCATGAACTTCCATTGTCGTCTGGGTGTGAATGAAAAAATTGCGTGACTCCTGCCAACAAATCACGCCGCAATCAGTTTCTCGGGGCATTGAAACGCTCAGCCAGGAAAAATCAAACTTTCCCCAGCGCAAATTCGTTAAGCCATAAATCTGGAATTATTGGAAAAAGTCAAGTGCAAGACAATGTGAAATCTTATGTAAACTTCTGATCATAGAACAACAACCTCGTGTTTTTTATCGCAATCGAGGAATACCTTGGGTGTGGGAATAACATTGGAAAGCGGTGTTTTTAGCGAAAAAAGCGCTGGAAAAAGTCAACCTATCGCAATGTCGATTGAAGTCGATATAGATAAACGTAATCGGAATAATAACAAGTGGCATAGATACTGAGGGAAGCCGAATATTTGATAAGACTCTCTCATAAAACCGGCGCTGGATCTTATCAGTACTGAAAGTGTTCCTCAGCTCGTCGGTAGCAAAAAGATGTCTGTTCCGACATGGTTGGATCGGGACTTCTTCGCGGGCGCTCTCAGCGCCTACGAAAAGGACGCGGATCTGAAAGTGGCGGACGTTGAAGTGAAAAGTATTCAGGACTCCAGTGAACCGACAACAAGTGCCATCTTCGCCGCCAAAGTCCGCTACACCTTATCAACCAGCACTGAAGAATGTGTCGTGAGGTTGATCGTCAAGACACCGATTGCTTTCGACAACTCTGGAAGCAGTCCTGATTCTCTCTTTGACACTGAGATCGAAATGTACACCAAAACGCTGCCCGCCATTGGAAAGTTTCTCCTCTGCTCGCTGGACGAGCGAGTCTTTTTCCCCAATTTGATTTATCACGCCAAAAGCCCGAACTACGTTCTGGTCTTCGATGACATCACCGATAAGGGCTTCGCGAAGGAAACCAAGCAACTCAACTATGAAAACTCCAAGCTCGTCTTCGCCAAACTGGCCAAATTGCACGCCTGTTCGATGCTTCTGGAGCAGAAGACCAACGAGGTGTCTGACTACAAGCAAGGCCTTTTCCGTGTTCGTCCTGACGGTGTTGAACACATGCTGAACTCCATCAGCAAGCTCATCGATGAAATCTCCACCTGGTCTGGCCATGAAGTCTACGTGGAGAAGTTCAAGAGCATCCACAAGAATTTCCATCGGAAAATCCGGCGCTTGTACAGCGTCAATCCGCCCACGCACGGTTATAATGTCCTGAATCACGGCGACTTTCACTTCAGGAACATGATGTTCAAGACGGATAGGCTGGGAAGTGCCTATGATTTCATGCTTGTGAGTCTTATCGCCATGAGATAAGAGGGATTTTGAGATAGACTATCGCCCTGATTTTTCACATTTTTATCATTCACATTCATCAGGTCGATTACCAAGTGTGCATCTGGGGCTCTCCCGCCCTCGATGTTATCTATGCGCTCTACATGGTGGCTTCCAAGGACACCCTGGAGCAGCATCGTGAGGACCTGCTCTCGCACTACTACAGCGAGTTCGTGGAGGCACACAGAGTGCTCGGAATCCGCGAGAAACCACCTTCCAGACTGGATTTCAACACCGAACTCGTCCGTCACGGGATTTTAGGTATAAGCAAATGAATATTCTGCTGCTTTATTTCGACTACAGAAATTCTCTTCGCCCAGAAATGATAATCGCGGTGTGCTTTATGCCTTACGTTCATGTGGATTTCTCCAAGATCAGTATGGATGAACTGATGGCCAATGGAGAGGCATCGGAAGACGCCCGGAAGAAAATCTACGGACATCCGGATTACAAGAAAGCCATCCAGTTGCTACTGCCCGATTACTTGGCAAAGGGTTTTCTTGATTAATTCATAATTAATTTATCCCAAAGAGATGCTTAGCAAAAAGGGCCGGATTTGTGCAAATACAGCAGGTTGATTCTTACCAAATTCCAGTGGAATGTACAGAATAAACACCAAATTGTTCGAGAGTATGTTAATAAGAAATATTATTCAATAAATACTTGAGAAAAACACAGAGCAAAAGAGGTCAATTTGGTAAACAATTCCCCGCGACTTGTTTACATTTGCTGAATATATACGCAGCCCAAGCACATGGACGGCTCATTCCTCCACCAGGTGGCACTGTTGCCGCTGAGAAGAAGAGTTGACGGACATTTCCAACGCTGATTTTCTGCAGAAAATACTCAAAGAAGCATTCAAATTAGAAATTCAATCCTAAAATTCTCTTCTTGACTACTTTCCAACGTGATTACGAACTGTTCCCATGAGCGTCATCACTCCATTTCTGATTTATTTGCTATTAAATTTTCCGTCCTGCGACAATTCCGGTACTCTTCGGTGTCCCACGTTTTCTCTGATGCGCTGGCGGACGTAACCTTGCGGGGTTGGCTGTCATTTCATTTTCTCTTTCAAAAGGCGAAACAATGGCTGGCGATCAAGTGCAGTTCCACCAGATACTAAACTCCCTCCTATCCGTGGACAATGACGTCCGACAGCAGGCTGAGGTATGTGAATCGCAAGCCCGGGTGCCCCCGCATGCGGTGGTGTGTGTTTTGTGCGGAGTCTTGTGGCGATGTGGGCGCAGGAAGTGCGTGAAAAGCGTGTGACAACAAACAACGTGCTTGCCAGGGGCGCCTTCGATTGGCGAAGCGCGTCCGTCAAGGTGGTTCTCTCGTGGCGACGAGAATCATCTCCGGATGAGTCACGCGGGCTGAGTGGAGTGTGATTGCGGTGCGTGGGGCGATTTGGGGGCGGCAGGAAGTCGTGTGGCTGGCATGGGTTGGTCGGGAGTGACGCATGTTTGAGCGTCACTCGGATGTTTTCCCTCCAAAAGGCGTACAATTGCCGGAAGGCTTGTAAATTGGGGTTTGTTTCGTCCTTGCAGGAAGCCTATAACAACATGCCGGTGGGGGACAAGATTACACACCTCCTGCTGGCCATCTCCACCGCAACCTTGGCCGAGGAGGCGCGCTTGATGGCGGCTGTTGTGCTGCGGCGACTCTTCTCCTCGGAGTTCCAAGAGTTCTATCCTCTGGTGAGTGATTTGACCTCTTTCCAGTGACCTTGAACTTCAGCGAACTCTTGTGTTTCTTCCTCAGCTTCCACCAGAGCTTCAGGGGCAGCTGAAGCAGCAAATAGTGACACTGGTGCAGCAGGATGAGTCACCGAATATGCGCCGCAAGATCTGCGAGGTGGCGGCCGAAGTGGCACGGAATTTGATTGACGACGATGGCAACAATCAGTGGCCAGAGTTCCTGAGTTTCCTCTTTCAGTGCGCCAGCACGACTAATTCCACCCTCCACGAGTCCGCGCTGCAAATCTTTGCCTCCGTGCCGGGAATCTTCGGCAACCAGCAGAATCAGTACTTGGAGGTGATTAAGCAGATGCTGACCAAGTCCATGAGTCGTGAGGCCACGCCGGAAATCCGCTTTCAAGCCGTGCGCGCGGTGGGAGCTTTCATTCTGGCGCACGAAAAGGAAGTGAACATCCAGAGGAGCTTCACTGACGTCCTGCCGCGTTTGATCTTCATTATTGCCGAGAGCATTGAGCAGCAAGAAGACCAGACACTCATCAAGCTCTTGATAGACCTGACGGAGTCGTGTCCGAAGTATCTGAAGGCGCAGATTGAGGCCATCTTCGAGATGTGCATGAAGGTGTTCCGCAGCCAGGATGTGGAGGACGCGTGGCGCCACATGGCGCTCGAGGTGATGGTTTCCCTGTCAGAGAACGCCTCGGCGACGGTGCGAAAGCGCTGCGACAAGTTCATCATCGCCCTCATTCCTCTCGTGCTGCAAATGATGACGGATCTGGAGGACGATGACTCGTGGTCGGTGTCTGAAGTGTCGGAGGAAGACAACAGTGACAACAACATCATCGCCGAGTCCTCGCTTGATCGCCTGGCGTGCGGTCTGGGCGGCAAAATGGTTTTGCCGCAGATCATCGACAATCTGCCGACGATGCTCAACAGTCCGGACTGGAAGCAGAGACACGGCGCCCTGATGGCCATCTCGGCCGTCGGCGAGGGCTGCCACAAGCAGATGGAGTCCATCCTGGAGAGCATCATGAGCGGCGTGCTGGTCTACCTGCGCGATCCACATCCACGTGTCCGCTATGCCGCCTGCAACGCTATTGGGCAGATGTCCACGGACTTCGCCCCGGTGTTTGAGAAGAAGTTCCACGAGCAGGTGGTGCCCGGACTTCTCAGTCTCCTGGACGACGTGGAGAATCCGCGCGTGCAGGCTCATGCCGGTGCGGCACTGGTGAACTTCAGTGAGGACTGCCCGAAGGCCATTCTCACGCGCTACCTCGATGCCATCATGACGAAATTGGAGATTATTCTCAAGATGAAGTTCAAGGAGTTCTGCGAGAAAGGGACAAAACTCGTCCTCGAACAGGTCAGTTCTGTCACATTTATCATAAAATTAATTGCCTGAGTTGCTGCCAAGAGACACTCCCACGCGCCTTCTCTCGTTCCCGGAACAGCGAAGTGTCTTATCGTGCCAAATGCACAGTCACAATTCCCTCGTTGGGCAAATATTGCAATTTATCTCTGACTGTTTGCTCCTTTATTTGTGCCACACACTGAAATTCGTTGCGTCATGTCAATAACAAGGTGCTGCTTCCGGAGAGAAAGAGAGAAAATTACGCCGTGTGATCAGAGTCTGATGCGTGAGTGAATTGCAATGGAAAGAAATTCAAGCCAATGATGCTATTAAATTTTCTGGGAAAGCAATTGAAGCAATTAGAATGAAGATGCTTTAAATATAATTCAACGTTCGTTTTATCTGATAGTGAAACTATGCCAAAGATTCAATCACAAGACTGTCTTTGATTTTGATTTTATTCACTTTTGCTAGTGGAAAAATAACATTTCCCACCCATATAAAAACACTTTTTATGTTCATTAACAGGTGGTGACAACAATCGCGTCTGTGGCTGACACTGCAGGGAAGGACTTCATCACTTACTACGACCGCCTCGTGCCATGCCTGAAGTACATCATCCAGAACGGAAAGACAGACGACATGAAGATGCTGCGCGGGAAGACAATCGAGTGCGTGAGTCTCATTGGATTGGCCGTGGGTCCGGAGAAATTCGTGCCCGACGCCAGTGACGTGATGGACATGCTGCTGAAGACGCACACGGAGAATGAGCTGCCGGACGATGATCCGCAGACGGCGTACTTGATCTCCGCCTGGGCGCGCATCTGCAAGATCCTGGGCAAGCAGTTCGCCCAATACTTGCCACTGGTAATGGGACCGGTGATGCGAACGGCGTCTATCAAGCCCGAAGTGGCGCTGCTGGATAATGAGGAGATCCAAGACATCGAGGGCGACACAGATTGGCAGTTTGTGAACTTGGGTGAGCAGCACAACTTTGGCATCCGCACGGCGGGTCTGGAAGACAAGGCGTCCGCGTGCGAGATGCTTGTGTGCTATGCGCGTGAGCTGAAGGAGGAATTCGCTGACTATGCCGAGGAAGTGGTGCGTCTGATGGTGCCCATGCTGAAGTTCTATTTCCACGACGGCGTGCGCACGGCGGCGGCCGAATCGCTGCCATATCTGCTGGACTGTGCCAAGATCAAGGGCTCGCAGTACCTCCAGGGCATGTGGCAGTACATCTGTCCAGAACTCCTCAAGGCCATCGATTCGGAGCCCGAGGCGGAAGTGGTGCCAGAATTGCTGCACTCCTTCGCCAAGTGCGTCGAGACTCTGGGGCCGAATTGTCTCACCAATGATGCAATAGAGCAGGTGCTGAAGCTCATCAATAAGTTCATGGACGAGCACTTCCAGAAGGCGGAGAAGCGCGCCCAGGCGCGAAAGGAGGAAGACTACGATGATGGCGTGGAGGAACAATTGGCAGAGGAGGACAACATTGATGTGTATCTGCTGTCGCGTCTCTCCGATGTTATTCATGCGCTCTTCTTCACCTACAAGGCGGGATTCATTCCGTACTTCAGCCAATTGATTCCGCACTTCGTCAAACTGCTCGATCCGTCGCGTCCGTGGTCTGATCGACAGTGGGGACTGTGCATTTTCGACGACCTGATTGGTGAGTTGATTTCATAACCATTATCAGTATTTTGGTTTAGGTAACGTTACCAAAAACAGAGAGACAAATAGGGAGAAAAATAATATCAATTTGATATCAGATAAAGAAGCTGTGGAATTAATTATAAGTGAAAGAACAGCTCTTATATTGAGCTAGAAAACTTATTTTATTCAGCAATCACTCACTTATCATATTATCCAGTTTGACATTCTTTAATTCTTGATTTCGTAACGAGACCTAAGAAATAAAGGCTTAAAATAATAGGGATAAGGATCAAACATTGGCAATTTTACCATTAACATTAATTTAAGATTTAAGGTGAGAAGATAAGCTGCTCTTATAACAACCCGCTTTCCTACGTGAATTATTATTAATAACTTCAAAAGGGTTTTAATGGGAAATATGTATTGGGCGATGTCAGAGAGAGAGAGAGAGAGAGAGTGAAGCGAGTTAAAACTGGCGTGGGAGATTATTAAACAAGTCAATTTGGAACACCTCACGTGTCAAAGAAAAGGGAAAACCTTTTCTGCTGTCCAAATAATTAAGGTTGTGATGACTAGAGCTTGGCAGCAGAGTGTTGAGTTTTGGGTGGCAAATAAACTTTCTTCACTCTCTGTCTAATTGTTTGCAAAAAGAGTTGGGCATTTTCCCTTTGCCAAATTGTCCGCGCGCGAAATGTTGTGAAAAGATGGGCCTGAGGCGTAACTGACGCTCTTTTGTGTGCTCTTGAATTCCTTTTTGGCAGAGTTCACTGGACCGATGTGTGCCGAATACCAGCACTTCTTCCTGGAGCCGATGCTGCAGTACGTGACGGACAAGAAGGCTGAGGTTCGGCAGGCGGCGACGTATGGATGTGGCGTGATAGGTCAATATGCGGGTGAGCAATTTGCCATGGCGTGCGCGCAAATGATTCCACGATTGGTGGAAGTGGTAAACAGTCCAGGGAGTCGCGAGCCGGAAAATGCCAGTTCCACTGAAAATGCCATCTCTGCAATCACCAAAATTCTCAAATACAACAACACAGCCTTGACAAATACAGATGAGATCATAAATTTGTGGTGAGTTGAAGATGGAATGTACAATGTTTTGAGTGGGTTTGTAATTAATGCATGCGATTCGCCGGCAGGTTCTCGTGGCTTCCGGTGGTTGAGGATGAGGATGAGGCCCCGCACGTGTACGGATATCTGTGTGATTTGATCCAGGCGAATCATCCCGTGATTCTGGGGGCCAACAATGCACACCTGCCGCGAATTCTGTCGATAATTTCGGAGGTGTTTGTGCGCGACCTGATTCCCGTGCAGCATCCGGACGCGACACGGTTGCTAGGCATTGTAAAGCAACTGGAGCAGAATCCGGAGGTGTTTCAGGCGTGCGTGAATGTCCTGACGCCAGAACAGAAGCACGCCCTCGAGGAGGCATTCAGGGACATGACGACAACTTCCGCCTAAGTTTACGCGCGAGCACTCTTTATTTTAACTTCTCCTCTTCCTTGTCCGCGAGATTGGTATTCATCTGTTACTCATCGAGGACAAAGGAAACGAATTAAGTAACACACACGAGGTATATTTTATTGATTTATACATTAATTTTTAAATTGATTGCATGTGGCGAGAGAGGCACAATGATTATGTTGTGTTGGTGTCAACGTGGCTGGAAGAAGTTCGGCTCTAGCAAAATGTGGGATTCAGATGAAAATAATACAATTAATTGTTTAATGATTCAGTGCAACAGTTCACATTAATAGATGTCCTTCCAAAAAAAGAACACTAGAGAGATTAGCTGTAGGCACGATATCGCTTTATGCTGCAATTGAAATCCGCCACGGTGATAAAAATACATTGAGGAAGAAAATCCCTCAAAAACAACAACAAACTATATCTGATCACATTTTAATTGTTACTAAAATAAAAAAAAATTCACATTGTATTGTTAAATAGACCAGAAGCAACTTGAGATGTCTAAATTCACTCCTTTGGCCTATTTTTCTGTATAATTTCTTCTGATGCTGTGAAAATATTAATCTATACTTTATAAAATATGATATATAAAACAGTACTGTAATGAATTTAAAAAGAAAAAAAAATACGGAAGACATAAAAATTGTAGTAATCTTTTAAGTAATGATTATATTGCTTTGTTGTAATTGCAGTACGAAAAGAAGAACAAGAGAAGAAAAATATGTATAATGGATGGTGAGATAAAAGAAATTATAACTTAAGAGTTGTGTGGAAGAATTATTATCGAGAAACTGCGCGGCGAAAGGTTTTCCGAGTCCCATTCGCGCGTGAAAGGGTGAGAAGTGGTGAGAAAAAAATGGAGAGAAAAATATAAATGCACGTATTTCTTGATATATTTGCCTTTTCGATTTGCGCGCAATTTTCCAAAGGGGCGTAAAAGTGAAATCAATCATTTTAAAAGGGAAAATCTCTTCGGGGGGTCGAACTTGCTAATCTGTCAATGGCGTCATGACACTTAGGAAGTGAGATTCTAGTGTTTTTCAAAGCTTCAGTGTCGATTTTAGAACGGCTTGATTTTCGAAGCAGAGAAGCGCATAAGAGAAACATCTGCAGCATTGTAAAGAGGAAAGAGGCGAAAGAGCAAACAAAGTGGATCAGAAAGTACACAGTTTAACACGAAAAGGAAATCCCCGATGAGTACATAATATAAAAGGTGATGAAAATGGAAGAAAGGAGGAGCATATTGTTCCAAGCCCAGACAATTCTTCTTATTTTAAGAGTACAAACTTCAGCTGAAGCTAAAATGGCTAAAATACTGTTTCTAAAGGTAAGAATTTCTCCCATTTAAAGCAAAAAGCGTACATTTCTAAATTTGTTCACTTACCAACTTTTCAAGGCTTGATTAGGCAATTTTTGCAGACTAACGAGTTTCAAAACTCTAATTTTCCTATTTCGTAAAGATTCTATGTCAATGAATAAGTAAAGCGAAGGCATTTTAGCCATAAATAGAATATCTTTTGCACTATAGTTTGGCTAAAATCATGCTAATAAATACATATTTGATCAACGAGGAATAATATTAGGCATATGAATAATATGGGCACCACTGAATTCCCTAATTTTCGATCAACGTCTTGAAAAATCCTTCAAGTACGGAATAAATAAGCAATTTGAAGGCTTCGCCCAATTCGGTATCAATTGGAGTGCGTGCTTGGTGATAAGGAAAGGCGAGCAGATCGAAAAACGGGTATTTTTGGTGGCGCACTCGGCGATGGCCAGAGCGAGAGCATTGCGGGGCGCTGGTTGCGAAAAAAGGGGGACCCGGATTGGGCTGATGGCAATGCGGGAAGCGGGGAAAGTCCTGCGTCGAAGAGGTCGATGAGCTTTTTCGGTGTTTCGCCTTTGTCTGCGTTCGCCCCTCTGTGCATATTTACGGGAACACTGGGCGGTGGGTGGGCCTTGGCAGTGAAGACGCGAGGGTTTGGGAAGCACGTGCCTGACCCACACTCCGGTCGTGGCGTCGTTTTCTCCGGCTCCCGAACAAACACACAGTCAAATCCAGCGGATCTTCGCATGTGTGCGCCTCGGGAGTGTGTTTTCATGTGCAGAATTTGGCGAGAAAGTTTATTGGCGATTCCGCGCTGGGTGACAATAATAGTCATAATTTTCACCGGAAGACACGAGGCCGAGTGAACCCTAAAAAAAATACACCTCGTGGCGCAGACAATCGATGAAAGCTGATAATGAATTTATCTCTCCAGGAGGGAAATCAATGCTTCGAGGGTCATCGCGATGTTACATTCCTGAGCGACAGATTTCGGCTGCCTCTTCAACTCCTCTGGAAGCGTGTGTTTGTTTATTCGTCCTCCTCTCGATCCACTTTGATTTTATTCGCATGCGGAGAAGAGCGAGAAATGTGATAAATGGGTTGCGGCAGAAGATACTTGACTTAAGGGATTGAAACCCGTTGTGGATTTATGAAAGATTTCACGCTGAAACATTTCAATGGACGAGTTTCGGTCTTGAAATGTAATTGTGTACGGGAAATCCTTTTAATATCCTCTTGAATTTTGCAAATTGGTGAGAGAAATGAAAGAGCAAAATAAGTAAAGAACGTGTGATAATCCCACTTCTGACACCAGTTTTCACTGGATTTTATCAAATTTTCAGAGCAAATCTTCTTTTGCATCACTCCTTGACATTTTCAAAGTGACTCAAAACAAACAATACAAGCATTCCGCGAAGGTCTCATTTCCTCCTCATTATCGCAATAAAATCAATATTGGATATTAATTAAACTATACCCGCTGAAAGCAAATAATGTGTCGAAAAAGTGTGTGTTCTGATCATTCTAGATAAAATTGTGCTAAACAGGCAATGCATTAAGCAAGGAATTTGTGACCCTGACGTCGCGTGTCTCGCGGAGACTTTATTGGAAATTCCTGAAAGTTTTCATGTCTCACGTGTGAAATTTTCGCTGGCGCATTCCCTGGCGAGGCGCACTGAATGCGGCAACAAACGTGGGGTCTTCGTGCAGCTCGTTGTCGACGCCACGACGAGAGACATTGGCTCCCAACTCGACTCAGCAAACTGATTGGGGCTTCATTCGTGGTCGGTCACTTACGCGAGATACTTCTCACGCCGCTGAGCAATTCCGCGTCTCTTGCGCTTACAATTTCCAGTTTTTCATCACGTATTCGTAGTTAATCTGGAGGGTGAATTTAGTGAAATTGTGGGCAGATTTTTTCTCATTCCTAGTGCATTATTCCATCCACAACATCAAGCAAGTAAGTGAAGAAATTCAGAAGAATATTTCGCGTGTGTGTTTCCCAATTTGGAATTAAAACCGTCGGGAGAGGAAAGAAGCATAGATTGGCGGAAAAAAGAGTCATTAAGAAGGTGAAATGCTCTCGTAATGGCAATTTTGTTCTTCACGTGTTGCCATTTACGGTCTAATTGTCGGAAATTCTACCTTTCTTCACTACTCAAGCGATCCTGCGTGAATTGTCGACATTCGCCACAATTTACTCATGCAAATCTCACTCCACAAAACGTTCCAATTGCTGAACTTCTCATTGTCTCTCGTGTGCATAATTAATTTCATTCGGCACAGTGAATAAAGAAATTGTAAGAATTGTCCATCGAATTTGCAAAGTGAAGAAAGTGCTCTCAATTTTTCTCCAATTCCTTCTAAGGGGAGAAAAGTCAATGGAATTATCATTAAAAACGTACTCGAGTTCATTCTCTCAGTCAAATTGAATAAATCAATCGGAAATGGCACAATAAAACTCTAAATCACTTTTAATGGCATTATTGCTACACGTGTAGACAGTCATTTACCCTCTCTTTTTATTCCTCATCATCTCACCAGCACTCCAGAGCCGCGCACATTCTGCGACTTTTATTGGGGCCTTTGTGCACACTTTAATTGTAGGAATTTATATTCCAAAATCATATTCCATTACGATAACGACTGTGGGTAAAAATGTGCGAGAGACAAGTTGAGAGCGCGTAATTTTGGACACATGAAGAAAGAGAAAATCACCTTACATTGTATTGGGGGGCTTGAAGCTTTATCATAAAATGCAAATCTCTTGCAACACTTCTCACGGACAGTGAAGTATGCTTTGAATATTGCGAGATTGCTTCTGTCTGTCATATTTTCATGCCAAACTCACGTCAAAATGACGAAACTGTGCGGGGTTTATGCAGATTTCTGTGTGTGCTTCTCGTTTGCCTTAATGACTCTTCATCGTAGGATTGGAATAATAAAGCCGCAAAAGTCAATAATTTTGAATGAAAGTCCTATTAGACTTTCATTGAAATAAACATGACAATTGCCTTCAATTAGCATCCTAAATGAGTCTAAGGAGTATTTCTATGCTGATCAGCACACCGAAGTCTATGAACTCGTGCTTGGCGAAATTCTGAACGAAAACAGCTGCGCAGAGTTAATTCACAAATTGTGTGTTATTAGCCAACTTTCAAATGAAGCCCATAATAAACTGGGAGTGAGAGCAATAATTGAGGAAGTGATATGTGAAATTACAGGTCATTGCGCGGCAAATTTGAGCACTATTGACCCCTCGGCCCAAATATTTTCATACACATGAATGGCGTGAATCTCTGTGAAGTATCTCGCGTACTTAATATTTTCCCGCTTGAAGGCTGTACTGAGAAAAAAAGTACAAATTGTCGGCTGTTTTTAGCTCCACGCAGAGCGTCGAAAAAAACCGGGCTTTGCAAGTCAAAGTCGTTTTATGCGCGTGTACTTCTTTCTCCTCTCCTCAAACAGCTCTTTTGTTCTTCCCAACGAACTGCAATCATTTGGGAGAGACTCGGTGAGGAAGTGTAAAGAAAGACGCGAAAGAGAAGCAACAGAGAGAAAGAGGCCTCGAGGAACGCCTCTACACGTGTTTGATGAAACAACTCATTCACTTGGCCATCAAGCTTTAAATAATGCAAATGGATTTGGTGTGTCTATAAAGTGAAATTGTAATTAGTCTCTTGATGGGTGAAGGAAGATTGTCAGCACGGCGGGTTTGATAAGAGGGAAAACCAGTCGATTTTCGACAGACACATCGCGAATACGATCAAAATTGAAAGCATCGCTCCATTGCGAACTGTCTAATTAGTATTCCTCGTGAGACCCCAGACACAAGACTCACGATAATCACGTAGAATGAAGCGTTATCTGCTCGACAAAGGAAATACTTGTTGATTTCCATGAAAATGACCCAAATGTTCCATTTTTGGCGTATACAAACACTTTTATCGGCCATATAAAGTCATTAATCGATAAAATTTATCTAAAAATGTGAAACAGTCACATGTGTAGCTGCAATACGCCTGATTCAAATACGATTAAGCAGAAAAAACACAGCTTCTGACGATATAAAACTATTAACTTTTTCCGTTTTGTGGTTTAATGGTTCATTTGACCCAATGAAATGTGGCAAAATTACCCGCAAATCCGAGTTAGGAAAGTGAAAAATCTCGAGCTTAATCTCTCTCATAATTGCTACAAGGTGATTTTAAGCGTTTTATTCGGGTTTTCATGAGGAATAAACACTAGAACGCTTGGAGAAATGTTTACAAGAATATTCCACTGAGAAATGTGGAAGTTTTTGTGAGAATTTCGGGCTCAAGAGCGACTAGGAGAAAAATGATTGCAACTGTGGGTGAAGTATTAACAAATCTGTAACGCACAAAGGCTTTAAGGACTCCCACGAGGCACAATGGCCCTTGTGGCTCTCCTTCAGCACAAATCCACCCCTTTTGTTTTCGGAATGATTTTCTCGAGGGTTTTTTCCTGGGCACAAGAAAGTCCTTTCTTCAAACTTGACCCACAATCTAAATTACACTCCCTCCCTTCAATTTGTACGTGATGGAATTTTCAGTGAGATGACGGAATATATTCAAGTCTATAACGGAATTGTTTATTTTCGCTGATCTCAGGAACGTTTACTGTCGGTGCTTGAGCACGAAAAGGGGACTCCTGAAGATGAACATCTCGCACGTGAGCTTCAATTTCTCAGTGCATCTCACTCACAGGCGCACTCTTGGAGAAACTCCACGTGCAAGTGACAAGCGCTTTTTCCCAGCCAGAGTGAAAAAAAACAGTGTTACTGTGCCAAATGGCCTCGCAGCGTCGGCAAAAGACGGCATTTATGGGTTATTAGGAGTCGCAATGTATTATTTTCTGTCATTCGATGGCTTTTCCTCATCATTTATGCTGCGCTGCAGCCAAAGCTCACTCGCCACTGAAAGCGAAATTTTAATGAGACTGCAAGATTAGTTGCTACAACAACATCGCGTGTTGGTATAATCTGATTTTTATTGGACACAATAAGTGACAATTTGAATTTGTGACGGCTTCTCTTTCGCTCCACACAACACTTGAAATTAATCACCTTATTGGACTTTCCTTTCAACACTTAATTTCCCAGAAAATAGTCATCATTATTTCCCCCCTTCTCCGACACGCGCGCGCGAGATGCTAGTTTAGCTAAAATATCGCTGCAATTCATCAGTTTTTCTGAGAGATTCTCATGCCGGGGAAAATCCACGGGGGTTCAGAGATTCACTTTCGTGCTCTTCCCACTGCGTGCGTCCTAAATGCCAAGACATTAAAAGCACATCGCGATGAGGAATTGCTCTATACATATTAATATGTGTATCATTTGAATTGGACAAATAAAGAAATTAGTTGGCATTTCCATATTTTATAGATTCACTGGTGTTACAATAGCCTTTTTCGCAAGGTGAATCATGATAATGGCGCGTTTCATAATAAATTCAACACTTCGTACATAAATTTAAAAGAAGCGATTTTAGGAGGAGCACAAATGGAATAAAGATATGAAATATTCTCCCTTTATGGTCGTACAAATTTTCACAATAGTCTTCGCATTTCTCTCAACGATATATCATGAATCATGGCTGGGAAATAAAGAATAGCAAATGACTCCGAAGTACATTTTATATCAGTATCAAGTTAAGTTATCATTTTTTTTTCTCTGTAAAATATTTGGAGTATGTTTTTATCATCTTTTATGCCAAATATAAAGTCATTAAAAAATATCAGCTGAGCAACAAAGTACGGCCAAAGTTGGTGAAAAACTCTGCATTCCGCTTAAAAAACGGTGACACGCGGAAAAATCAAACTCTATTTTTAGCTCTCGGTTGTTCTTCTGTAAATCGCTAATTGTTCCATTCCAGTGATAACATTGTTTTGTTTGACAAACAACTATAAATGCGAAAATTTTAACGGACGCGTGTCTCCAGAGCAATATCGTATTATTTATAAACATTACTCAAATGGAGAGCTTTTTCGCTGATCTTGTGCACTTTTCAAGGTAATTTCTTGGCCCTGTCGCGGGCTTTCTTTTCACTGGTGGGCTTACAAATTTACGATCTTACGTAAATTGGGCAGCGAAGAGGAGGCTTTCGCGGTGTAATCTGTGTCATGTTGAGCGCACAGTTTTTCAGGAGGCGCCAAAGCGTGGCTTGTGTTGGTAATTAAGTCATTGGCCATTGTAATGTGGCGTTAAGTGACGACAACGAATATGAGAATGAGCTGCGAGGAAGGCAGCGTGATTGAGGGAAAAGTTGCGATGCGACACACCACTTAATTGGATCATAATATTTACTCTATGATTTCATAAGCATCGAGAGGCCACATGAGCGCTTTTTTGGCCACCGTAAAAATCACACAGATTGGAGAGCGATCGCTACACGTGCCAAATAATTTTAGTCATATCTCTCGCACAACTGCTGACTCTGACCGAGAGATAGGCAGAAAGAGAAAGAAAAAGGTAGACACGAGGAACGTAACAAGTGCACCGCGGAAAAAACTCGTTTCAGCCACACAACCATGAGAAGGTTTTTGATGATGAATTCACCACAGTCACGAGATTTATTTCACTCTGATTTCCGTTTGATCCGCGAAGGCCCGTGCACGATGGACATTTGCATGCTCGTGGAAGATCGCTCACACATGCCAGGCCAAAACACCCACCGAGTCATCACTATGCAAATTGCCGCCTGAATACCGTAGCTCCGCAATACATAAATTCCTCATTAATTTTATTGGATCACTTTCCTAGTCCATATCAATTATCTAATGGCGAGTTTGTGTTGATGAAATACCTCATATGTGACGCGAGCAAAAGGGCGTATCGAATGTCTGGGAAACAAAATGTAGTGACATGGAAACCGCACCACAAAATATCATTAACGTGAATCACTTCGCGAATGCCTGTGAACGTGAATGCGACTCGTGAATTAAAGTAGGGTGCAAAATTTCAAGAAAGTTTCCATTACACCTTGAATCCACACACTAAAGTCCTTGTTAAGTCACTTGATTCCGAGTCCTTATTGTAAATTGTGGGCAAAGAGAAAGTTATAACGACTCTCATTCACTTAAATAACCCAATTTAAGGCCATTGCGTCCACACTCTTGTGCGCACACCTGAAATTTTCACTTCAAACCGTCAAATTCCTTCAACTTTAGCCTAGTGTTTGGAGTGACAATTAATATGAGAGATGAGGGTGTTAATTGAAAATCAATTCCCTCAGCAACACATGCTGCTTACTCTTCTCATTAGTGAGCGCGTGAAGATGATTAAAAGGAAGAGTAATTTGAGACGAGGTGGTTCTGCTGGCGAAATGCCCTCACCTTTACACTCCCCCGAAAATCTCTCTAAATCACTCTCTCGTTGCCACTTGCAGAGCTCAGCATCATGGCCCCGACAATTAGTGTGTCAAATGAGCGGAAGCCAAAGTGCAGGCGATCCCAGAGGAGAAATCAGCAGCCGAGTTCATCGTCGGTGTCTGTTATCAGCTACGGTAAGTCAACAACCTCACTTTTGACTGTTTTTTTCTGCGAATCAGCGCGAATTCTGAGAAGAATGAGCTTCCATTGGTAATTTTCTGGAGAGAAGATGTCTCACAACTTCACCTCGCAATAAAGTCTAACGATGTCATTTGAAGCGTGGGTCATGACCTGCACCTAAAGCACGTAAATCCCGTGTCGTTTATGAGATTTAAAATTAAATTTAACCCTAATGGCGATAGTCGGCGCAAATGCTCTCCCATTTCACAACACAGAGCTTTCACTGCGGGTGGTTAAAATTGCTTGTGAGCTTTCCGGGCATGATGGATTACACGTACATTCACACCAATTTATCTCTGTGAGTAATTAATGTGAAATTTAAAATTATTTATGAATGCTTGACAAAAACAAATGACTGTCTTTTCTTAATCAATTTGATAAGCAGGTCATTTGCATCAAAAGTTTTCCTCTCGAGATATGCAAATACTTTTCTCATCAAGCACAAGGTGAATTAATTATGTAACAACAGTTGCTTTGCTCTAAATACACTTCTTAGGACTCGATTACGCTAACAATACCTTAGGAAGTTTCCCTATTCTTATTATGGCGGAAAAGGAGGCTTTGTGTGAGAAAAGTCAGGCCGCAGAGAAGCATTGTGAGGAGTGGCAATCATTAATCCCTGTCGAGTGGTTCTTTGACCTTTTCCACCATAAACATCACGTTCTGAGAGAGGAAAACCTTGAAACTTGAGCGCATTTCAAAGAAGCTCCCCTACTTTTGTGGAGCTTTTGTATTTTTTTCTGTAATTCTCTTTTCGTACACCATTAAGAATTCACACATAAATGTTTTGTGCAAATATTTAAGTCTGCGGAAAAAGCTTCTATTTGTTATTTATTCAAATTCTGAATAGCATCTCATTGATAGGTATATTCTATGCTGTGAGAATCTCAATGATGTTTGCTCGTCTCTTTATGAATTCAATATGTGAAATTATAATTAATTTTAATCATCTATATTTTGGGAGTTATTATCCATGCAGAGACAATAAAATTTACGATTAAATGTCGCATTTAATTCGATGCTAATGTTTATTTTCACACTTGTATTGAAGTTATTAAATTTGTTTTTGTGGAAATCAGTGAGCGAATACATAATTTCTTGAGCTCACGAGGTGTAGCTGATGAGTAACTGAAATCGAGATGCTCCACGTGACATTTTCTTGACACACTGAACCAATATTCATATTTTCAGTCATTCATATACTGAAATTTTGCCTTTGATGTCACTGAAAGGCGTGCTGTGGAGTTAAAGCTCAATGGTCTCTTTAATCTGTCAAGATTCTCTCAAGAGATGTGATGATTATTTTGCTGTTTCCAAGTTTATGCCCAATTCACCCAACATGATTTTCTCGTCTGTCATAATCAATAAAGCGACAGTGATTTTCCCACCGTGAGTTTCAATGTAATCTTGGGTGAGCTACAAACGTCTATAAATCGCCACCTCACAAGTCACGTGTTGCCTCACGCGTCGACAAATCCATTCAGCCTCGTTGGATGCACACTTACAAAGTGCAATAATGTACATTGATTTATGCGGAAAGAAATGATTGTCATGCTCAGTCACACAGATTTTACCTCAGAAGCACAATGATGAGAGATTGGAAACAATAAAGACGCAGAGGTGCGAAATGTTCTTGCAATTTGCCCTCGAGTGGCAATTAAAAATCAATTAAAGCGGCGAGTGAGTGCGCCAGAAAGTGCACATGTTGACCTGTGCGATGGCACGAGTGGTAAACAAACACGATTGAGGGATCCGGGGGAGAAGATTAGTCACTGTAATTGAGGAAAATGAACACACTCGGGCTCAAACATTGATACATGTGCGAGAGCGCATTATGAAGTCAACATGCGATTTGCGATGATGAATATTTGCAATACAATGCAAATTGGCTCAGTCATGATAAACACTTCTGCCCTCGTGATGGGAATGTTGAGCGCGGAAAATAGAAAACATGCAGCGAGATGCGATGCATTAATGATAAAAACGTGCTAATGTTTGTCACATTCATGCTCAGCATCGAGAACTGGGGAAGGTTATGCAATGCGGCAAGAACAAAAATCGATGAGTGAGTCGAAAATCTGACCCGAATCACCGCCACTCAATGCGACACAATTCCCACAAAGCTCGAAGGTTGCCTCAAGTGCAGTCTTCTTCGCTATCAGTGCATTAAATTGAAAGTGATGAAATCAAAAATATGAGCGTATTTATAGACACGAGTTTGTAATTGGTATGACTTGAAAAATCACTGCAATCTTCTCGCTGGATTTCCCAAAGGAATGACAATCAAATGAAAACATTTAAGATGCTCTATCAATTCTCGGGAAAAACAGTAATGCATCAGGGCGGAAAATGAGCAGAGTAAACATAGTGAAAATGAAAGTTGCATGCATTACAAACAAACAGAGAGAAAGTGTATCTTTTGTCCAAATGGTCCACAAAATTTATCAATTATGAACTTAATGATACGATAAATTAGGTGGCGTTACAATAAATTACATTTATGATTGCGCAATTATTAAATTACAACATTAAGATGAATCACACGCTTAGCGTGTTTGAACAGCAGTTAACTTACAGAGGTTGACTATAATTTATTAATATCTGAGCAGTTCCTAAGCCACATAAATATGAAAGCTCTATGCATACAAGCTGAATAAATAATTAATATTTATTGAGGTCAGCAGGAGTGCGAGACTGCAGAAAATAATTTTACATCCCCTCAATGCATTTGCTTTGCTACCTTATCAATATACATACAGTTAAATACTATACGCTTCTTCTGGAAAATTTCACAAGTCATGCTTTCCTTTGATCTTCCTTTCATCATTGTGGGCAGGAGAAAAATGTAATAATACGGCTTCAAAGTTCCTCTGAACGAGCAATTTTTCACAAGTGAAAGGTCGAATCGTATCTCATGCACTTTATTGATTTTCTTCCCAGGGCGAACCGTCTCAAGACGCTCGTGTTGGTACCAGCGTCCTTCGCGCCTCCCAGCGATGGGAAAGGCGTGCGACCGTGACAACCGGCGAGAGTCAGTCGATGGAGAGGCGTCGGATGGCAGCCTGAAGATTGCCGTTGAGCCACATCGCCGCCACTCGACAACTTCCATGAGTGACAGCGATTCCAGCAGCGGCTGCTCTTCAGCCTGCTACTCCACAGACGTTTCCAACTCGCAGTTCTGCCGGTAAATTTCCCTTGCTCTGAGGCATAAACATTTTCCTCGAAATTGACTTTTTTGTGGTCTTCTGCAGCTGTGACTCGCTGAATATGTCAGACTTTGATGATGACGGCTTCAAGGAGGACAAGTCAGAGCTCGGCTATCCGACGAGGGTGATTTTGCCGGCAGCGAACAAGGATTGGCACGGCACGGGAAGCAACACGAAGGGTCTGCTGGATATTGCTATCAAGACGATAAAGTTGATTCAGCGGAATCAGCTGCTGCAGATGAAGTTGGCGCAGTTGCAGGCGGAGACCCATGCATTTATAACTTCCGTTATGGCTAATCCGGAGAACAGGGAGGCCGACCTGAGCCACTCAGACAGGGAATCATCGATGTCATCGCCAGGAATGGATGAGACATAAGTGCAAAAAATATGTCTCATTTTCAGCGTGAATGGACTGTGTGTGCTTCTGTTTATCGAGTGAATGTTAGAGAAACTTTGTTAGAATGTAAGTCACTGTTCACTTCACAGTACGCCCTGCCCTGAGGAAAATTATGTAGAGAGAGAGTGTTGGAAGTCGCATTAACTTGAAGATGATAATGACAATCACTTTGGCTACAGCTGCAAGAATTACTGGATAGAGCAAAGCATCTCTTCATGAAAATACCTCCACGTTAAGATGTGCAAGTAAACATATCAGACAATGTTCAAATAGTGGCAATAAAATTTATTGGAACTGCTGAAGAAATTAATGGTTTTCATTGTAAATAAATATCAGCAGTGGAGACGCCGAGTCGATACACAATTTTCCAGGTGAGAAGTGCGATATATATACTCTGGTGGAGGCGCCTGGTGTCTAGCCGAGACACTCTGGATAGTTTTGGATAAATTCACACTCAACGTGCGAAATGCCTTCAGTGAGAGCTTTAGCGCAATTTTCACCATGTTGCACAAGAAATACCTCTCTTTAGCGTTATTTCCAAATTTATAATTTATACTTTTTAGCGGTAGAAAATGTTTTCGTGCCACCCACATTGAAAAGAAGCGCGCAATGTTACAGGTGAAAATGTTTTCAATGTTGCACGTAATGAGACACAATTAACTATGGTGATAATTCTCGGTGAATTAGACCACAAGTTCATTGTACATTGCAAAATCATCCGCTAATTCTTTTCGTGTATCTCTTGAGATGATCACGACCTTGGATAGGGCAAATTGCTGCACATTTTTAGCGTGTCAAGAATTGTCATATTGCAAGTCACAAATTAATCAGAAAGAAGATGTTTACCTTGCGCGAGAATCACATTATTTTTCATGAACTTGTCCATTGTTGCACAATATAATTAATTTCAATTACCTTCCATTGCCTTGAAGGCCCGAAAAATATACCCGCAATGTGAACTTTGGGTGTTAAGCGGATAAGTGAGTGATTTTTTTTGCGAAGGTTTTCCAACGCATTGAGATCAGTAAAGAAATGCACTAAACCAGCCGGTGTTAAATGTCTTAGAGACATGGAATAAATCATTGTTGAGCAATGGTGGTTCGCATATAAAGTGTTGTAATGGTATTTGACGTTTTTCGGCGATTGCATTAATATGCAAAGTTATCAAATGGCTTTACAACTATTTACATTTACTGATTGGATGGGAATGAATGGTGTTTTCCGTCACGTATGCCATAAACACTCCATCGATTAAATGTGGAGCGATCGTGATCTATGAAGGGACAGATTTCAGCCTAATTGAGAGACACCAAAAAGCATTAGAAGAGACATTAACTGGTAGTACAAATGCTGGCACTCTATCATTTATATCTTCATTCTTATTCTGCTCATATCTCCTCCTCCTACACAAGAAGAACCATTTAGAGCATCAGACAACGTTGGCTGAAGACTCTTCAGATTTCATAAGTGTCTGAAAGTTACCTCACTGTCGCATCAATTTCAGAGACGCACTGCTATCATTTTGATCCACTCCCGTCGGATCGAAGAGGTGGTGTTTGTCTCACCTTTTCGACAGCCCGCGAAAACCTGTGCAGCATGGCGTTTTCATTCCCCGCCGAGTCACATTCTCCGGTGGAAACTGCTCGCCACTATTCCGAGGAACGTAGAGCTGGTCAGACGGAGAGCGCCTTTTCGGATTGACTCATCAAGTGTTTGTGATACGCATTGAAATTCAAATTGTGCCAAGAATTATTGTGCAGTTTTTCTGTGAGTTTCTCTTGTGCTAATGTGAGTTCAAAGTCAGAAGATTCTGGCACGTTTTGAGTGTGATCATCTGTGGAAATCAGAGCTAATTCAGTTCACCTCAGAAGCACCGCGTGAATTTTGGTGGCTTTCCGGGGTAATTGTGAGAAAAACGAGGTGTTAGATCATAAGTCATTGATCACTTTAACATGACTTATTGCCTTTTCCGCCTAAAATGACATGACAATTAAATTACACTCAATCGTACTCAATGCAAGTCTCGGGCAGAAGCTGGCCCACATTGTGGACTTCCTTTCACCCCAATTCTTCACTGCAGTCGTTGGCTTTCCGTTAAATAACTGAAGTTTGTGAATTTTTGAACATTGCGCAATTTATGCCCAAAAATTCATATCGATAAAGTGAATGGTTTTCTCGTGGTAATTGTGCAAATGATGTCTCGCCCAAAATATCCTCGCCACATTTTGCAGACAAGTTGACACAGTTTTCCCTCCAAATTCCAACCACTTCATGTGTGACTTCCATGATGAAATAGACACGGACTTGCGACTCCTCTGCAAATTTCATGCAGCATTATAAAATGATCACAGCTTAATTCATGTCATAGAACACAAATTTATTTGCGTTTTATTGCAACTGTGTTGCTGTTCATGATCACCTTGAAATCCTCGTATTTGCAGCAAGTTGCATTTGGAACAAGTTTACAAGAAAATTGCGTTGAACAATGAAAGCACACAACAGGGCTTCACTATGCACTTGATATCTTTATACACATTGTGCCACTGGTCACGTAGTTCTTGCACTCGATACACTTCCATTGACTAAAATTTGAGCGCAAAGTTTCAAGATCACTCTCAGTGCACGCGGACAGAAGAAACACACGAGTTCACATGTGATAGAGATTTTTACATAACCACTTTCGGTTTCAAGTTTATCCTATGTGGGTCAGCGGCTGTTCGCCTTATAAAATCGGATGAGAGATTGCCCATTTTTTTCTTATTAGCACTAAACAGTGTCTCTGTTTCATCTCCCATTTCTCACCTCACGCATTTTTAACATTTGATGGATGAGGCAATCTCTGCACAGACAATGCATCGTGGACTTGGCAATAAAATTACTAGGGCGATGATTTTAGCAACAGACAATCTGACTAAATACTTCATATGATGGGTTAACTTCAAGCATTCTATGTACATATTATCATTGGAGAGATTTTCTGAGTATTGCCCGAGGTGTTCTATCTCTTAATTAAATTTTATTTACGCTTCAAATCTCACCAATTTGCATATTTCGCACTGAACATTGCGCATTCCATCAATTTGACGAGTCTGGCAAAATCTGCAAAAAGAAAAATTCGCCACTGTATTTTTAGCTCTTCACTTTACATCTTCTTCAGCCATTCATCTTGTTGATATAATCCATTGTCACACTCTTTTTGCACCCAAGGCATGACTGCTGAGATAATTTTTCACTGGTGGTGACAAAGAAGTAGATTGAGAAAACCAGCACTTATGATATTGTGAACATAACTGGGAAGCGCGATGTTGAACTTGACTTTGAACTCACAAAATTGCTTGAAACGTGAATTCTCGATGGTGTATAATTGAGTCATTTTCAGGTTGGAGGAATACCCGAAGTTGCTGAGTGTGTTTGAACAATTGAGAGGAACTCTTTGCCATCGCGATTCAGTGAATGTCAACTGAACCATGCGCGACACGCGGCTCATAGCATTCATTCTTCTATCTATCAATTACTTCGTGCCGCAGATATGTGGTCAAGAGCTGCTGCGGACCCTGTTTGCCATGACGAACGACATCTACTTCAATCAGTCTTTCAGGGACACGGTCGACTTTCTGCCAGAGTATGACTTTATTGTGGTGGGCGGTGGAAGCGCCGGAGCCGCAGTGGCTGGCCGTCTGGCTGAGGTTGAGGAGTTCAGTGTGCTCCTCCTCGAAGCTGGCCAGGACGAGACCATCCTCACTGATGTGCCCTTATCGGCCAGCCTGAATCAACTCACAGCCGCCAATTGGGGCTACAAGCCCGAACCCAGTCCGATTGCGTGCGTAGGACTCAAAGGCGGCACTTGCAACTGGCCGAAAGGACGAGTTCTGGGCGGTACGAGTGTCCTGAACTATCTGGTCTTCAACCGTGGCCATCGACGAGACTTCGACGGTTGGGCGGAAGCGGGAAATGTCGGTTGGAGCTACAGTGATCTTCTGCCATACTTCAAGAAACTCGAGAATGTACAAGTGCCGCAGTTTCAGGACCCCGCCTACAGAGGCATGGATGGTCCAGTCACAATTGACCAAAGTCCCTTCGAGACTAAAATGTTGAGAGCTTTCCTCGAGGCTGGCCCGAAGTTTGGATACAAAATCAATGATCCCAACGGAAGGGAAATGTTGGGCTTTTCCAAAATTCAAGCCACGCTTCGCAATGGTCGAAGATGCAGTTCTGCAAAGGCTTATCTTCGTCCAATGGCCAACAGACCAAATCTACACATCGCCAAGAGGAGTTGGGTGACCAAAATCCTCATAGATCCCATTACAAAGACTGCCACAGGAGTGGAATTCCTCAAGAACAAGCGGAAATACGCCATTAGAGCATCCAAGGAAGTGATCTTGTCAGCCGGCGTGATTGGATCTCCTCAGTTGCTCATGCTCTCGGGCGTGGGACCAGCTGATCATCTCAAGAGCCTGGGCATTCCTGTGCTGCAAGACCTGAAGGTGGGATACAACCTTCAGGATCACATGTCGCTGCCAGGACTGGTGTTTCTCATCAACAAACCCTTGTCTGTTCGAGAGAGGGATGTTAATAATCCCTTAACTGTCATGGATTACTTCCTCTTCTCGCGTGGACCTCTGACAATCCCCGGAGGATCCGAAGGATACGCCTTCGTGAAAGTGCCCAACTCAACATTGCGTAAGAGATCTTGATAGATTTTCTAGCTCTATTGCAAATCACAAGGCAAATCACAAATTTGAATAGCCAATAATTTGGCAATTCTTTTATTTCAGTCATAAAATATTCCATAAATTTTATTTATTTCCGAAGGTGAAGCCAATTAAGTCACTCATCAATTCATAATAATTAAATTTATTTATAGCATTGTGTCATTACCAGAAAAACCACTTTTTCTCTGATCTCTAAACATTAATTTTGACTGATATGCATATGTTTTGAAAGAAAAAATGTTAATTATACTTTTCTCGGTGCACTTGACTTCACGTCAACTGACCCGATATCATTATTTATTGGCTTTATTGGTAGTAAAATTTTATGGTGTTGAGGTATGCAAAGGCTGTTAACACTCATATTTCACTGCATGCATTTCTGTTTGTTTTGCTCGTTCGCAGCTGATGACTATCCTGACATTGAAATCGTTTTGGGCACCGGTGGTCTCAACAATGACGACTCCAGGGCGATTGGACACCTGCTCGGGATTCCAGAGCAGTTCTACAGGAAGACTTACGGACCTATTCTCGGGAAGCACTCCTTCAGCTTGGTGCCAGTCAGCATGAAGTCGAGGAGTCGCGGGCGAATCACTCTCAGGAGTAAGAATCCCTTCCACTGGCCCAAAATGGTGCACAATTACAATCAGGATCCCGAGGATGTGAGAACCTTAGTTGAAGGAATTAAACTCTGCGTGAAGATTGGCGAGAGTGAGAGCTTTAGGAAGTACGGAGCGCGCCTCAATCGAATACCTTATTTGGGCTGTGAGAATGAAGTCTTCGGCAGCGACAAATACTGGGAATGCTGCATTCGTCAGATTGGATCAAGTCTCCAGCATCAGGTAATCACACGTGGCTGAAGAAAGTTATATCAAATTAATAATTGTGATTTTTCTTGCAGGTCGGCACTTGCAAGATGGGTCCTTCAGGCGATCCGAGTGCCGTGGTGAATCCTAATCTGCAAGTCCACGGGATCCGCAATCTCAGGGTGGCGGACGCCTCAATAATTCCCGTCATTCCAGCCGCGCACACGAACGCCGTGGCAATGTTGATTGGCGAAAAAGTGGCAGATATGATTAAGAATTTGTGGAGGAATTCTGTGTGATCGTTTCTAGCATCTCAGAAGTCAAGACAGTGGCCTAGTCATAAAGTTAATGCTGTAGAATATCCAATAAAATAAAATTCATCAATTTCGCGTGTAAATTTTATGTCATATGATGTCAAATTTGACCATGATCTGCATAATTTACAGCAATGCTCATAACTTCTTCGTCGCGATAAACTCAATGAATACAAAATTGGCTAATAAATATTTCGGGCGAAGTCATTTCATTGCTCATTAGGAATTCTGAATGACAAGATCAACCTCTTGTCTTTTTTTTCTCTTCTGTTTTGTACAAAAGTTTCTATATTTTATTTCAAGTTTAAGCTCACAAGGCGGAAAGTACGAGTTGCAATTTTAGATATTCTGCACTTTCATCACTGAAGACTAAGTGAAAAAAGTGCAGACAAAGCGGAATCGTTAGTCAATCGATAAGCAAATTATAAAGTTAATATGTTTCTACATTTTCATAAATAAACAAATCCGTGGAATTCATTTCAAAAGCACTTCAGCAAGAGTCATGCGCGCAGTTTTGTACACCTTTTCCCCTTCTGTTCAGGGCTGAGCACAGGTGAGAAGCTCCCTTTCACACTCTTTATGGGATAACTTATCGAGATTAAAGAAAACACGTATCTTGGCATTTATACAGCAAACTGAAAAAATCGTACAAAACAATTCATGTTGTATAAATTTTATCCTTGGACAGAAAGGAAATTCGCCTGGAATTTCTCACAGTGTAAACACAAAGAGTGAATGTGAGGCGTTTCGACGCCGACGCTCTTCAGTCTTCGCCTCCTCCGTCAAAATTTTATACTTTTGCCCTAACATTTTGCCTCGGGCAAAGTCATTTTCCTCTTCATGCTGCACCGAGTTAGTTTTAGTTCGCATGAAAATTTATCGTGAGACTTTTTGACACCGAATCAGTGTGAAAATAGTGCGATTTTGAGACACTTTCGACACACAGAGTGACTTGTTGTCCAGAAAACCTCGTCAATTTATACGTAACGCACGAAAAAAGTGTGATTTTCCACATGAGGAGCACCTCAGAGTTCATGGAATAGAACACAAAAGTCACCAGTCAAATTCAATCAATAGTGTTTTTTCGGTGAGTGGGAAAGGCAACACCGGGAATCAATGGAATTTTTCTACAAGAGGAAATTTTTGTCCAAAATGTTGAATACCTGAAAATGGTGTGTAGAACACCTTGTCGTTAATCAGGGCGTCTCCATTCGCACTTTTCGTCTTTGCTCAAAATATTTATACTCCAAGAACACCCAATTTTACGAGAAATCACTTCACCGTGCTAATTTTATTCACGCCTCTCTGCTTTGGCCTATCGAATATTTTCGTATATATGAACAACATCAAAGTCCGAAGCGGGGATTTTCTGCAATTTAATAATAGTTATACACTCATAGTGCCAATTTCACGTATAAATATTTTCCTTCGAACTGTTTTGAGAGTCATTTGGAAGCCCCGAATCGGCGATGAGATATCAGAGAAGCATCGAAATGGCATGTGAAAGCGTATCCTTTGTCAATATGGATCAATATCGCCGGATGAACTTTTTCCGCTCCATTGATGAATGTTCCAAATTGTCTTCTAATGTATACACAATACCCACTCTCGAGGGTGGGTGAAATTTGCCATCAGTCGCGCTCGCAACATATCATCTCAATGGCTTTCTTTCCACTCTCACCCTCCCGAATTTGCTCTCCTTTTCTACGAGGAGATAATCCGACGAGAGCTTTTGCGCGTCTCTGCCTCAATAGAGATCATTTCCTCAGATTTTCACCCAGACATGACTCTATTCATGGTGGAGAGACAAGTCTTTAAAGCCTCGACATTCTTCTCTTGCAGACACGGCGATGAGACGCCTAAGAGCCGGGCAATTTGAGGAATCGTGACAACATTTCCAAAGAATTTTGGACAAAAAGCGCACCAGAGAATCACATTTGGACAGACAGCACTTTTCCGGGCCATCAAGGAAGGAATTCAAACGACGAAGAGAGGAAGTGAATTGTTCTGGCGATGAATACGATCAATTTGTCATGTGTCCTCACGAGTTTTACGCTTTTCCTCTTCACAGTGCTCTTTCAGCCAGGTATAACTTTTCCCCACCGCACACTACAATTCCATATTTAATTCATTCGCTCCCAAATCCGGTGCATTTCAATTTGCATCCCCATTTCCAGGAATGCATGTGATTGGCCTTTGGGCATGATTTTGTATTGAATAACAAGCACAGAATCGAATAAATACAATGGAATGATTTGTCATTTTCAAAAGCTTTGAAGCTTTAACCAAAAATACTCATGCATATTGAAATTACATCACTTTCGACAGAGATAATCTGGTGGAAAATACAATTTGCCGAATCGACGCATCCTCAATTAAAATGGGAAATGCTAAAGTGATATTTGCATTAATCCTCGCATATTTGCAAAAATCACAATAGATTATCTCACTGAGTGAATTTATTGTTCAATTTCAGTGAGTGGCATCGATTGCTTCAAGTGTGTCTCATTCAATGGCGCCAATAAGGCGTGCGATGATCCTTTTCACAATAACTTCTCCACCGCGATCCTCGAGTCGCCCTGCATGGGTGGCAGAAAAGGACGCGACGGACTCTTTCCGGCCACATCGTGCATAAAGATAGCCGGATATTATGGTGAGTAGATGAGCAAATCGTCACAAACTCTTCCTAAAATTCCCCCTCTGCGCCAACAGACGACACTGGCGAGACGATAACAGTGCGAGGATGCGCCCTAGACAGTGGAACACTCACGACGGACACGGAAATCATCCGGATGTCTCACTGTGGCAGATTCTACTACGACGAGAGGTACGTTCACGGCTGCCTCCAGAGCTGCAACGACGCCGACGCCTGCAATGCAGCTCCTCGACTCACCAACACGCCCATCACTCTGGCTCTCATCGCGATAGTCCAACTCCTGACGGCGATCCAGAGATAGCACGTCCAGGACGTGACGGCGCTCAATCTGTAAGAAGCACAGCCATCGCCACCCTCCGCTTCTCAGCACTTTCACCCGTTCTCCCGGAGCTGAACTTAATTTATCATGCGCCTTTCACGAAGGAGTCAATCACATGGGAAAGACGAGGTATTTCGCTCTCCACTCAGCCATGCAGGGGCGTAGTTAAGGTAGCCGGTGACAATTGTAACGACTCTCAGTGATTTATATACATTCTCTCTTCCTTTCCGACCAAAGTTTGCCACTCAATTCGTCATGAAATGAATAGAAAATCTGTCATCAATCCCAATTTAATGTATATTAATTTGAATTTCTCTGTCTGTGCCATTGAAAATGTAAGACGCTCTTTAGAATACTTTAATTTGTAGCAAATTTACAACACTTAGCAAGAAATTTATCCAAATATTTAACCATCTGAAAGTGATAAATACCTGAAAGTCCCGCTGTTAAATTGTTACGGCGATAATTTCGCATTGGGGTTGCAAAGGAAATGACTAAAGAATCTGTTTTTCATACATAATATTGGCTTTATTTGATTTGAAGTCCCATAGAGTACAATTCCAACTTGGATTTTTCACTCAATTACCTATGAATTCTCAAGCGATTGACTTCATGGAGGAATTTAGAACCATTTTTCTCGTAATAACAAATTTCATTGTACTAATCAATCCGTATAAATGCATAGGATGAAAGTGCCTACACCTCTCACTATTTCCCCCAAAATATTGTCCACAATCTCAACAAGCCCCAATCATTGAATTTCACATAGAAAGTTTGTATGACGCACTATAATAACGCTAAAGAGTTTACATAACTGATAGTTAAGGAGAAAAATTACAACTCAAAGAACCAATATACAATTGAACCAGTTTTTGATAAAGGAAACATGATAAATCAGGCTTTCTTCTACGTCTAAAAATCAATGACCATCCACTGGAAGAAAATATCCTAATCTGATCGAGACAAATTGTCGCAATTAACTAAGGCAAAAGGTAAACTAGAATTCCTAAATTAATGGAAAGAAATCAATGGCAGTCATATCAACCGAGTTTAAGTATGCAAACTATCAACTCTTATTCCATATCATGCACACATGAATCCTAAGTATTATCCTGAAATAAGCATAATCGCATTAAAACTGTGAGTGAATATTAACGTTCTTAAATTTCACATTGTAAGTACCTATATTGTTAAAGGAAATTAGTGTTTTGTCCTCGATATTTTGAAACATACTTCTTGGCTTTTAATAGATTTTAAACATGACTATATTGTACACTTGAGAACTACCTTTCATGGTAATTTTATCGATGTTGAAACGAGATGTTATGTGAAGCACCTGTATATACTTCCCAAATCACTTGATGAAACTCATTGAATTAATTAATTTCTCCTATTCTGCATAAGTGAGCATTGTTTGTCTAACGTAGACTCTTTCCTTTCGAACACAATGCATTTTCTCTCCTTAAGAGGATTCATCAAACACAAGAAATTGAATTATAAAATAAAGGAATTAACGATTTTAAGGTGAATTTTCATGCTTTGCAAGCCTCACTGGGAAATGTCTGGCATTACAACTATAAATCTTTCAATTGACTAGACTCGCCTCTGTAGCAGGAAAGTACTACTCGTGCGCCTAGAAAACATGCTGTAAATTTGGTCATCTGTGACATATTCTAAAGCTATAAGTCCACATTCTTTAGATTAGAGCCAGTTGCCGTTGGCAAACCGACGTCCGTTGGAGGAACGAAGGTTCCAATTGGCTTCACGGCGGCGTCTCGCTCCATCAGCTTCGTCATTTCCAGCTTCAACTTGTCCAGAATGGCGTAGTTAGGTTGATTGATAGCCGCCTTGCTCTGCAGTACCGTAATTTCCTGCTCCTCCTGCTTCTTCTCCTTGAAACTCTTGATGCTGCGATTGCCGTACAAACGCAACAAACTGCCCCACGTCTTGATGTGCGGATGCAGAATCTGCAAAATGGCTTGCGACGCTCTCTGCTTCCCATCCCGCTTGTTCTTGCACACCACCGATGCCGAGTGCTTGCCCACGATCATCTTGAACTCATTCTTCTTGTGGTTGACATTGTTGATCTCATACTGAATCTGCACGTCGCCCAGGCCGAAATTCCTCTGCAGGCACGTGAGCAGGATTGCATGCGGAGATGGCTCAGTGGTCTTGGCACAGAATTCCGCCACGCGCGGATCTTCAATCTTGATCTCGTCAAACACAGACAAGTCATGATAGTTCCTGGACGACGAAGCGCTGCTCTCCTTCTCCTTGTCGCCCGTGATCTTGTCCTTCATCTGCGGAATGAGAATCTCGAGTGTCTCACGCGCAGCCTCGCTTTTCGCCTGCTTCTTGCTGGTCCCATATCCAGTGCCGTACTTCAGCCCATTGATAGCCACGGTGGCCGAATAAGGCGTCGCCGCATTCTCCAGCTCCTTGAACTCGTACGACGGCTGCTTCTTGAGCGCATGCTGAACGTACTCGTGCAGGATGCAAACATAACTCTTCCCGTTCGGATTCATAATCCACTCCTTCTTCGTGCGTACAGCATTCGGATTCTCGCCTTCGGTGTTCAGCACCGGAAATGTGATCAGCTTCGTGCCGTCCGGAAGAGTTGGCCTCTGCAGATTCTTGATCTGCTTCTTGTTCTTCGTGAACTTCCTTCGCGCCGACCAGGACTTGAAGCGCCTCACCTTGATCGTCTTAAAGTGGAAAAGTTTCTGGCAGTATTCAGTGACTTGCACTGAAGTCAGAGACTGCGCCTTCAGATTCTCCTTCACCGTCTCAATCTTGGCATTGGGCAGCGGCAGAAGTTCATGCCCGTTCACCGGCCCATTGGTTTCACCGGTAGGTTCCACCTTCAAGCCCAGCTTTGCTTCAGCCTCCTTCTCCAGAGCTTTCATGTAGTTCAAACAGGGCACGGCGCTTAAGGGAATTTCATGTTTCTGCAACGCAAATACCACCAATTAGCATCAATTGCACGGACAACAGAGAGCGCAAGACTCACCCTGACACTCCCCGGTCCGAGGAAGTACGGCCTGGAGGCGCAACACACGCGCGAAGCCTTGTGCAAATACAGCGGAATGCCGCTGTTGTGTGTCACCTGCACCCATCCCTCTGGCAGCACCTCGAAGTGGTTGCGCCCCTTCTCCTCTAGCACAATCTTCGAGCGCTCCTCGTATTGGCACTGCTTCTTCTTGTTGCGCAGCTCTTCCGGCAGCCCGGCGTCCAGCAGATTCTCGATATCCTCGTCCTCCAGCTCCGACTGGCTCTCGTCGTCCTCCCCCTCGGACTTGGATCCTGTTTCCCATGGCGGAAAGAGAAGCCAATGAGTTAGGAGAAGGTCACAATCTGGTTACCTTTCTACGTGCCCTCATCGTCAGATCCGGAAGCCTCTGCGAGTTCGTCCAACACTTGAAACTTGCGCAGTTCACTCTCATTCTCCACGTCGTGATTCAGCTTCACCTTCTTGTAGGGACACTCGCCGTCCATCGCCACAACTTCCGGCCGGCGCTAAATGCCTTTCCAAGCCACAAATATCGCACAGAAATGCTCTCAGTGAAAAATGGCCACCTTGACGAGTCGGCCTCTTTATGGGAAAACCAATGTTAACAACGTCCAAGAATCAATACTGACAAATTGGACCTTCACTTCACATTGGCTAGCATAAAGAAGCCACTTTTGGGGTCATGATCTTCTGTCTCTGGCACAGTTTGTGCAGCTAATCAACGGGGGAAAAGTTGATAAATCTGTGAAGTCTATTGTTTTGCAATGAACTCTCTGTAGAAAGTCACGAAAGAGTCCAATTGAAAACTAAACTTCACCGCTTTCTGGGGCGCTTTCTGGACTATTTCGCATCACAGTGACATAGCTTGGACCCTCTACTTACGACTAACGATACGATAAATGAGATTTTAGGGTGATTAAGGTAAGTTTGTGAAGGAAAAGCTGAATAAACACACGATTCGCAAATAATGGCTGCGAAGCCAAACGTCAAATTGCACGCACTCTCAGGGCAGCCAACTTGGCAGCAAATTCCCCACTAGAGGGCATTGTGTGTTACAAAGAGGCGAGAATGAGCTTTTTAAAAGAAACGAATTAAAGGGTTTAAAGGGCTTAAAAACCAACAAATTAAATGGTAATAAATGCATACATTTTGCGGTGATACCATTTCGCTGTCAATTCAAAATCGATTTTTTCTTATTTTAAATATTAAAGCAACCTAACCATATTAATTACAAGATTAATTAACTACTTATTTATATGATTCATTTCATCCCTCAACTCTGAAAGAGATTCATAAAAAATAAAATACAAATCCACAATATGATATTTCATCAAAAAGATTATTTGAATTTCTATTTACACATGATTTTCACATGAATTTATTCTGTGAAAATTGTCCCAATCCAGAAATCATTGCCTTACCCTGACCTTCTTGTCACTAACTGGCTTTTCATATTTCCGATGTCAAGAACATCTTTCATTGATTTATTGGCGGTTGGATATTGATCCGCAAATTCCACTCCAAGGTGTATCGCACTGTTGAGATTTCCCCGCAGCCGGAGCACGACAGCAAATTGAAATGGGGATGGCGAGACTGAGGGTGGGCTAAATTAGCAAATGGAGAGCGAGTGTAAGGAGCTGGTGAGGAGTTGGGGTGTGCGTGGAAGAAGTAACGCAATCAATCAAAAAGGATTTACGACGGTTAAGGTGTGTTTTTGGCTTCTGAACGCCCGAAAAGGATCGAAATATATCTTTCTTTCCCATCGATGACTCCAAATTACTCCCAGTGCGAATGGAAATCGGGATTTCTTCTTGTGCATACAATTTTCCTCTCCACGTATCGATTCCACATTTTTCAGTATCATCGTCGTCGGATGGGATGGGAGAACGCGTGGCTCGTTAAAGTGGCATATTTTCGATTGATACATTTACTGTCGTCTTTACGACACTTTTTATTTGCACGCAAGTTGTTAGTACAATGTTCTATGGGGAGTGCTGCAATGTCAAGTGGTATCTATTTGCGAAGATCTAAAAAAGCACCCTCCACTCTAGCCTGACACGTGTTTCACGTCTCTATTTATTGTCGCTGCTCCGCCCGTCCACCAGCATCCGAGTCATCACGCAGCGGACGAGGAAGTAGACCTTCTCGCACACGTTATTCGTGTGATCCATTTCCTAAATTGAGAACATTGAGAATCCCCGGCGACGGGGTCGAGAGATGGGAATACAAATCGCTCCTATATTTCACATTTAACCGTCCTACGTACCTTCTTGCAGTCGTCGATGCCGTCAGTGGTGAGCGTGGGGAACATCACCAGCACCTTCTCGTCGTTGATGTCGCCCTCGTCGCTGATGATGGACGTCTTCTCCAGGTAGCACTTGAGAAAGCACATCGGCGTCTTGTCGGACTCGTCTGGGAAGCTGCCCGTCTTGTTCAGCTCCTGCAGGAACTCCTCGGTGGTGCGGAAGCTCTCGTTGCACGCCACCATTGCCTCGAGTGTGGTCATTTCCTGCCCCGAGCGCTTCGCAGGTGTGGACATCGATCCCGATTGCTGCATCTTCAAGGCGTCGCAATTGATGGCAATTGCCACAAAGGCCATCGCCACGAGGAGATAAATCTTGGGATTTTGACTGAACATTGCGACCCTGGAGAAGAGGAGAAAGGATTGGGAAATGGTGATGAATAAATCCCTGGAGGTTTCCTCAGATTTCCTGAAAACTTGGATGGATTCTGTACCGTAGAGAGCAACTTATCACATTTCGTACATATTTTGAGTTTATTGGAAGTTTTGCTTTCCACCATTTAAAGTTTGCTGTGTTGAAATGTTCAAGAGGATGAAATGAAACCTTTCTAATAGAACTGCTGGGCATCGTAAGAGTTTTTCAACAATGAAGTACTTTAAATTGTAGTCCCTCAATAACTAATGATAATACTATAATTTTCTTCACTTTAATGCCTTTAATGCGTAAGATGACACAGGTGGGATTATTCAACAGTCTTATCTCATCATCATATTATTCTAATTACGCTTAATATAGCATATTAATGTTGAAAACTCCCAATTTAACGTAATGATTAGAAAGCTTAACTATTGTCATTCAATGCAGCTTTTAAAACTAGAACGCGAATAATGAGTAATCCTTGTTTGGCCACAGCCTAAAACTAATACACATGTCGAAAATATCCAAAATTGAAACTCAAATTTCATATTCATTCAATATTGAAACCACTCGCTGAAGATTATTCGATTCTGCACACATTTTCCCGAACAATATTCAGCATTCAATACTTCTACCGCACTTTTAATCAATATAGTATGAAATGAATTGAAAATGAACACTTTTCATCCTTCGAATAACATTTTCTCAATCAATATTTCCATGATGAATATGAGAGCGACTGAATTCACTGAAAAGCTCAAATTGCTCACTGAAAAGTTCTCTTCCTTTGCCGTGTGAAAGCACTGAGTCAACAGATTACCTCTCGCGTGAACAAATCTATCGCAAATGATGAGCATTGCAGTGGAAAAAGGCACTTTTATACACAAATTGTCTGCGGATGAATGATAATGTCTCCATTGAAGAGTGCGTGATTTGTGTGGTCAAAAGTGTATTGAGTCCGGAAGATGCATCGCCAGCGAACGCGAAGTATCCGGTAAATGAGCAAATAAATGGCCCCTAACAAATGGACATCATATTCAATTCAATTAGCGTGACATTGAGACATGATGCTCTCATCAATTTCGTGCAATTTCCCGCGGCAATGGTGAAATGAGAAGGCAATTGGACATTTGCTGACTTAATTTATTTGCTCTACATCCCTTCGGGGCTGACGTCACACTGTCCAGGATGGCTCGGGGTCCGTGGGCGGGCGCTTAGTGCTCGTGCGGGGTGTTCTGGCCGGCAACGTTGTCCATCACGGAGCTAGGCATGCTGTTGGGGGCGCCAGTGGTTGGAGCATCGCCGCCGCCGCCGCAGGCCATTCCGTTAGCGTGCTGCATGGTGTCATTCTGAGTCTGGGTGGCGGTGTTGGTCTGGTTCTGGGCGAAGGTCTCAGTCTCGGCGACGGGTCCAGAGACAGGTCCGTCGACTTGTGGCATTGCTGACACTTGTGGAAGAAAAGGTTGGTGTTGGTGGATTTTCTGACATGCTCTGGATAATCAAGCCAGAGCGTTTCGTCTAATTCGCTCTGAAAGCCAGTCTTGAAACGATTTTGCTCCACTGGAGAATAATTTGCATAGAAGTGCGTCAAGGGTTTGCTGCATTTGCGCGCAAATCCAGCAAACCCATAAATCCTTTATAGTGAATATTTACCACTGATGAGGAGCGTGCAGTAGGCGAAGAAAGCCAATGCAAGGACGTAGGAAGTAGCTCTGGCCATTTCTGGAACTGAATGTCTGCAAAGGGATTGACTGTCACGGAGGTCAGTTTCGCCCCTTCTTTCTTACCTGATACTCTGGAAGGCTTCTGAAGTGTTGTGGTGCCTTCCGTGGTGTCTGGCACGGATTTATATACTCGAAATTCAAGTGTTGACTGAGTGATAAGCTGTCAATTATTGCCAATTACACGAGGAACTGGGTTGCATTTGATAGTGCACAGTAATTTGTCTGGCGAGCGGCGTTCTGTATCGCGTCGATATACATTAATTGTTGACATGCAATTGACTTTGGGCGGGGAAGAGAAAGCGCGCCCACGCGTGGCGCAGAATATATCTGAAATTTCCTAATTAAATTTATTGTCTCGAAGGGACGTCGCCTATTACAATCTTAATCTCAGAGTGATGTCTTCTCTAAGCTCGTGTCGAGGAAAAAATCATACAAAAGGGGGCGGGAATTGATGGGGGAATTACTTAGCGAGCTCCCCAGGCCCGTCGAATGAGGTGGACGCCCTTCTCGGCAATCATGATAACGGGGGCGTTTGTGTTCCCAGATGTTACTTTCGGCATGATGGACGCGTCGATTACCCTCAAACCGCGCACTCCGTGGACCTGAGAAGACAAAGGAATGTTTTGCATAACAGACACCACAACATGGTTCATGATTATGAGCCTCACCCTCAGTTCGTGATCCACGACAGCGTACGGATCCCGAAGAGGCCCCATCTTGCAGGATCCAGCTTGATGGTTCTCCGGTCCGGTGTTCTGCTTCACGGCGCACTCCCAGTACTGTTGCGTGCCGAATCCCAGATTGGCACAGGCTGGAATTGCAGTTCGGTCCAGCTGCATTCCATAGGCCCTCAGAGAAGGCGTCTCGGACAAGGCTATCGCGAATTTGATGCCCTCCACAAGCACCTTCACGTCGATCTCCTCGGTGAGATAGTTGGCCACAATCTGGGGATGAGCCAGAGGATCATTGTTGGCCAGAGTGATGTATCCGCGACTCTTGGGATGCAGCACAGCTGGGAAGATCTGAATGGAACGGGAACCATTGGATCTCAGCTCCCCAACCTGACCAGTCATGGCGCAGTCAGCGAGGAAACCGCCGAAATAGAATTGCAAATCCGGACTGTTTCTGTCCTCGGCGAATCTGCTGGAGATCTTCGCGGTGACATCGGAAATCCCTGTGCCAGACATCAGGCCATCGCGGAAGAGGAGATACTCCATAGCCGTTGCCCAATTAAGGGCTGCCGTGTCAGAGTCGTTGATGAAGAAGTTCACGAAGTATGCCACGTGATTGTGCAGATTGCGACCGACGCCGGGAAGGTCGACAATGGGACGCACTCCAACCCTCATGAGATCCTCCTTGGGCCCGATGCCGCTCAGCATGAGGATCTGTGGTGAGTTGACGGCGCCTCCGCTCACGATGACCTCCTTCTTCACCAGAATCTTCCGCGTGTGTCCAATCTTGTCAATTATCTCAACACCGTGAGCGCTCTTCGACATTGGATGGACCAGAACTTTGGTCACTGTCGTGTTCAGCATTATGTGGAGATTGGAGCGATCGCGCGCGGGCCGAATGTACGATCGTGCTGTGCTCATTCTGATGCCGTTCTTGCTGGTCATCTGCGCAATCATAAAGCCCGTGCTGTTGGCCCCGTTGAGGTCATGTACACCAAAGCCCAGCTCTTGGCCACCCTTGAGAATGCCATAAGAGAAGGGCGGGTGGTAGGGGAACTTGGAGACCGGAAGAGGTCCTCCGGTGGCGTGGAAGTTCTCGTCCACCTCGTCCATCTGCTGATTGTCCTCGGCCTTCAGGAAGAACGGCAGCACATCGTCATAGCCCCAGCCGAGATTTCCCAGTGACTCCCACTCGTCGTAATCCTGTGGATTTCCTCGGATGTACATCATGCCGTTGATCACCGACGTGCCGCCGAGCACTTTCCCACGTGGCCAATAGCATCTCTGTTCCGGCGACGAGAGGCAGGCATTTCTTTCCGGTTCCGTGCGGAAGGCCCAGTCGATGTCGCTGCCGATAAAGTTGAGGAACATCGATGGGATTTGCACGCCCGTCGGCTCATCACCGCCTGAAAGTGAGCGAGAGAGACGAGATTGCAGATGAATCTGGCGATATTGCAAAGCACAGCTTAATTGAACCTTGTGGAATTTCTCAAATATACTCAATCTTAATGAGTCCATTGTTCAGCGACTTTCATGGCCCGAAAATGCGCCCGAAGAGGAGATTGAACAAAATTTGAATGTTGCAATTTTGCCCAGATTTTGGACTTGCTGAGTGTTTGTGCTCTTTTTACCGCGCGAGATCATGACATTTAATACCAGTTCAGCCGACGTCTTTTTTCCATCCGCGACCTGCTCTCTTTTTACTTCACGTGTGTTTGCAGTTGAGCAATATTGCTCCAGAAGACAAGGAATTCACCATTTACACGCCAAAGGTAACGAAATGATAGTCATACAGCCTCTTTGGGTAAAAGATTTTTCTTTAATGTCACACACATCAAGGTTCAATCGCAGATGCGATACTTATGGCTCACAGTCACTTCTCAGGGATGTTTTCCTCCCATTCAGCTTGGCTCAAAATTCAATAAAGCACCAAATTAAAACACCATTTCTCCTCTTTAATTCGATTTGCTGCGTGTTTCCTCATTCAGCATTTCCTCATCTTTCTCCACACTTTTTTCATAGCCTCTTGACTCTCTCCCCTGATGGCCGCCGTCCCACCCACGCCACCTTGCATAACACGTCTCCATTATTGCTGTCTCCTTCGCGGCAGCATCCCACCCCCGCGCACCGCCCGGGACCGTAAAATGTGAAAAATCGGTGGATGAAATGTAAATCAGAGGAGAGCATGTTGAGGATATAAAAATTATTTATGCTCATTGAGGCATAATCGTACACATTAGACACGCATTTAGCATGTGGTGTGGATCATTCTCATCCCCAGAGAGGCTAAGCATTGAGAAAAGTTCCGCATAACCATTTTGATGTGAGACTTTCCTTAAGAGAGTGGTCGATAAACAAAATCTGTGAAACTCCGCCCATTCGGATGCTCCGCCTCCTTAGAAACTCATTGTAAAGCAATCAGAAAATATTTAAAGAACTCGAAGAAAGGTCGTGAAGACGCGTCAGAAACTACAATTACTAGCCTCTCGGCTGTTTGTCTCTAGTTAATCTGAGATTGATATACGTCTTGAGAAGAGAATGGCAAGAGTCTCAACAATCACAGACACATATTTGACTATAAGACGGCAAAATCTACATAATTAATACACGGAAAGCATTCATTGTACACGTTTACCGTGCATTGAAGTGTCTAAAGTCAATTTCATGTGGATGGCAAGCTAGTGTGAATGAATCTAAAGTTTTTTGCAACTACTCTCAGAGCTTTACTTTCAACGGGGTCATTGTCGAGTCTATATTTTGTACCATATATGAAGAGAATTCACTGACTCGGCGATTTGCCATGTAGATTGATAAATTGTGAAGCAATTGACGCGGGAAAGTGTTTCGAAATTTCACAGAATCCCTCATTGTTGTTTTGGCGCACTTTTTCGTGAGTCCCGCACCCGAGATTTGTATGGAAATGTGTGCCTTTTCATTGGAACGAGTGACAAAAAAAGAGAAGTCGATGACTATGGAAAATGCGCTCCCTCGTCAACTTCTCGGCATTGTGCGAAAATTGTCCCCACACTCACCGGCTTCTATGAGAAGGACCTTCCAGTGAGGGACTTCAGAGAGACGCGACGCCACCACAGCTCCTCCGGATCCGCCACCCACAACTATGAAGTCGTACTCAATGTCTGGGGCCGATCGGGTCTGCAAAGTGAAGAGGGAAAGAATATTGTGCGGTCATGGAATAGCTGATGAGTTTCCTCGTCCTACTTTTGGCCGGTTGCAGGGATCCTCGAGGTCGCATTGTGAGCGCAGGAAGACCTCCAAGAGGCCCATGAAGAGCATGAAGGAACTCCCACCGCACGCAGACGCCAAGGTGGGCCCCACTGGAGGCCCCACCGGACAGTCACACAGAGGCATTTGGCGCAGACACTGCAAGAAAGGAACGACAAATTGATCAGAAATGCCACGAGGTCAAATACGCTGATTTGAATTCGTCGAATGCGGTATAATTTACTATGTCATATTTAAGGCACAACCGGGAAAAAATTTATGGCTAATAAAAATTCACGCGGAGAGAAATAATCAATCACACTTCAGTTGATGTATAATCAGTCAATCATAGTTCTGAGGAATGGCACATTAAAAAGAATTGAAATTACGCTGACAGGGAATTCCGCTGATTTGCAAAAATCATCTAATATGATCAGAAATTCCATGAATCACTTAGCAAATATAATTAATGTGTCGAAAAGGCTAATAAGAATCCTGGGAAAACCAAATATTGATTTATTTAACAACTAGATAACATAATAGCTGCGGTTTGGATAATTTTTTGATAGAAAAACGTGCTTCAACTGTGTGGTTTTATTCAGAAATCAAAATATAGCACGTGCTTTATTCCGAAAAGTTATGACTTTTTTGCATATTCAGAAATAGTGAATTTTTTTCTGCATCATAAACTAAAAGTTAAGAGCCAATGTTATCATGAAAAAAACATATTCAATTACTCAGTCAGCATTTCAGTAATTCACTCAGTTCAAGTTTAAAACTACTGTGATTATTGTAATAGCGATTGTTTATTCATTGCCTCATCGCGCGTCTGTTACGCCAAACACAAGAGAAAGAGTCAAATAATCCGAAATGATCTCATCTCAAATTCTGTAGATTCACTTTTGAGATAGTTCACAGCGAAAAAAATTAAATCACATCTCGAATGAAAGATTCATCACCGCATTAGCGTGTTAATTTATCATGGGACTTTCTGCCACACAATGGCATACGAATGGCGTGTGTGTGCAAGGTGAAAAAATTCGAGAAATGCCACGATTTTTTTCCATGCCCAGAAACAGATTTGAAATAAATCAAAACATCACAACAATGCGTACACTCTGCACCTCGCCATAAATTTTTCATGATGGATTCCGCAGCTGCTCTTGCCATGTCTCTTCAGCAATGGCAATATAGTTGCAAATGCAAAAAGTCAGCTGACCTCATTGCTATTCATGTGTTATCTAATCAAATTATGTGCTAATTGCATACATTGGTGCATTGAAGTATTTTGAAATTATTTCGTAGGCAAATTCTTAACTCTAATTAAGATATTAAGTGGGATTGTGTATCTCTCATTGAAAGTGTATGGATTTCTACTTGCAATATCGCACATCTTCTCGATTTATTGTCTCTGGTTTCGCCGCAATTGTATGGCAACAGTGTTGCCATGAGAAGATTTTTCCCATACGACACATTATTGTTCAATCATCCGAGTTTTCTTGTGCAGAAAATACACACTCACTCACAATTCCCGAGACGGCGCACCACTTACAATGGAAATTGTACATTGAATGTCTCTAAATTAATCACGAACTTCTCTTTTTTTCGGTGCGATTATAAAATTTAACCCGATTCCACTATGCGAAAAAAGCTCAATCGCCTCAATCTTTAGTTCCGCTAGCAATCAATGATTTATTCCTTGTCTGCTTATACGCCCGTATAATGGCATTATTAGTAAATTATATTGCAAATTTTGTAAGAATCTGTATTATAGTTATGCTTAAATCAAATTTGATCGCGATTGGAATTCAATTGATTGCACATAAAGAGTGTGGTTGAGTTTTGGTGTTCTTTCAGCACACATTTTGCCCAGTTAATTTCTACTAATGATCTCACATTTCTATTATGCAAAGTGTTATGAAGATTTTCATCTTATCAAAGCCCCGCAATTAAACTGACTATTGCACCGAGTTCTACTTTCGCTTTCTCGATTATTCAAAAGCACCTTGATCACGCCCTTCTGTGCCTTCTTGCCATGTCCCGCCATCGATGTGCAACGCGAGATGATAAAACAATAGAAATCGTGAAGAATATAGTTTAAATCGACTAGTGTTGTAAATTATACTTTCAGAACCATCAATTAAAAGCGTCAAGCATTGGAATTGCAAGTCACATCCGTCTAGAGAGGCACAGACAGACAAAAGAGTCGCGAAGATGGCAACATTATCATGTGCGCGCGGTAAATGGACTAAGAAGAGTGAGAGTTTGTGTTATATCTTTTTGCGCTTCAAGACAACGTCACCCATTTCTTGGGCTGGCGAGAGTGAGGGAAAGCCATAAAGAAAATTTATCATAATTAGTGAGAAAAATGAAAACAACGCAAATCGGTTATGTTACGTTGAATGCTAGTTGCAAAATTCATTTAATTCTTTTACATGCGTGTTACGTTTCTGTGATTTTTCCCGCACTTCCTACAATTTAATTTTCACTTTTATATACACCGCATCTTAAGCACAATCAAAAGGATGAAAAGATGGTCTTAAGCGCCATCGCGCGACACTCTTTTATCCCAAAAATGATATACAATTATGAGCAAGATTATGGCGGCGTAAAGATTGGGCAAAGATGGAAGCACAATTTTGCTACAAAGTCAGTTTATGGTGTCAATTAAAAATGTGTTTGCACTTTTGCCTGTGTCTTGAATCTCAAAGTCTCTCATTCAAATTCACGTTGATATTCCTATGTCTCGCTGAACGTGACCGAGAGGGAGATAATTAAAATTTTGTCTTAGCAATTTTATGATTCGATTCACATGAATTGACCTGAATGGTTGGGCAAAAGACTCGACCATTTTCGAGACATTTAATCTTCCTCCGCACAGATTTACCAAAATTTACCCTCTTCTCACTCAAGAAGCCACTCAATTTCCAGTCTGTGAATCTCTAATTGAAATATGCGCGTAATCCGTGGGTAAAGCGCGGTTTTTTCGCCTTCTGCCAGACTAATTGAGCAGTGTTTAAAAGCAATTCGACATTCCCTAGTTGCCCGCCCATCGAGCTTCTGCCTACCGTGAGAAAAATGGTCTGCCATCAATTTCCCATATTGTATCGCGCAAACGTTGAATCCACATGAAGTCGACGAAAGTTTAATGGAAACTTATCAGAGGGCAAACACATAGTGTGAGACGCGCGAAAAATAATAAGTAGCGACGTTCCATTTCTCATCCAGTGCGATTGATTTAATGGCACGGCAAAGGAACCCAGCCGAAGACGTGAACATCTCAAAAATTTCCTCACATCTCACACAGTTATATAAGATGATTGTTGCTCTCAGCGCCAGTGGGAGATGTGCTTGTCGAAATAGACACTCTCACTGCACAAATCAAATCATTAAATTAATTTGCAATTTTGTACATCGTCAATGTAAATAGTGGAGCAGACGATCACTTCGATGATGAGAACTCACTGCATGTGAATGGGAGATGAAGAGTGGAAATCACAGTCAATCAAATAAAAATTGTGCTGTTTGGGAAGACACAAGAGGGGGCATTTGGAGGCGTTTTGCAATATCAAGTCATCATGCTTCACTGGATTGCATTTGAGGATTTCCACAGACATGAAAATTGCTCGATTGCCTTAATTTTCAATTGAAACTTTTCATTGGCGCCGCACAGAAGCACAAAATACGGCATTTCACCGCCATGCAAACTTCGGCGAAAACTTCCGCCGACGCCAAGCCTCAATTGCATCCAATTGTTAAACGTTTTGAGCACTATACTTCCATATGTGTGCGCTTTGTGATTTGTGCAGAACCAGTAAAAGCATAAATTACACCAGCAACTGACTCTCTACAGCTTTCGCCGAATCTTCTGCACATCCCAAATAGAAATTAGAGAAGCACTTGCGAATCGTGACATTCCGCAGAGTCGTGTTTTCTTAAACGAACAAGCCAAGCATTGTATCGCGATGCATTTGCAAATCGACCATTTTCACTGGCAATGGTTTTTCTAGTCATCACAGGGCTGAACAGAGAGTTCTGCCGTTTGATTTCGAAATGCCACAAACTTTATGCAAAAGAATTTTCCGCGCTAGAGAGGGAGTAGAAGAAGAACTTGATGGGAAATCACTTTAGCGCAACGACTCGTCAAACATCCTTGAATGGAAAACCGCGTGTTCTTTTCCACCGTATTTTCGCCTAATGGGATGAAAAAGCGACTGTGGAGTTTTCTTGCACATTTTAAAGTTATATATCTCAAAATTGTATAAAACCAGTCGTACGAGTTATAATTGGGGAAGACTTCCGCATGACTTTCAGTCAAAGAAGTCAACTTTGCGAATATTTTGCATTGAAACCATGTTATCTAACTGATATTTTGGCAGTTCACATTCTCACAATTCTATGCAAAGAATAAATGTTTTTAAAAAATGCATTACTTTTTAAATTTATTACTTTGAGAAAAACACAGTTTTGCATCTCAAGCACAACCTTTAAATTGGTTCTTGTGAATTTTTCTCACTTGCAAGAGCAGCCTTGTCGTGTGAATAAAGTTATGGCATATTCATAAACACTAATTGACCTTTAATTACCACCAACTGAGTTTTTTGGATAGTGAATTGAATAAAGAAACATTACAAGACTTCTTCAACAGTTAGTACATTAAAATTAATTCTTATTTTTAGATTATTTCCATATTTGAATCATGAAAACAACCACTAAATGACCGTTTAAATTTTCTCGCTATGCACATTCTCGTGAAAGGTTTTACAATTAAGCTTATTATGAATACTTTATGAGGACCAAAATCTCGAGTTCTGGTTTGGAAATGAGTTCAGTGCCATCATCTTGTGAAAGGTTTCGCATCTTCAACTTTATACAACTGTGTTGATATTCGAAAAATTAAGCTGTTTGCACGTCCCACAAAAAGTCAGTTGAAAAATCTCTTAAGCCCCAATATTCACTCGACCGCCAATTAAATTTTTCTGTTCCAGTGAAGAAAAGGTCTTTCGCGGAAAGTCCCAGGCATGAAGAAGCGTGATAAGAGGCGCGCCGTAAAAATTCCGCACATCTCTTAAGTGCGCGCTGTGTGTGTATAAATTTATATGGCTGAGCAGCTGAAATTCTTTCCATCGGCGTGGCCCAGAAAAAGGCAGAGGAATTAAAAGTTCTCCTCCTGGGTTTGAAGAAGGGAAAGAGAGACACTCAGCAGCAGCAATTTCCAGAGACTTAAATTCTTCCTGTGAGTTTCTTGTGCCGTCCGCTAATGCGATTAGATAAACAAATTACAGCCGGAAGCAAGTGAGTCGGAAAGTTACATAAAAGCGGCATATTGATTTTGAATCTCTAACGGAAGCTGTGCCCGGTGTCGCGGAAAGAACGTGGGCCGGCAAAAAAGGTGGCAAGAAAAGTGCGGGCAAAAAGGTTTCATATACAACAGGATAAGAGCTTTTCTTTCGACGGCTGAATTGTCTCAAATTATGCCACTATGTAATTTCGCTTTCTAAACCCAATTAATTGCCCATAAACCAAGCGAATGACGGAATTGATGGTATTTTTTTCTCCCTCAGCGCGATGCTTTTTGGGCGTGCGGAAGGGTGGAAAATATCTGGTAGTGCTGCAAATGATGGAATTTTAAATGAAATGCCCTGACACATTGAAATGTTAATGAGGTGAACTTTTCCATTTGCGAGTCAAATTGCGTTCATTTGGCGCTGGCGAGAGAATGCAGAAATCACGTCAATTTGCTTGGGCAGGGCATGAAGACAGAGAGTGACTCTTGCTAAAGTGATGTGACAAGACAGGCAATCAAGTATTCTTACACACCCAAGTTCAAGGCTGCCCACAAGTCATTAGCACAGATGGTATTAATTTGAAATTCTTTCTTCGCCAAAATGTTTTCGGGCACGTCGAGCAACGGTGCTAAATTTTTGTGGTAGGAATCACACTTTAAAAGCCATTTTATGTGGGTGTCACTTTACCGTTGGAAGACTCGCGGTGAAAGAATATCTGAAGATGAGAGCACTAGTGCAAACGAGCAATTTTGGGGATTTTCCAAGAAATCTGGTTTACTTATTTGCACCGCAATCTTTGGATAAACAGTAAAGTGTTCTACAATAGATTTCCACGCTGAAAGTTCGATGAGAGTGCAGGCATTTCTCGAATCCTTTCGCCATTCAATATGGGCTTTGCGAGGGATCAATTCTTTTATATGGTGTGTGTGTGGCTTCTTTGAATACAATGGGCGACCGTCGCCCCACAATTGATGCGCCGTGGAGGAAACTTTTCTCACGTTCCTGCACACAATTGGGTGGTCGGACGAGAATCATCCCCCATCAAAGCAGGTACGTGCTCAGGGATTAAATACTTATCGGAAAGAGGGTGGCAGTCGCCCAAAGATGCGTGGGCGGATGGAGAAATGTATGTAAATTGATAACATCAATCTTCCGGGGTGACCAACATGTCATTCGGCGAGCGCGAGGAGTCCAAGAGAGTGAATGTTGAACTTGATTTTCAAAATGATTGGGAAACATTGGTGCGTGGAGCTGTAAAAATGCGAGGAGTCCAATGTTATCTGGTGGTGGTGTGCAGGTGAAGAAAAGTCGTCGACATTGTGAAGGAATATTAAGAGTGCAGTTTGCGCGCGGCAAACAAATCGGGCGAAGTTGGTGGATGTGTGAAAAACAAGTACAGATATGTATGTGATATAATAGCCATTCATCAAACTGGCCGTGTAAAAGGAAATCCCTAATGAGTGTCTCTCGTGCGACATACATGCGATGCGTCTTGTGAGCTTCGCATCCGACATAACTCCACTTTTTGTCACATCGCTATTCGCAATCAATCGCATGTGTGACTGGCTGATGGAAAGTGCAAAGACCTCATCGGCTGATGAGCTGTGCGAAAGATCGCCGTGATAGACGGCTCAAGGAGGATGAAAGGGTTCAATCTTGAGGTCACTTTTTAGCCACATTCTCTTCTAGCCACAAATTAGCAAATGCTAGTGTGAAACTCATTAGCATTTTTTACCACTTGCGAAACACGTGGCGACAAAATTGATTTGTCCACTGTGAGGAATTGTTGTCTTATGCCGATTATTCGAATCAATTGACAATTTGCCACATTGCCAAATGGCATTCTAGCATCGATAAACTCGGCCGGACCTCGATTATTCCTTCCTTTCACCTAAAAACCCATGCAAGACCGTCACTTGCCTTCAAAGGTTCAATTCACAATTGAGCGCACACGCAAAAATCATCTCGATAAGATCGATAGACAACAAAAGCCTTCAATCACCATTTAAATATTTAAAGGTAGGTTACTCTTATTTGGCGCACATCTCAGGAGATTAACTCACCTTTAGTGGAAAATGTTGCAGAGAGAAAAACCGCGCTCGAAACCTTTCAATTCAAATTAATTGCATTTACTTTCCCCGCGAAAGAGGAATTTTTGCAGAAATTGTATTAAATCTCTGACGAGAGATTTCCTTGAACTAATCACTTCACCACTAATGGAGTGCTGTAAAATATCTTCTGGTGGTGCACAAGCTCAGAATCACGATCCGGACCGAAGATGGAAGCAGAGCTGAGAGTTAATCCAAAGGCACAAGACTCACTGGTGTTGCTCCGTCGAGGCAGGGGAATCAACTGACTTGGTCAATGACTACTTCTTGGAGTTATATTATTTCTGCACAACACCGACTCGGCGGCTCGAGACGCTTTTTGCCAGCGACCGCAGAGAGAGGGAAACACGGCTTGGAGCCACTTCTTCGCCGTCTTCGGCCGGCTTCTCCACAAGCGCCTCAAATGCACATGCATTCCGCGCGATGGGAAAGAACCTCTTTCAGAGGCACTCGAAACCTAATTAAAACTTTATCTCACTATCAGCATCCAGTCGGGAAATTATTTACGAGTTCAATTAGTTGGTAATTAATCGATTAAACTGTAAATTCTATCATCTTGAGTTGACTTAACAATCTTGCATCAGCAACCAATTTCCTCCAAATATCCCCAATGATACAAATATGCGTCATGAGCATTACTTTTCCTCCAGACTTTCCTATGGGCAACTTTTCCGCTCAAGAGTCTTGTTCTGGAAGGAAAGCACCGAGCAAATTGGAGCCACTTCATAGAATAATTGGATTATATTCATTGTGCGCTGGGAGAGAAGAAAAGTCCAATTGTCTATCCAAGAGGAAGTAATTTTTTATCCCAATTTCACCAATTAATTCCCTACTATTGCGAATTTGCCTCGTTCACAATCTATACCGGAATTAGGTAGAATGAATCAATTGGATTTATCGTTAAATTTGCATCTTATCCTGTAACGCTACTAAGAATTCAGAGAAGAATATTTCATTAACAAGAACTTACGGATATTGCAATTAAAAGAGGTTTCGTGACTTCAAATGACACTCTTTTCGTGCAGACTGAGAAACACTCACGTCACTTCGAAAACTAACTAAAGACTACAAAGCACAAAGCAATAGTTTCACTGTAAATACAGTTAGCTTAGATTTCATGTACAAAACATTATTCTAATGGAAAATATATAGGTTAAATTTACTGCCAAAAGTCTATTTAAGTCCTGACAAAAAGTTGTAATTGAAAATTACGATGCTTGAAAGCACAAAAATTACCTTTAACAAGTACTTAAAGAACCTCCGAGTGGTTGTAATCATAAAAATTTAATTACCATTCGGCTTTGTGTTCATTATAATCACTCTCAACCAAGAGCCGAGGAGTGATGCTACAGTTTCTAAGATGCAAATTACTACAGAATAAAAAATGTAAATTCATTTGCTTCAGTGGCATATCTGCATCACAACAATATATATGTTTCATTTCATAATTAACACACTGCTGAACAATTTCATGTAATTTCCCCGCGGAATTGCTGTTTGTTCGTTAATGCAAAATCCCTCTTGTGAGCTATCTTTTGTCGAGTGACAAAATACTCGCTAAATTGAGTGGTTAATGGGAAATTTATCAGCTGAATCATTTCAATTGCCGCCTAACAAATTTAAATAGTTGAATAATTAAAAATACGGTGACAAATGTCCTTTAATTGACGGTAAATGTAGTGAATGAAGTGGGAAAGTGCTGTGTGACGTGCACAATATGTGGAATATGAAGTGTAGGCCCCTCGAAGTCAGGTGTTATTTATTTAACATAAATGTAGGAGATATACTGGAGAACCTCCACAGCGAGTGGAAGAGTTGAAAACTTTTATAAACTTTCAATGTGTGATGGTGTAAATTGCTGTTTTGCCATAAATATGTGGAGAATGTCTTGGGAGAAACTTTTCATAGGTGTTATAAAATATTACCGCCACTTTTCATACTCGGTAATTAGATACTCTTTCACCCTTTCATTCCCAGGGAGTTTTGTGATTGATTAAAGATTTCTGCTGGTATTTAAATGCTCTGCTCGAGGAGAATTCATTCATCAACTGTGAAGTTGCAGTCCTGGTCGCGATGTCAGATCAAAGAGCGAAGACATTCTATCGCGAAAATTATCTCTTTACCCAGTTGACGTACATGCAGATTGTAGGGATGTTCCCTATCGATTATACCAAGTGTCTCCCTCAGCGTCTCGCCTTCCTCTCTGTCATCCTCAACCGGATGTACTTCGGCTTCTGGCAACTCATCTGCATCCACATCGCCGTCATCCAGATCGCGAGTGTGCACGTGAACTGGGGAAAGAGTCTGGACGACATCTCTCCATTCCTCAACACGAGTCTCATCTACGTCTTCACGTACTACATCATTGTGTACTTCCAAGGCCGCTACGGGACTCACGCGGAGCTCATTGAGTACATCAACGGCAATTTCAAGAGCCGCTCAGCGCCGGGGATTACATATGTCACGCTGGAGCCAGCTTACCGCGCAGCCAACAGATTCACTCACGTCTGGATTATTTGCTGCACTTTTGGCACTCTTCACTGGGCGTTTGCCCCCATTTTGACCGGCACTCGGGCGCTTCCGCTCCACTCTTGGTACCCATTCAATGCACTGGTGAGATTTAAAGCCCTCCTTTGTGACCCGCTTAACGCTTGGCTGTGTTTCAGGAGAGTCCGCAGTACGAAATCATCTACATTTGCCAAGTGCTGGGCCAAGTGCTCGTGGGAATTGGATATGGGAATGTGGGCGCCATGCTCATGAGTAAGATAACCCTTGTGAACGGTCAGTACGACATGTTGTTCTGCAGTTTGAAGAATCTGCAATCCACGGCAATGATTTTAAGAGGAAATCACAAAGAGCAGCTAAAGTATCTCATCTGAACTTTGTCTCTTCAAACTTTGCCAAACAGCTATCATTATAATTGCAGAAATCTTCAGAGGAAAATCGACAGAAGCAGAGATGAGATAAATGAGTATTATGTAAGTTGTGAGATTCTGGAAAATCTCCCTCAGATTTCCGACACTGTGACTGCGAATATTCCGTCGCACACAGTGAGAGAGAGAGACACTTACTTCATGGAGTACAATAATGAATTAGTGACGGCACTGAAGGAGTGCATAAAGCATCATCAGATGATAATTAAATTCTGTCACATGCTGGAACACTTCTATCACTTCTATAATCTGGGGAAATTCTTTCAAATCACCTTCCTTGTGTGCCTTTTGGCCGTCACAGCCACAACTGGCCAGAACTCGGCTATGAAGATGGTGACAATAGGTGAGATAATCACCCTCGAGCCCCCAAGAGATGTAATTAATACGATAAAACACTGACGATTTCCCCCTTTTCAGCTGAATACCTCAGCTTAGCCACGTCGGAATTACTCCTCTTCTGCTACTACGCCGACATGCTGACATATCAGGTGAGAGGCATCTCAGCAGAAGGGGAGATTTCCATCAATGAAGGCGCCCATCTCACCTATTACCCATCTTTTCAGAGCACTCGCCTCAATGAGGCCATCATTCGCAGCCCTTGGTACACTTGCGGCGGACCAATAAGGCGAGACCTGATTATAATGCTGGCAAACTCGGTCAAACCTTTCACCCTCACTGCCGGGAAGTTCTTCTTGCTGACCGTCGAGAGCTTTAAATCCGTGAGTTGCAATCTCATCAGCGTGTTTACTTGGAAGTTGTTACAAAATCAAATCTGTCACATTCAGAATTTTCCTCATAAAACCAGCTTCTCACACAGCTTAGCACAAAATGCGCCTATCAATGTCCAACCAATAATTAATTAGCCAGAGGCAAGTGAATAGTAAAAGTACTTTCGATGACCTTCCCTGACGTCATGTGCCTCACAGACTGACCACAAAAAGTGAGTTGGATAAGATATCTCAGCTCTCGGCGAAGTGACGTGTTCATCATTATGCAAATTAATATTGAGAAGTCGAATGAATTATTCATTTACACGCAAGAAATGCGAATCATTGCCACAAGTATATTTATTCACTACAAATGAACCTATTAATAGTCATGCATTAGGACAGCGAGAAAGAGTTTCGTGGCATTTAATTGAGATTTTTTACACCCTCATTATCCACAAAATTACCATCCAATTTCCAGCATGAGAAAGTTTGTACAATTTTAAAGACCTGCTAAATATAGTTAAGTGGTCAAATGAGATTATCTTCCGGTTTGGCGCAAGGACTTTAGCACATTGCAAAAGAACTAAATGTTCTAGTGAAGTTTCACTCAATTTCTGCGAAAACTTCTCTTTCAGGCAATGGCAGCATCATTCTCTTACTACACGCTGCTGACCAAGTTCCGGACACGTGGCGATGCATAAGTGAAACACTGGCGCAATATACCTTGAGAAACGGGTTAAGATCTTTATTCCAAAATTCTCTGTCACAAAAATTTACGTATACAAAAAAAGGATTGATATAGAAATCGACACATTATCACATGATAATCTATGTATTATGTATAATATGTATAAAAAATTTATGCAATTGGTTGGGTGCAGATATCATAAACAAAAAATGTGGTGCATTAATGGGTGACAATTTCTGATTAATTCTAACATCATGTGTTAAGTTTATATACAAGCTTGTTGGAAGTTTCGTCTGCTAATCATTTTATGAGATGGTTTTGCAGTTTCTGTGTTGTGTGTTGTGATTTGAAGAGTTCGATGAAAAGGTTTTCTGGCTCGGATCTATGAAGGTTTTGTGATATTGGTGGCTGTATTCATCCCATCAGGAGTATTTAATAATCTGATTATGTGGGCTGTTTCACTACATAACTAATCAATTGTCAACTTGCGGAAGGTTCCGTCCATTCCGAACAAGTCGTCAGCAGTCTTTGGAGCACCTGGCCTGAGGGATTCATTGGCTTTAGAATTCTCCTGTTCCTTGAACCATGGCGTGTAGGATCGCAGCTTCTGACGCCATTGCTCTGCAAAGATCACGAAAAGCGCATGAGAAATTAGGCTCGCGAGAGAGATTTTGAAGTGTCTCACCGTTGATGTCACGAATAGGTCCAGCATCGCCACCATATTCGCTAGGGAGCATGGATTTAGGAACATATTTGTAGAGCTCATCAATATTGCTATGCAAGAAGATACGGTTGCGAATCTTCTCCTTAAGGAATGGTTTCACAAAATTCACCAGGCTGTCTACCAACGGGGAGACATTGATGACGTGGATTTCCTTGATTTTAGCCGGATAGGCTTCCTGTGGGCGAGACAAGGCGCTTTAGTGAGCTGCAAGGAGAGAATTTCGGCGGCCTCCTTACCTGTACGCAAATAAAGAATTTCTTGAGGATCTGTGGGGTGAACTTGGGTATGTGCTTGGGGGAAGCAGCAACGGCATCGAAGATGAAGACATCGCCGGCCACACCGACGGACTCCTCCAGAAGACGGATGTCTCCGATCATCATGACGAGCTTCATGGCTTCGGCGGCGTTTGGTGTGGGGATGTCTTTGTCGAGGGCGCGCAAGATGGTCACGCGGCGGCCGTTGGGCGTGAGTCCGGGTAGGGGTGGGATATGGCAGTTGTCCATGATTTCCTTCAAGTCGGGCCGATCGATGTCGCGATCATTGAAGAATTCCGGCACGGCGTTTCTCATGGTGTAGTACATGTCCAGTTTCCTCTTCACCTTCTCCAAGCTAAATTTGCATCCACGCAAGAATGTCCGAAGACGGCCGTCATCTATATTTGGATGCGCGCATTAGTGAAAGTGATTGTGCTTGAAAGTCGGAGTGTGACGCTTACCCATGTCTTTTGGCAAATGGGGCTGTTTGTCCAGCCACTCACGGATCAGGCCAATGTCGCGCTCAATCTCATCGGGCGAGTCAGGCTCACGCAGCTCCTGGCGAATCTGCACGCACATATCTCCGGATGGCTGAACGAGAGTCATCTGCAAAGGTCACGTGGAGATTTCTTCAGACTCACGAAGGTCACAATGGGGCCAAAGTCATAATGCAAATTAAGCTTTGTCGATCAATTGAGATACCAAAGTGATTACATAAATTGAGAATTTGGCAATTTCGGCCGTGAAATCGCGATTAAAGCTCCAAAACACAGTCTTTTTACTCTGCGCGCCAAAAATGATCTTCAGATGATCCACGACTCTTTGTTGTGCCACGATGAAGAAATTGCTTATGCTTTTTTGCCCATCGCGCCAGCATCAACAACAGCTCAGCGTCTGTCGTAACGCTCAATACAGATATTCAAGTTTAACGTGTTTTATTGAAGATTTGTCATTTCATCATTTTTCTACTTCATATACGAGAAATTGCCCAATATCGCGTCGCGCGCGCGAGTGGGGCGAAAAGAGCATGATCCAAATTTAGTTGAAACTTTCTAAATTGGGTCTCAGAAAAACTGGGGGGTAATAAAAGAAACATGCGGCTTTCCTCGTGCCGTTGTAAGAAAAAGAGAAATTGATCAAGTACTAGAAAACGCCATTTCGCAAGGCATATGATTTTGTCAAATTGCAGAAAAGAAGAAAGATCACAACTGCCGATATGCTCATATTTTTTCGCGATGAACTGGAGCATTGTAAATCTGAAGAGTTGCGTGAATGTATCCGGAAAAGTTTAAGCTTTCACGGTCTGCTTGAATTAGGGCATAGAGTTGCTTCTTCGCTTAATTGTTTATCATTACTCAATATTCCTCCGACAACTCGTGTAATTGCACATTGCGAATCCAATGATGGGCCTCTTTTGTGATTCACAATTTGGCTAAGAATTGAATCGAAGCTGTCTGTCTATGTGCACACTTGAGATTTTTTTTCCTGTGCATAAATTAATATTGCATCGTGAGAAATAAAGTGAATTGTAGGCAATTTATTGCAAAAATCAATTCATCAATTCGATTGAACGAAGTGAGCATAAAGCTGGAGGAGAATTCCATGTTTATGTCTGAAGAGTGCCTTTTGTCCCGCGGAAAAACCCACTTTCGTCTCACTCTCACATAATTATTTGGAGAATATGATCAACACGAGATGTGGATAATTTATCAAAGTGTGAGGCTCATTTGGAGAATTTCCATCAGACCAATTAGAATTAAGATATTTTTGCTGAGTAAGCGAGATTAGCGTGGAAAAACAATGATTCTCTGCTGGATTTACCATTCATTTGCAGACGCTGAATGTTCCAGGAATCTTACGTAAGATCATGGCCTTTGGCAGGCGGTGTAATATCGTTACTTTATCTTGGACAACATGAAAAATTTAATGCAATGCAAAAGAGAAAGCTACATGGCTTCACGCGACTTTTCTTTTCGCCTGTATTGTTGGCCGCAAGATTTCTGTATAGTGTATTGGATTGACTGAAACTTTGGATGTTGTAAAAGACGCTGAATGATTTGGCATTACGTTGGCCAAGAGGAGGGAAAAAACTCATTGGCTGGAGTTTCACTTCTTCTGTACAATGTACACACATCACACAATCTCCTTTCAAACAGATCGTGGCGATCGGGCAATTGCCAGTAAAACTGACGCGATCTCTTCTAATTGCGAAGAGGAATTGAGCAATATATTCCCATGGGTAAGTCTGTGAGAATCACTGTGGGATCTTAGAGAATAATCCTTTGGGTTTTTACCTTTATTGGATGGTAATTAGTACTGGTAAATGATCACAAATGGGGAGCACAGGTGCTGTGAGTAATCCACTGAGCGATCGCGCCTTCACTTGCTTACTTGAGGTGTAAGTTGTTAACCACTTTGGTAGTTGGGAGAAGACTGGCACTGCTTGGAAACTTGCACAACTATATACGTTTGGCGCCCATCACCTCAGACAGCTACAAAGTCCAATGATGATAGTGTAAAAATCTGCCACTGTGTGCGCGCAATTTAGCCAGGTAAGTGGTGTACACGATGTATTATACAAAATTTCTTGACTCGTCAAGAATGGGTGGGAGACATATTAAAGTATTACAGCGCGAAAGTACATTAAATTACTCTTCTCGCCTGGATGATTCTACGCGATACTCATATTTTTTATATCACTACCTGGTTACAGCCGTGCTTGTAATATTTCTAATTAAATTAGGAGAGAACACTGCTTCACAGCGATTCACAATATTTATCACTTCGGTACCGCTATTTAATATTATTAATAATAAAGAAGAGAAGAAGCACACAATTAATTGCAGCCCATTTCGTTGTTCCACTTGGCATTTTGTCCACCGCCTAACAAGCTCGTCTTCTGCAGAATGTATATATACATATTTCTCCAGTGGGGAAATTCGCAGGTGAACTTTGCAAAAAATAAAGAAATCATTTCCGACATGAACCATTTCTTTTTTGTCTTGGGCAAAGCACTCAAGAAAAACACTTGTTATTTCGCTCATTTGTCTAATGGCGTCCCATATTTTAGGGAAAAGGCGTGCATTGTGAAGTTTAGAGGCAAGATGGACTCTGAGAATCCCAGCATAATAAAGGAGGATTCACAGTTCTTTGGCGTCCAATTTTCCAAATGAAGAAATCACATGACCAGTCTTGAACGCAGTGCGGCCGGTAGTTTCTCTTTTTGATTTAATTTGATTTGAAATCTTTTTTTTCTGAACCTTTGTTATTCATTTTCTTCTTTCAGTGTAATTGTAAAGTATATCGCAATAAATACAGAAATTACGAAAGCCGTGGCTCCTGATGGATATCGCGCGATCTTGTGTTATGACTCATAAACCGCTACCGCAATACAGCACCTTTCCAATCCACACAGGTGCTAAAGCGTCGCCCACCAACACACATACTTGCGCCACAGGGAAAATGTAGTGAAGCTCGCAGAGATGGGAAGTGCGAGATTTGGCGGTGGAATTGAACTTGATGCTCAGCAAAACAAAACGCTCAAAGTCTCTCTCCATAAAGCTGAAATTGAAATTGACCAGAAGACGTCATTAAACTCTTCATTGGCAGGTACACACAAAAAAAGCCACGAACCAGCGCTCGCATCAGTCAACAAGAATTGTTCATATTTCAGTTCAATGAAAATTTTCGTGCAAAATGCCATTTCTTCTCTCTACCGATCCGGAAATTAATGAGTAATTAATAAAATTTTTGCGCTCTACTTGCCAGTTTGGAGGGAGAGAAAGAAGAGCACGACGAAGAAGCAATTTCGTGTGCGTAAATCACTGTGTGTGAAAGATTTTCTGAAGGGTTATACCAGAGCATTTGTGGATATATTGGATAGCTTGTCATAGAATGTTGCAATAAAACCCCAAGAACGAGACTCTTTCACACGCAACATGGGTGACTTTCTAGCTACTTTTTTCCTTCTCTCGCCACCACAGAAAAATCACATATTGGGAAGTTATTTCTCTCCCACCAAAAAGCCATCACACGTTATATTCTGAGGGGAGAAAAATTTCCTCATAACTGAATATCCCTCAGATTTTTTTTTCTCTCGTGTGAGTGGAAAAGCGTTTCGTTGATTGAAAATATGTGAATATGTCGCACAGACTGTCAAATGGTGAAACGTATTAGGCTCTTTTTTACTGAAAGTCCATAAAATCATAGCTTTTTCTACACTATCTCAACTCCCAATCCGATCAGTTTGTCTCAGTGGAGTTTCAAATTTTCCAGTGATAAGCAAGAGTGTCGTGTTTCCGTAGAATATCCAACAAATCACTCCATCTTAAACCCCATTCTGGCTTTTAAGAGCTTCACTGTGTGCACCTCATTGTGAAAGCTCAGCATTACCATGAGCCATTTCTTGTCGTTGGGTCTCTATTTCAAAATAATTTAGCACCAAAATACCTTCAAGAGTTTATCGTGGGTTGTAAATTTCCCCCCTTATTTCCCTCTCGTGCACACAACGCGCCCAAAACAATGTTTGCGACTTTTTAATGTCTCCTTAAGGACTTTACACGCACCAGAGGAGAAATCTAGGGCAAGAAAACAACACACACACACACACCCACCCTTCATTTAATCACGATATAAATTTTCATTTTGCACGAATTTTGGCCAATTATTCGGTTAATATGATATTAAATGTCATGCTGTTCATCAAGTGGATTGAAATTGCTCACATTAAGTGCAGAAAATCACTTGAGCCACACCACATTGGCGCATTTGAGCTCCAAAGCAAAACAATCCGTGTACATTTGTAAATAGATTCAGTGTATGAGGCAATTTCACCACAATTCAAGTGTTACAATCAATCATTTCCGTGTAATTAACGCATCATTAATTAACAGTAAGAAAGGTACTTGTAGCGTGATGCAGGCTATCGCGATGTGTATTTCATACAACAGCCTCAGATTTCGGCGCGGAAATTCATCTAATTTTGCCCAAAATCACACGGACATCTCTTCGACGATGAATCATCGCTATTCCATTGAGAATCAACAATAATTGCAATTCCCGTGATAATATCACACACATGAAATTCAATGCAACAATAAATTTAGCATAATTAGCATTCAACCTTGGGCAGAAAATGTGTCGAAATTCAAATTTCTTCATTCTGGCAGTCATCTTAAATTATTCTCTCATTTGCCATTTCAAGGAATCCGTGCAAAGTCAGTGAATTCTCATATTTTCAACGAAAAAAGAGAAGATATTGCACAATTTCAGACTGGGAGACAAACAACTTTTTCTGCACTTCGCGAGAGAGTCTTTGTGTGTGGGTTTCTTTTTTTCCGAGTGTGCCAACAATCGATAGACTCGGTATGGAGAATTTTATTGAGCACTTCCTCAAAATGCGGAGAAATTATCGATATGGGCATGGAAATGGATGAAAAACAGTGAACTTTGCGAGCGAAGAAAATGTAAATGATGGCAAGTTTGGCGATTTGCTGGGGTCCCATTAGGTGGATGAATATATCTCATAAATTGTACAACTTTTTCACGCACAATAAATCTCAGATTGGAGCAAAGCTCTCACCTATAAATTTCAGCGCAATAAAAGCTCCATTCTTGGACGGACAGTGAATATATAGCATCTCACATTTACATATCACGGATAGAACAATATATTTGCAAAATATCATTTACACATTTAACAAAAATACATGTTTCTTCTATCATTTCAATCTTTGCATCTGTATTAATGCTATTTGACTGAGTGCTGGCTAGGTTACATGTATATAAACGCCAAATTTGTGGTGTGTTCTTTAATGTGAATGCCCGCCAGGTAGCACATCCATTTGCTTATACTATCTCAGAAAATATATATCCATTTATCATCCAATTCGTGGACTCTTCTTCTTCTTCTTTAAAGCGTATTTGATCCCTTTTTCTTCTCCTCCTCATCAAGATACACAAGACAAAATACAGAGAAATCTTCCAGTTTTACTTCAGTTGCACCAGCACCATGAAGTAGGTGACGACAGCACCGAGAACCTACAAGGATAATAGGAAATGTGAATATCCTGTCATCAATTTAACCGCAATTAATTAACACATATAATACAAATTTAGAGCTCATTTACTAATTACTAAACTTCATGGAAATATGTAGCATTATTCGATACTAATTTTCCGCACAATTTCCAATTATAATAATCCAATTTTCGCATCATTAATAGCTAATTAGTTCTAAAAATATACACAACTATCACACAGCGTTCTGGAATTTCCTGTAGCAAATCGACGCTGTGTTCTAATTAAAGTTGCATGAAAAAACTTTGCCAGAGGAAATTCGCATTTATCCTATTTGCTGAAAAGCTCTGCTGAATATATATTGAAATGCATGAGCAGAAAAAAGCTCTCAAAGGATATTTACCGATGCAAACAAATCCAGTGACACAGTGAAGAATTTCGCTCCGGATATCGTCATGGCTTTCTGGCACTGCTGACAGACGATCTGCACGAACGTCTTGGCCTCCTCTGAGCCGTCGTACCAGTGACAGGAGTAAGCGGCTTCCATCACGGATGAGCTCTCCTCAATCAGGCGATTGCCGAAGATACAGAAGAGAAACACTTGGCCGAGAGCGTACACGAGGTAGCCAATCACGGAGAAGGCGTACACATTAACTCCGCTTATCTTGGTGGCCTGATAAGCCAAAAGGGTCAGCTTGATTGTTGATGTCAACATGTGCAGGAGCAGAGCGATGCCATAAGTATCCCCAATGGCGGCCACGAGTCTGTGGATGTATTAGAAAATCCACGCTTCATTGAGTATTGCTGTGCTGTGATGAAGAAATGTGTGTGCGATTTTCGAGTGCGTGTAAATAACCTTTGCAATTAATGAGTTCACTTCACGAAAAAAAACACCCATCTCTCCACTGCAATAACAGTGAGATTGCGTGCCACCCGAGGAAGATATTTGCACCCATTTTCGTGGTGATATTCTGCACCCGCCACCACTGCAAAATCTCACTAATTAGGCATTCCACACCGTCTCGAGAAATGCCAGAAATAGCAATTAATTTTTTGCCAGATACGATGTACAGTAATACTCTACGTATTGATTTCATCACTGAACTTTCAGGCCATGAGGCAATTGGAGAACTATTGAGATGAAGAATACAACAATTTCTCATATTTCTGTCACATTCGGCAAAAAAAAAATCTAATTGCCAGATTTAAATTTCAAGCTTTTTTCACACTCAAGAATAACATGCAAATTAATGTTCGCTTTCGGATTTTAAGGCAAATCATTTTCTGCATCTAAAATGCATTCGTCTTTGTAAAGAATTTCTAATCACCTAAATTAACTCATCCCTTGAATAAAACATAATATTTCTAATCATCAGTTTGTGATATTGTAGTTATTCAATATCGACCGTCAAGTGCTTCGCTTGGACAGCATCAATTATTCAGAGATCCGAAGAATTAAACTTGAAGCATAAGAGCATTGGACACGGGCAACACCACGTCGATCACGGATTGACTCCTGCTTGTCTGAAGTGGTGGCACTTCCAGTGAATATTTAATAGGCACGACTTTACAGAACATGCAAGTCATAAGCGACTCCCTCCCTAAGCCGTGACATGGAAAACTCCCCGAAAAATTAAGGAAAGGCTAAATATGTGACATGAGAGCGTGGTGATAAATCAGAAAGGCGAACATTAAGACACTTGACTCGGCAATTATTTCATTACCTCACGACGTGCTTGTGGCGCTCAACCCAATACTTGATTGCCGTGCGAACCATCAACTCCTGCTTCTTGGTCAATCCGTTGGGATTTGTGCCGTTGCCGAAGCTTTGCAAATTGGATGGCGCTTTGAATTGTGCGCCCCAGTCGGCCTTCGAGTTGTAAATTCCACTGATATCCAAGTCTGTCACATCCTTCTCAACTGTGGGAGAGGTAAAAAGGTCCCGTGGGAGCACCGCAAGCATTTGCCAACCTCATGTATGATTATATGTATACCTTCATTGCTTATCAGCTCGGTGTGTGAACTCGCCGAGATGGACCGGAACAGGGCTGCAGTGTTGGGTCTGTAGGTGTCCAGAGTGGCACTGAGCTCCATCAGGGGCTTCATGATGCCCTTCAGATGCTGCAGTTGCTCGCAGGCGAACAGCAACCATGAGCAGAAGAGCACATCGGCCAAATTTGATTGGAACAGCGAGAACAGGAGATAGTATACCTAGAGAGGGTGGAGAAATAGCGCCAATTAGATCAGCACAAAATGTCGAGAGGCATTCCATAGACTGGCATTTGCTGATGCAATAGATATGTTGGCTTAGATAACCCATCCTTGGAAGGTACACACACTTCCACTCCAACTGGGTTAAGCATGAGTGGATGAAATAAAATTATATCTATGGTTTAGGCAAATATGCACACAAACCCCTTTGTATTTGCACAATCCTTTGTCACCAGCACGACACGAACTCCCTCACATGTAATAATTAATTTACACATGAATCCTCTTCTCCTTTAAAATGCCATTTGCAAGACTAATTGAAAATCAATAGTATCAACAGGATAATCTTTATGGCAGAACGCATTATTTTGAGAGCGAATTAAATCGACATTCCAGCCAAGATGCGATGCTCGCAAAGCTGTTAAAAAATATGAAATTGCTTTGGTTATATGAAATTCCATCTAGAGCAGAGTGCTCTCACGTAGCGACGCAATAAATTAAGAACTTTCGAGTTATTTACGATATCTGCAAGCGCCTTTGAATGGCGCGCTCATGAAACTATAATGGAAAATCATGGCGGCAATGAAGCTGGAGGATATCTTACTTGAAAGACGAAGGAAAGGATGTACTTGTAGCCTGACATTGCGTTCCACGGATAGACGGACTTGATCGGGAGTCTGGGAATCTCGATGGTGATGGTCTCGTTGGTCTCCTTGTTCAGCATGTGCATCGCGCTCTCGCCGAAGAACGTGAGCGTGACCCAGGCTGCCACTGACATCAGCGTGAGTGTCACGATGAGCGACAGCAACTTCCGCATCTTTGCCAGGGAAATCGAGTGGTAACGAGCATCGGACTCGGCGAAGAGAGGATGAGTGTTGGACTGATTCCAAATGTTGAGGGTCCTTTTGAGGGCACACAAGCGGCCATGTGAGTTTTCGCTGTCGATGGCAAATTGGGATTTCTCTCACCTGTAGAAGTTCTTGGAGTTGATGCCAAAGTAGAGGAACTTGGTGATGCTGTGGGTGAAGAAGAGCGTGGTGATGGTGTTGGCCGTCAATTCATTCACATCACCCGCCGTGAAGGCCAGATTCAGGATGATCGTGATGAATTGAAAGAGGAGCAGGAACAGGTGTGTGAAGGAGTAGATCTTCCGGAACATCACAGGTCCAGACACGAACTTGAAGAGAAAGTGCCCAAACGCCTGCATGAGGCGAATGTTGGGCAAGAGATCGGCCACGAGGCCTTGAAACTTCTGCGGCTGCACTTGCATCTTGTCGCTAGAACCTTTCCTCAATCAGGAAATCAGTGCCACTAGTCACTTATCCAGGTTCTTGGGTAATCGTGAACCTGAGACACTAGAATTCTCAGAGATAGAAAATCGAACCGAGCGTCTGTCAACAAGCATCCAGCCTCAAGAAGTGTTGAACTGGAAATGACAAATGTCCACTGCAGCGCTCTGAGCGTTGGGCAGGACAGGGACTTTAAATTATTAACAACTTCTATGAGAATCCCGATGTCTCCGTTCCCACAGCACGTCATAATACATCGTACACATTACATTGAAAAGTTTCATCATCTATTTTACACCACACCAACCCCTCAAAATCAATATCCTCGCACTGGACGCTTTAGAATGTTCTTCAAAGTGAAGGTCACATCTCAGATGCGCGCGCTGGAAAGCGTGCTTTTTCCCGGGCAAAGAAGGGAGACTTCCTCATGCTATCCATCGCTTTCTCTCACACATTGATATTGATCTAGTTTACCGAGTTACAAATTCATAATAAATTTACACTCACGCAGAGAACTTGTGTTACATATATGCTCCTAATGTTCTCTTCTCACTTGCAGGGCAACTCACTACTCGATTAATGTTTGCTTAAGACTTACTTAATTACCGGTCATTTGGAGTAAGTTTCAATTTAAACATAATACACGTATAATGATGTATTTTGGTAATTCACCTGAGCATCGATTCACCAAAGTTATTATTAAGCACACAAGAGCTTCAGAGCTTCTATTTCAAAGGCCTCATTAGCAATTACAGTGGTTGTCAGAGAAATAGAACAGAGATAAAAATTGCAAAGGAATGCAAATTTCACTTTGTTTTCCACCCCTTTGTTAACTTTTTCAAACTTATTGCAATTTGCCGAGAATGAATTGGCGTAAAATTCACAACAAGTTCAAAGACATAAAATAGTTTATGAATATTTCTCAGCAGATAGCAATTTCCCTTTGACCAAGGTTAAAAGGCTGAAGAGAGAATTTATGCCCTCTCAAACTTTACTCATATATACTTGAAGAATTTCCTTTAAAATGCATCACTTTGAGGACATATGCAGTGCAAAGCTCTGTGTGGCAATATTGTGCTTGCTTTAGTGCGAAATGAAATCTCTGACAGACAGAGAAGATTGCACATCTGCTATATGTACAGAGAAAGTGCATATTCTATTCAGACATTTGATTTAATTTTCGTATAAATGCTGCTTTGCATATGCATGCTTCGAACATACTTATGTCGCAACGAGTGGCGAGAGCGGCGCTGAGAGCGAGAGAGCTTTGCTGAGAGCGCGCGAGTGTGCTTTTCTCCCACGCTCTTTGACTCAGATGTAATCTCTCAATGGCTTTTCCCTCCGCCTGAGCACAATTTGCTGAACATTTTCCGAATTTTCCTTTCTCCCAGCACATCTCACGCATCTGCTCTCACCGAGGACTCTTGCTCACCAGCGGCCCGCCGTTCCGCTCAGTTCAGAATGGTCCATGACTGTGATCGTGTCGCAAGGGGAACGCTGTGTGAGACTTTTGCAATAAAAATACACTCCTTGCCACTGCTCTCCGCCCGCCCCCACCCAGAGCAGGACTCGTCTATTTTGATACACAATTTTTCCGAGCTCCGTAGCTGATTGTCTCGCGCCCGCCGCCGCCGCAGGGAAAAGGGAGTGGTGCATGCAGTGCTTCTTTAAAGCTCGAGGGCGATTTTTAACCCCGCAACGCCACTCGCAATGTATAGTAATTTGTGCAGAGATAACACGGAATTATGTAACACGGTTCGGTGTAGTGCTGTGGCCTAAATAACATCTCGCCAGCCGAACGCCAGTGAAATCACTTTTCCCGCATTAAAGCACCCCCGCGCTGTCGGAGGCCTTTAATCCACCCGAGCGCCACTTTAGTCCGATTTTTTCTGTGCTCCTCTGGGTGAGCAAAAAGAGAAATCATTCATGTTTCCGGGCCTTCGCGTGATGGTGTGAGAAGAGCAATTGTTGGCAGCGAAATATAATGGTGAATTGTTCCACACGGAAAAGGGTAAAATGTAAATAGTTGCGAGTGCCATGTAAGCTCGTGTGGGCCGATTTGTGCGAAAATTCCCTCCTTTTCAATACACCGGACCGCAAATACAGGTGTGCTGGAGGGCAAAGGCGACAATTGGCGCCCACCAGAAAGGTCTGCGACTCCGTACTCAATTGCTGCCAATTGCCCATTTTTGGCGCCCACAGAAGAATGTCAACAGAATATGGATTTCTCTCACACCATTTCACGTGCGCCCTTGAACTTTGTGATTTAATTTCTCAGGCAATTCTCCCCACACAATCATTGCGGAGACACTCTATATTTCTCTCAGTGTTTCCCTTGCGATTATCCAACTCTCCCACTTTCTGGCCAGATCTCTTAAAGTGCGGTCATTCTCTTCAATTCTTCTGCATATGCTCTGGAGCAAGTCATTAATTATGATGGCAGAAAAATGTCTGTGGATAACAATAAGATCAATGATGTGCGAAGGGGGAGAAACATAAGGAATTAATTAGGAAATACTACGTTAATAGACTCACACATGGCTATGCGTACATAAAATACTTCAATACGACTTTCCCCAACTAGCAATATTCCAATGTTTATATTGTACACAATGCTATTGGCACTATGGAAACATTGCGTCCAAATAACAATATATGCTTCACAGAGTATTTATCCGCTCAATGCAAATTTCCTCGCTGAAATCAAAGGCAATTGATTGATCACACAATCCAGTTGAAATTTCACCATCGCGATGATCACAGGATCAGCATGATAATTTGTGTGTGAATTTCATGTTCACAGGAGCATCTTCTTCCGCATTATCCCCACCATCACGCATTTATATGCAAATTTATGTCACTTTCACGTGATTTATGTACGCCTCCTCGGAGCTTTTTTCCCATCACCCAGAGACTGTGGCGCAAGGGCACAGAGATAAGGTAATTAGTTGACAATTTTCTGACTCAACTTTTGAACAACAGTGCGGAAAATGGGGATGTAAAATGTTCAACTTCCAACTTGTGATAAAATGCACATTACCATAAGAATAGTGACGTGTGAAGCGAAAGTGCGGCCCGAAGGTGGATCCAATGCGTGAGGCGCAGCGCGAAAGGCGAGGTGATTAGGCTTATCGTGGCATCGGCAGCTGAGATTTATTCACCGCGGCATAATATGTGGAATATTTCATCGCCCACGCACTCGGAGTCACTGCTAATTGACAATACGTACTATTGTGACTATGGCATGGGCAAGAGCAAGTTGTGTCTAGGTATGAAAATACATATTCAAAATAGGTGCAATTCAGCATAGCGAATCACTCTGGAGGGACCAGAGCCTCCCTGGTTGCAAGGCCCCCTTAAAGCGGCGTTTTTGGGGGCCTCGGGTGTTGGAAAAACCAGCCTCTTGCAGGTAAATCATGAGAAAAACCCCTCATTTGCCATTCTCTTTAGCAGTGTGTGCGCGTGTGTGTAAACACTGGGCTTGATGAGGAAAAAATTGCCAATTCAGAAATTTCGCCCTTCGAGAGATACAATGAATAAATTATTTTTCTTAATTATGTATACAACAAGATTTTCTTGGGATGAATTTTCAAAGAAAATTTTCTGTCATTTGACAAATATTAATTTTGGGGAGGGAAAGCGACTGTAGACATCGCCACAAGCGGCCAAAGAGATCGTGGGAATTGTATGAATATTTAAGGGAAAAGTCAGTTGAAGAGACATACTCCGCCTTTGTCCCACTTTTCCTCAATTCCCCCTCACTTTTCCACACCCCTTCCGACCATCGGGACGCACAAATATCAACCAAGGACAGTCGATATTGAAGTGGGAAGGAGTGGTGCGCCTTTCAATTAAATACCAACGGAGATTTTGTTGTGAAATTTCCCATTTATTGCACCTGACACTTAATTAAATGCCTTCCTCTTTGCATCGCTTTTCCGGAATGGCGAAATGTCCCTATGATATTGCAGACAATCGAATATTTTGCATTGACAATCTTTCTCTCCTTTATTCATACACAAAAGATCCGTTCTTAACTCTGAATAGCTCTAAAGCGATCCGGGGAAATCTTTGTTAAATTAAGGCAGATAGAGAAAATTGGGGTTGTAGTGTTGGCAGAGAGAGGAAAGTAGAAGCTGAGGAAATGTGTTTTCAATTTTCTTGATGGCATTCTAGCAATTTTGTCTGTTTCGAAATGATCTCTAAAGCTCACCGTGGGAGCCCTATATATTTTCAAATTCTATACACATACACATCCCTTAATAGAATTCTCTCCATTACTTCGTACCTCCTTCTTCGGAGCTCGATGGCATTCGGTTAAAGCAGTCTGTGTATGTTATTAAATTTTCAAAATTCACCCAAACTGAAGCGGAAAAAGAACAATTTTCCCCCATTTGTCAAGGACCATTCTCAAACAGTGTGAAATATTTCTCCATTGAAATGTAAATTGCATTTCGCGGCAATGATTTTAAACTGTTTGAATTGCGGTCTTGACTTCACATGGTAAACACATATCGCAAGTGTTAGAGTGCAAATTAGACAACATTAGTGGGCAAATGAAAGGCGTTTTGAAATGGGCGCAAAATTAATCATATTTCAATGGATATTGTTGTTCATCTGCGACGCAAATCATCGATTGACAATATACTTCAAATCCGAAGGCTATTATTTGTCGATGAAAAACAGTTGGGGGCATTTTATTCATTTTAAATGATACTCTCGATATATCTAAAAATGGAAAGCACGAGCAGAATACACAATGAGTGTCTTTTCCACTGGAAATCCTTCTTATGTTCTGCATCTTGCCAATATCAATCACATTGAGAAATTTTGAGACATCAATTTGATCAATATACTTGGCAGGATTAATATATCAATGAAATTTGAGCAATTTTTATCAATATTCGGAGTCATAAAGCATACAAGCACAGTTCATTTTCACTGTGTAAAATATACTCACCGTAAATTTGGGGGCTAAAGTGCTGGGAATTGCCTTGGAAATTGCATTTCTCTATTTTCACTGAATAAAACAACGCCCCATATATGCAATGCGAATGTGCCTGACAATTATTAAAATTTACAGCAACTGTTGGATTTTCCATTTGAACAGAGCAAGTGATAAAAATGGTTTTTATAGTTTCACGTAGAAAAAAATTCCCTTTATTTCACTTGGCACAAATATCACGAATAATGTCCAGGATATTTACAATATTGCTGCGCTGTTTACACATAAAAAAAATCACGATATGTTGCCAGATACATAATCATAAAAATCCCTCTCACCCCTCTATTGTTCTTTGATCTTCGGGGTCGGCAAGGGTAGCCATAAAAATCTGTGCCTCGAGTGTGCATCCTTATACAACAATAACATGTATTTGGGAGATAAATAGAAAAATCCACAGGGACATCAATCATTCACTCTGCCTGCTTCCGTTCCAAGGCGCTCCGCAGCATTTCCGAGAGATGCTTTCGTCTCCCAAAGCACCACTTCCCACGCTCTTCCTCTCCTCTTATGCCGAGCATTCACTTCTGCGGAAATATTTTTTTGGATATGAATTTGTCAGTTGATGGCACAACACACACCCTTTTATTACAGCGACAGAACAATTGTTTTATACTCCCGAGAATGAACACCAACCGCACCATCACCTTAATACTTTGCGGAATCCCCTCACTGTCAAGAGCTGACAAGCACGCGTCTCGGGGCTCGAGATTACTTCTCACCTCGCACCCGATCAGCACCCACTCCCAATCTGGAATTTATAGGCATACACACAACCCCATTGAGACCCGAATTAGGCGTGTAGCAGCAACTATGACAAAATTCCAACGCTCCAACTCCGGATCAACACCAAATTTATTTATCTATGCAGAGCGAAAACAGAAACAACAAAGCGGAAGTTAGGCAAACAGATGAGAAAGGGGATTGAGCGACAGTGTCAATAATTTTGAATCCATCTTCATCATATCGTCTATTTGGGAATGCTTCCTTGTCACCAAGGGTATTATTTCGGGTGAGCAATTCGATCGGTTGTCCCAGGATTTGGGGGTGTTTCAGGGGGATTTCTCTGCATTGGCACAAATGCACACTTGCGATACACGATTATATCTGATCATTCTCATTGACAACAAATTTGATTCCCCGCATTGAGATTTCACTGTGGCACGAGGAACCCCACGAGATTCCGAAATCATTGTCAAGGATGAAGAGTCAATAGAATTCGCTTCATATTTACGGCTAAATTCAGTGTCACGCTCTTCTCTTTCGCCACAGCAATTCTTCAAGCATGACTTTAGCGGGCGTCACATTGCGACGGGACGCAGGAACACATACAGAAGCTGCGTGGTGTGCGACACAAGCATTCGCGAGCTGATAGTGTTTGATATTCCAACACCGGTAAGAACAACAATTGAAATCCCCATTCTTTGCAAAGCCCATTGATCCACATTCTCTGGCCGAAAAGACGTGAAGCACTTTTGCACCATGAATGAGAGCTGTTGGAGTCTTTAAATAGAATTCTTTTCCCCAGAGACACACTTCAAGTCATATAATTTATTCACTGATGGATTAGAATTCGCAATTATGTGTATATTTTCAGAGTGTCTGATATATAATTCAGGACATTTTTTTTCGTTTAAATCGCCAGTAGAATAAAAGAAATTGTCGCATATTCAAAATATATAACTTTAGAAACAGACTAAAGAGACTAACCTTTATTGACCTTTGCTTTAAGAAATTGCAAGAAATGCACTCATTTAATAAAATGGAAATGCACATATATAAACTGTAAAGTTCTTGAGTGTGTCTGCTAAAGTACTTCTCTCTATTGTTTGATATCAATAGTTCAATTTAAAGTTGAATTTTCATTGAATCTTCTGCATGCACTCTAATTCTCGGAGAAATTCTGAAGAGGTTCATGTGAAGTTAAGCAAACTTGCGTCATGCAGTTTGTGCGATGTGACTTCTCAACTTCAATTTGATGCAATTCAATCTATTATCGTAGTGTGAAATTACAGAAAAGATGTTAAAGTCAAATGTCGTTTGCTAAATAACATCACATTCGCTTGTATCTTCCGCAGAAACGCTTTCCAACTGATAGTCTAATGGAATTTAATAACGGCTACTTAGGCTTAAGAAATGTCCATGCTTACGTTTTGGTCTTCGATATGGGCAATCTGGAGACATTTCAGGTGAGTCGAAATTTCCCATCTCACAGCACATTGCGAGACTTGTCTTGAAGGTGAAACTTTCAATTGTGTAAATCATCACATTTTCCACCCTCTTTTGCAGTATTGTCGCTCGATGCGAGACCAAATTCTGGAAAGCTTCAGTCATCGTGATTTTAGCATTATGGTAGTTGGTAACAAATTCGATTTAATTGCCGAGACAAATCCCCATTCACAGGTGAGTGTCAATATTGGTGCTCCTCGAGGGAATCCTCCTCCTATTGCTCCTTGCCTTTTCAATCGATTACACACTCTATTTAATTAATTATTGCTCATCGATTGGCTGTTATAGTATAGTTTTGCGCTATTTCCCACCAACAAACACCCGCACAAGTGCCGCGCGAAGACGCAGTGAAATATAATACTTCTGCCAATAAATACCGTATTGTTTGCTCTCCGGAAATTGGCAAATTATTTTCCGATACTCACTCTATTATTGAAATTAATTTCCAGGGTGTGGGCGGAGGGCAAAAGTTTGTGGCGAGATGGATCGCAAATCAATTTATTTTGCGTGGAATTGTGCGTTCCTCTAGGAGAAACGCCGGGTGAAGTGTCGAAGGAAGAATATCGAAGAAAATCCACAATAAATCTCCCAATTCCACCCTTCCTCGCACACCCACTTGTGTCATTTAAATACGCCCCAAAGACGTTGATGGTTCACTGTAATTGACATGGTGGGGAGAAAGAAAGAAGGACTGCAAAAGAGTCCAAGATTATTCAGTATACAGTTTGCATATCATAATTTCTCAGCTGATATTAATGATGATCAAAATGTATAAAGTGATTTAGCACAGTTAATTCTGTAATTTCTTGGGATAATGAGCTCATGAATGCTGTGCAATAAAACATGGCAGCGAGATAAATGTCGGTTGACTGGCCAAGCCTAAAGAAAGCTCATAAATTGGGCGCGCAATGGCTGCTGCTTCGCCCAAGGATTCGCCAGTGAAAAATCGCCAGGAATTTACGAGGCCATCAGTGGGTGTCCACCGCGTGCTTGACCTCTCGTGGCCCATGCATTAACGATGTCCTCTGAAGACACACTATTGCCCAAGTGCGGGCGGCTGGGGTATAAACCACAATTAAAGCTTAATCTCGCCATTAACTGCTGGGTGACGAGAATGTGACCATGAGGAGTGATTTTTCGAGGTGGAGAGATTTCTGCCGCAAAGGAGATAAGTGAAATTCCACTCACATGTCCTGGAGATATTTAATTCATCAGCATTAAGTCGAATTTCATGGGATATACTCGGCAATCACAGCGGCAGACATAAATTTTATTCCAAAGGCATAATTTTAAGCACACAGATTGATTATCCTGGACGAGAAGCTCAGCGTCCTAACTGATTGTTAACCTAGTTTGCCGATTTGCTACCCAATGAACAATTTCCCAAATTAATCTCAGCCACTAACTCGATTGTGGGTTCCGTCAGAAGATGCATTTCCGAACCAATTTCATATATACAACCCAAAGGTACATCTAGGGTTTCAGATCAATAACTTAACAACATACGTAAGCAAGGGGAATCCTCAAGAGTGTTTCTGAGGAGTGAAGGTGAAAATTAAATTTACTCAGCAAACCAATAAAATGTGTGACTGTTTCACTTCCACCGAGGATTCCCGAAATTCAAAGTTCTGTGAGAAGTTTTCGGTCTCCGCCCGTGGAAACAATATGATAGAAATGCTCCCACACAAGAAATGCCTCCCAAAACTTGTGACCTGAATGTGTGTGTTTGTGTGCGAGTGTGTGTGTGGGGAAAATTGAAAATCTCCAAGTGTACTATTTCAAAAGGAATCTCAGAAGAACTTTTATACTCAATTTTCAATTTCTCACTTCTCAACATCGTCAATTTGACGCTCGAAAGCGGGCGATAAGTTCATCAAGAGAGGTCACTTAAGTTATCCAATTTAAATTTCGCATAATTCATTAGTCGGTGAAAATGATTTGACTGAGGAAAGTGTGAGGAAAATATGCAAAACTCACATGCGCGCATCGTCTTCTCTTTCCTCAACAAACTGCAATCAATAAAAGTTCGCAAAGAAGCTTCAGCATTATGTACTCAACAATTATATGACACTCAAATTTGTGTTCAAATCAATCATTCCAGCAAATCCACAGCCAAAAAGTTGTGATGGGAAAATTCTGCAATATTCTCATGTGAAAGTACACGTAATTTTCGGAAAAGTTTCCACTCCTCCTGGCCCAGCGAAAGTGCTCACGCTCTGTGCAGAAGATTAAAAATTCCATTCCCTTACGAACAGGCAAATTGACCAATTTCCAGCAGCGTGAATTGCCATCGGAGCAGCAGATACATAGCAATAATACTCTCTATTGTTCACTCTATCTCTCACTCCGTGAATATCCTGCCGAATCCCTATTACACAACATTACCAGCACTCAATTCATATTCGTCCGTGGGAGAGTCGAAGTGGCAAAGACATGGAATGAATAAATAATAATAAGAGACTGCTGAAAGCATCCGCGAACGAGATAAAAATAAACTTTATAGAGAAACACACAAACTTACTCTGTCCTATTGGTGAAATAATAAGACACAGAATCGAAAAATAAGCTCTCCAAGAATACTTTCCCGAACATGTTTCACTTTAAGTGGTAACGCTTAAATATTTCACAAATTTTACGCCAAATTTATAGGGAAGGAATGCTGTAGTTATTATTTGAAAAAACGTTTAGCTATTCTTGCTAATAAATACCGCAAGCGCAATAATGATTGGTTGTATTTTATAGTGAAAAAGCTTCTGGCAATATATGCATAAGTTAGAGCTTTTAATATGCACGCCTTCTAATCGATAGTGGGAAACGTTTGAGAGCATTCAAAGCAAAGACATTTATTATCAACCCAGAAAAGGCGATCTATATAAAGAATCCTAAGTTATAAACTTCTTATTGCGATTGATCAGCACATAATTGACTAGAAACACTCGAACTTTTGTGGATCATTTTCTCCATCGATCGGTGATATTAATTCATTTATGAACACCTTTTTTAAAACCTGTCAATTGGATGAAACTAATTTATTTCCATGATTCGTTCATAGTTCTTCAGCATTCATCCAAACTTTGCAAAATTCATTTTTTCCTGTGTAAAAAGTTTCACTGTACAAATATTTAAACTATTCAAATGTTGCGCGGTAAAGTGTGGAAAAGCTCTTTCCAGTTTAATAAAATGACAATAGAGTTTGAGAGCGACATCAAAACTTCTCTTTTCATCACCACTCATGCGGTTTTCGTGTATTTTCACCCATTTTCACATCAGTGAAATACGGGAAAATGCTAAGAGTACGAATTCTTTTATAGAGTGTTTGAGAGAGAGTTAGAAATTTAACCCTTGGCGATCATTTTGAGGACGTAGAGATTAAGGTCTGCGGTTTCTGAGGCTCAGGCCATAAATTCTTTGGCATTCTTTCTGTTTGCAGGAGCTGAAGGATATTTCCACCCTCGTGCGGAAACACTGGAGGTGTGGCTATGTGGAATGTTCCGCCAAGTAAATATACCATCGATTTTTCCTCACCTTCCTCGTCAAAACTGCTCAACGCCGCAATTTTTCCAGGTTCAACTACAAAGTGGGCGATGTTTTCCGGGAGCTCATGGGCTGCACCATCACTGGTGGCTCCGTCGGCAACGAGTTCATCCAGTCCTCCCGCGGCAAGAGCAAATGCAATATTCTCTAAACGAGCAGACGAGGAATTCTGTAGCTGACATTAACAATAATACTCGACAGCATAACTGATATATTTCCAAATGGACACCAATTCTGTCCCTCTTTGGGGCTCTTTTTGCTTCCTGCCTCCTCGAAAACTTCACTCCCACACCAGAAATGCAGCATCAGCAGCCGCTCTCGAGGAGACACAGCAAATAGCACTAAAATGTAAATAGCCAGAGATACAAAAGCAACAAAACCACAGTGTAATATAAATTTGCATTAAGACGGACATAGTAAAGTGCACACATAGTGAAGAGGCCACAAAAAGGAGGAAAATACACACTCTCAAATGAGAAACATACAATAATTGTGAATATTTTTAGATAACGTGTTTGAGGTAAAAGCAAAACGATAAAGGACGAGGCAAGGAGTTAGAATTTCTTGTACATACAACAATTACATTAGGCGAACAACAAAATGCTGATAAAAGTTGAATAATTGATTCTAGATGATATGAAAATTCTTGTTGGATTTTTATGTGATAATTTATAACAATATATTGATAATCTAATGGGCGATAAATTGAACAAAAGAGGAGCTCAAATATGAACGCACAAATTGCTCCAAAAGAAAAATAAGACATGAGTTATTGGAGGAAGAAGGAAAACCCGTGAACCCCACCGGAAAATGTTCGTTCAAAAGATTTAGTGTTAAGTCAAAACTACACGGCATTTAATATCCGGTTAAACTCACAAGATCGATGTGCCAATTCTTTCTCTGATTTTCACTCATTCTAAAAAAAATCCCTTCTAAATGCAAATGCACATATTATGCGACTTCCCTGAATCGTCACAAAAGTGAGAAGAGAGCTATTGTAAAAGTTTCATTAGTGGCAGAGCAGTTGAGAGTTTTGAGAGTGTTCTCTTTCGGGTTTTCCTCTTGTTTATTGGGAAACTCATCGCATCCACGAGAAACTTTGCATGGATAATTTTAAATACCCTCTGAATTTACTGCAGGAAAGGCAGGAAATTGCACTAATTTATTCATCTCCTCAGAAATAACGAAACATAAGTTGAAAACACTCTTTAGCAGTGCACTAAACTCTGGATAGTGAGTTTAATCAGAGAATTGAGTGCAGCATTTCACAGAATAAAAAAAAATTAATTGAAGACTATTAAATCTGTGTGAAAATCATCAACTCTGCAACATAAGCATATGAATTAGTGAGGTTTTCAGTGCGAAAACACAATAATCATGCCCAGCAACAATTCACAGATGCTCAAAACGGAGGAAATTGTGCAATTTCTTTTCCCTCACAATTTTGTGATTTGTCATGGAAATTTAATAAAATTACTTCACATGTGACTTTCATTGTGAGCCAGAGAACACACACAAAAAAGATGCCGTGCTTTTCCCACACAGAAAGAGCGAAGAGAAGAGAAGAAGAAGTGGGAGAATTTTGCCAACTTTTCAGCTTAAAAACTTCCCCTCGATTTGAGGGTGAATCGTGAATATCATGCAAGTCAGTGGAGTTCTGATGGAGGGAAAATTATCTGAGATTGACGTGGATGATGGAGAAGAGATAGTGAAGCGTGTGCAAGAGTGTGCGAAGAACTAGAGGAAAAGTGGAAGGAAAGCGCCGAAGAAAAAGGGAAAAAAAACTCATAGGTTGTTTATTTACACAAGCAAAAAGGTAGATGAAGCGTAGAGATATGCAAATGAAATAAAAAATGCTTGAGACAAGGATTTAGACGCGAAAATAGAGTGATTATTTTATCTCTTCCATTGCTTCATCCGAAAAACTCTGAGAGAATCACAGAAAATCAATAAGCCGGAGAATAATTTGAGCAATTACACTGTCCATTTTCGATACCTTAACCCACTCCTGTTCGATTAATTGTCTTCATTGTTTATTGAAGATCGTGAGAAAAGACACTGATGTGAAAAAGGAAAATATCCAACTTTTCCCATGTTGAACAATTTCAAGCCGGGACGTTTCATATTTCAGTGCAAAGAAATCAATAAGTCACCGCAAACACCATCAATAAATAAAATCTAAGCGATGATGGTTTCTTTCCAATAAAAAAAAAAGGTGAAAATGAAAATATTATTCTTCGTTGCCGAGATTCTTCTTCCCCACTATCCAATTACCAAGAAGCAATGTTACAAAAAGAAATAAAGAAGAAACAACAATGTACTCAACATGTGTTATTCACGCATTATTGCGAAAAAATAGTGAAAAATAAATGATTGTTGCAATAAGAGAATTGTCATTGATTGCCAGCGTATTTTCACCTGATTATTTCTTCCATGAAATCCGCTTTTTCACTTTTCAGGAATTGAGCAACAGTGCCGTTAAATTACACGACGAAGGATGTGCGTTGGATACCAACTTTACGACGTGTTTGGTGCGTAAGTAATTATTTTGTATTTTTATTGCCTCTCTGATCCCAAAAGAGGCCAGCAAAGCACGCGTGAATCGATTCCTGTATACCTATAGATAACACAGAAGATATAATGTTGTGGTTCAATTCATATGGAATGGATCTGCTTGGCTTGGCACAATACCTTTAAATCCATAAATAATCAATAAATTTAAGAGCGGACATTTAGCATTATATATGGAAATTATATATAATTTTCTACACCACTCAGAGTGTATTTTAACCCCTCTCAAGACTTCAACAAGTGAAAATGGGTCAGCAGAATGGATTTATTCCCATGACACAATGTTCCTCATTGTCTCACTCACCTTTTGAGGTGCTTCAACAAGATTGCGGATAATTTTCCCTGCTCTGTTTCACAACTTTTGTGCTCAGCCATAGTGAAATTACAGAAATTAAGAGTCTCAACGTCTAATTTCAAACCAACTCACTGGCTATGACGCGCCAGAGGTCGCTGCAGGCGCCCAGATGTTGATGATGCGTTGACAAGACCGTCATTGTGCAAGGTCGAATTGTTGTCAGTGAACAGCGAGTTCCCGAAAATCTCTTATCAGTTTCACTAATTTGCACGACCCGGGCGCACGGCTTCCAGAAGAGGTCACGCAGAATTTTCACAAAACACCACTTACAGTGAGTACAGCTTCATTCAAGTACTTTTCCACCACGTCTCGCCTCTTTTCCACGGCCGAGGGGTTTCTAAATGGTGTGACAGAGTGTCCTGGAGTTTCTGGGCGTGTTTCGGAGCCCCGCTTTGATTATTATTCCGTACGTGACTCGATAAGGCCGGACGCGGAGTCGGAGTGTCTTAAAATGCCTTTTTCGCCGTCTGGACTTTCGCCACGCGGTGCGAAATTGCACCTCTGTGTGACCTTTTGAGAGCAGTTTAGACTTGAACACGTTCCGGTGACGAAATCGCGTCTGAAAATGCATCAATTGCGTCTCTGCGACGTCACGACTTTCATTCTCGACGCTCTCAAGTCTTTATCTTTCCTCCTTCACACCCTCGCGCGTCGAGCAGCCAAGCATCTTCCGAGAGTATTTTTAATGCCTCACTCCAATGACCTTTATCAAGATCACCGACAATCACGCGGGCTTGAGAAAAAAAATCTCTGGGCGACATTGAGATGCAGCGCATGGGAGAAATTCCCCGAAGGTCAGAGAGAAATTCCTTCGGCTCTCCAGAAGTCAGACTGGTTTGCTTTCCTCTGCCACACATACTTTGTGTACACGCGGTGTCTTATCGCTGAGCGTCCGGGAACCTTGGCTCTCGGCAGGCTTTCTGACCACTCCAGCAAGTCGGTTTCCATGCCACGCACACACCCCCGGATTCCGCCAATCTCGGCGCCGGATTCCGTGGTCTTTTCCATGCCAAAAACCAGCCGAAAGGTCAGCTGGAGATATCTCGTGGTTTATTTTTGACTTAGAGAAGGGGCACTTCATTCCACCGGCGCTTGTTTTTCACCCAGAAAACAGACACTTCTGATAAGACATTGCAAAACCACTTAGGAAATTGATAACTGCACATAATAAGGTAATTAGAGCACGAGCGCTCATTTTTCACACCGCAACTGATTATGAATTATCAAATATGAAACGCGGGGAGACTTTCCGACCGGTAATTATATGCAAAACGGTGTAAAAATGATGGAATACGGTTAAATCCAGCATTGAGGAAGGTCAATTCTTCCTTCCACTTTCCGATAAATTTATTCAGCATTCGTTATTTTGTCACTTCCTGGCCACGAGAATTAGATGTCAAGAACTAATTCACTTTTGCTTCAGAAATCTCTATTCATTTATCAGAATATTCTTATGTAAAATAAGTAAAAGTCCGATCAAATGACGAACCCCTTTTGACTGTCGAGTCACCTTTTTTGCAATAGACGAGGAAATATTGAAATTACCTCCAATCGCTGAAAAGAGCCAGATTTCTGGACTTTACACAAAACTCCTCATAAATTTCGTCATCTGACGCGTCACGGCAGCTCGCGAATAAATTCCGCATCTCATTCATGAGGCCGCACAGTAACGGACAAGCATTGAAGATCGCGAGTACTTTATTGGTAAGCGACCTAAATCTTCTCTTTGTTGGCATTCCAGTCAAGATTGTTCCCAAATCCCAAATTTTCTGCAGATTTTTGGGTGTGGAGGAGTTGTCAGGGATTCTTGAGTGGTCTTTTGTGCCATTAGAAAAGTGGGTGGATTTTTTTGCACACGAAAAGGCGTATGGGCGTGTGTCTCGGCTGCATTGTTATACAAAGTGTGTCTGTGGTCAGTGATTCAAACGTGCTTTTCTACAGTGCTGGGCGCGTAGTAAAATGGGAATAACATTAATAAATTAATGCAAAAATATTTCTCCTATGACTGGCAACGGTGCTCCACTCTTGAGTACGATTTATCTCTTTGTGGGTCACAATCCATCAGAAGAACTATAAAATCTCTTGTCACAGCTGAAGGACAGATTGATGAATAAAGTGTGTTCGGGCGTCTAATTTTGGGATTATGTCCTATTTCAGAGCGTAAAGTCTCAACATGACTACTTACTTCAACTACCCATCCCAGGAGGTTCAGGATGAGCTCAGGAGGATCGCCCAGGCCATTGTAGCACCCGGCAAGGGAATCCTGGCTGCTGATGAGTCCGTTGGCACCATGGGAAAGCGCTTGGCTGTGAGTTTTCCACGCTATTTCATGGATTCAACAATCCTCTAATGAATCTCTTGTTCTTTTGCCTTGTGCAGGACATCGGCCAGGAGAACTCGGACGATGCTCGTCGCCAGTATCGCCAGCTGCTCTTCACGGCCGACGACAAGGTGTCTGAGAACATCTCCGGAGTGATTCTCTTCCACGAGACGCTGTACCAGAAGGCGGACGACGGAACATCGTTCGTGGATCTGCTGAAGAAGAAGAACATCATTCCCGGCATCAAAGTGGACAAGGGTGTCGTTGACTTGTACGGCTCGGAAGGCGAATGCACAACTCAAGGTATGTTTTCGCACAGATCTCGGACTAATCATTATTTATAGCCCAATCTCAAGTTTCCCATTCATCATCGCGGCGAGCGCGATGTGGGTGAAATGACCCACTTTGCGACTGGAAGTGCGATGATGCTTTTATTTAAATGCGCACCGCTCGACTATAAATTCCGCGAGAGGACAAAAAGACAGAGATTCGCTGAGGTGCTAAAAATCCCCCCGAAAAATGTTCTCTGCTTGCGCCACACATTTGCGTGTGAATCTAATGAAGAGGCATGAAATGCCAATTGCGGGATGGCGTTGTAAATTATGTATTCAGTCCAACGCTGAACCCGCGTTGTACCTAACAAAAAAAAAGCCAGCGTCTCTTCCGAATGGCAAAGTGCCACAGATCGAGGAAAAAGCGCGCACTCCTTTATGCCTTCGCTTTGTCTCACTTTGCGTGTGTTGTTTCATCGTGGTCAGAATTTGCAATAGATTTCCTAAAAAATTGAGTGACGCAACTTTTCGTCACTTTGGCATTTCAAGCATTTTAACCCTTGAACGCGTTTATGAGCGAAATGTTAATTAAACCGCCGCGAGATATCAATCGTGTGACGATAAATCACGTGCTAGTCGGCAGAGAATCTCTTCCCCAATCAATCAATGTGTGATTGATTGTGTTTTGCGCGATATTTTCGGGAAAACGTGTCGCTTGTCCTTCCAACTAATGTCTCAATCACTTTTTGACTATTGTTGATGATTTCTGACCAACGGTCATCAACATATGAGCTGTTCGGAAGCACAGACTTAAGAGCTTCGCACAATACTTAGCTTCCGTTACAAATCACAGAAATTCTCTATTTTATGGATGATAAGAATACGAATAAAGATACGATGTTCCAATTTAATTCACGTGAATTCATTCGCCAGAAATGAAATTGGGAAATGAACATAGCTTTGAACTAGGAAAAACAATGGAGCAAATGCACACGAGTGGGCGTGGATTTCGAATGGGCGGAGCCTAATTGACTCTTTCCAAAAGACTTTCCTCACGGGAAGCAATTAAACAATGGTGACATTATGCTGTAAATGATACGCCATCATTCCACCGATTTATTCTCCATAAAATTTCCTTATCCGCGCTATCGCGTGATGAATGAAAACAAGATTGCCTCCATTAGGAGAGAAAACATCTAATTACATTTGTGAGAATGCTGCAATGGTAAAATTCAACCCAATTCCTTATCATTCTATCGCACACTTGAATGTCAATAGCAGAAGTCACTTTGTCAATTGAGCACAAAAATAGAATACATCTTCTGTTCTCTCATTAAATATGTATCTCTCCTCGTCGACTGATTGCCACTTCGTTTCTCTTTATTGGCTTCTCTGATTTCCACAGAAAAGATCACCCAATAAATTTCCACCATGATTAGAGGAGAGAAGAGTTTTAACCTGTTTATGTGCGCTACCTTTCTGTGCTGGAGCACAAAAGATTGTGACTAAGAGTGTATCGAGAAATTTGCACGCGGTTTCACTCTTCCGTCATTCCATTTGGGCCGCATTATTTGGCCCCGGAGAATCCATCTGGAGAAAAGCTGCATGTGAATGCAAAATCTCACTTTGTCTGCAGTTTAAGAGAAATATTCAATGATGATGCATCAGGCAGAGAAACACGTGTTCCTGTCTCAGTTTGGAATCAAACAGCGCGCCTTTGTGATTCCGATTTTGGCCGCGTTCATTGACTCATGGCGATGAGAAGAGATTAATTGATTTTATTTATTAAACTATTGTCTGGGCAACATTTATGGCTCGATGGCGGTGTCAATCAATCTGTATGACACAGAAGACCGCCAGGATGGCTTAAACAGCAGAGAGATTTGTTCATGTGACATCGGCATTTGAAATCGCGGGAATACCAGAAACTTTACACTATCAAAAATTTCATTAGATTGGGTATTTCGAGCGAGACTGCGATGATTTCATGGCCAAACACCCACACAGCCATTAAACATTGGCGGCAGCATTTGATTCTCTGAATGTCTAGCGAGAGCAAAAATTAGCCAGTTGATTGAACAGTTAGAAATTGATTTCCAATCAATGACATTTCTGTGGAAATTCAGCTAAATTCACACACTTTTTCCACCAATTCTGTCTCTGTGGAGTCTCAAGTGTCTTTCCAAATCCTGCCATTGATGGCGATGCTCTAAGAAAAGTGGTAAATATAGCAAGTTAAGATATTTTTCTACGAAATTCCCTGTGATGACTTTCCATCTGCAATCAATAATTTCCCAGTCTGTCTTTAAACATGTGTCAAATGATTGGAAATTCCTTCTTGAGCAGAAGTCGTAAAGCTTAGACAGTGTTTTTTTCAATTCGTCTGCAAAATCGTTAGACTGAAACGCGGAAGAATTGCGAATCTGGTCGCACAATTAAATCACCCTCACTTTAAAAGGCAAGCGAGAGATCAATAAATGAGCTCATAGTGAAAATGTGAAAATACTATACACCGAATTTAGTGGTTTTGAATTGGTATCCGGGTGTGTTTTGCGGTCTCCTTTCATCGCCAAAAGTCCATTCATGAAAAGCCACCTCTTTTCGCAATCAAGGAGACTTCTGAACAGATGAATAAAATGATTGGCCTTCGAAACACTGTGAAACATTAACGAATATATCAACAAATGTGATACCAGAATCCCCACATGCGACAGGCACTCTTTCATGTTCAACTATCCATCACAAAATCCCTCACACTCTCAATTCGAAATGTCACCGTAAACAAGCTGAATTGCAGTGAGAGGAAAATTCACTCTCCTTTTTTTACGGCGCGCTGCACAAAAGTGAATTATTCACGGCGATCATCGAGATAATTAATAGCCGTGCTTCCCGACATTTTTTTCTCTCTCCATTCTTCTCACTGCGCGTCCAATAAATCTCTTCCGAGAAAATCATCTCCTGTTCACTGGATCTGCGTCAGAAATCCAGATGAAGGGAGGTTGAATGCATTTCGAGAGCGCGATCATAGAAATTGTAGACAAATGCGGCGGTCTCGTATGATAAAAATAGCACAAAACACGGTGTGTAATTGATCTTGAGATGTGATCGCCGCTTAACCCTTTCACTGTCGGCAAATATTTGCCGCGCTATCAGTGCAAAACACTCGATTGATCGGAAGTGTAATAGCAGACTTCAAGGAAGTGTTTTGCAGGTAATTTCAACACGAAGAGACAATTTGCTCAATTTGTTTACAATGAGAATGAAGAACTTGCACAATTGATGGAACAATGTGTTGATAAAGTATAATTTAAAAATCTCATTATGTACTTAAATAAAATATAAATTGATTTTTAATCATTTCTGTAAAGATTACTTCGAAAAGTCCTTTTTCCGTTTTTCTTAGGCTAAATTTAAAAAATGTGGTTAACATTTCACAAGCACAATGTTGATTCGAATTGTAATTGGATTAAAGGTATAGAATTGTAGGTTTTATCGTGAGATTAAGAGCACTTTCTGCAATCTTATCTAAGTTAATAAAGAAGAGGCGTCAAATTCTGGCATTAAATTGAATTGCGAAACGATAGATCGCACTGAACTGCGTGTATTTCGAAGCAATTATCTTAAACATCATGTGTCACTTGTGCTTTTATGATCTCACTTGAGGCCAGCACGTGAATCACATGAGACTTAAAACCCCTTTGAAAGAGATTCTCTGTGTAGAGACGCAATAAAGCGGGTCTGTCGTAAAATAAGTGTGTTTAACGCATCACCGCATGAACAGAACAAAGTTTGCAGAGATTTATGCTCAATTGCCACCCACTTTGCAGGTTTGGATGACTTGGGCGCGCGTTGCGCGCAGTACAAGAAGGACGGCTGCGACTTTGCCAAGTGGCGCTGCGTGCTGAAGATCGGCAAGAACACGCCGAGCTACCAGGCCATTCTGGAGAATGCCAACGTGCTGGCGCGCTACGCCTCCATCTGCCAGTCGCAGCGCATTGTCCCGATTGTGGAGCCGGAAATTCTGCCCGATGGCGACCATGATCTGGACAGGTGCCAGAAAGTGACCGAGACCGTGCTGGCGGCCGTGTACAAGGCCCTCAACGACCACCACGTGTACCTCGAGGGGACGCTGCTGAAGCCCAACATGGTCACGGCCGGCCAGAGCTGCCCGCGCAAGTATACACCCCAGGAAGTTGCCCTGGCCACCGTCACGGCGCTGCGGCGCACCGTGCCGGCCGCCGTGCCCGGCGTCACCTTCCTGTCCGGTGGACAGTCGGAGGAGGAGGCCTCTGTGCACCTAAGCGCCATCAATCAAGTGGCTCTGCTGCGGCCGTGGGCGCTTACATTCTCCTACGGACGCGCTCTGCAGGCGTCCGTGCTGCGCGCCTGGGGAGGCAAGAAGGAGAACGTCGCCGCTGGACAGGCCGAGCTCATCAAGCGCGCCAAGGTGAGTCGCTTACTTCCTCTTGCTACCTGCTTCCCATAAGAACCATCACAGCGCAATGGCTAAGCGTTTTTGTCGCTTCTCAATGACTTTGAGTGGATAATTTTCAGCAGAATGCGAATACGTTTCTCTCTGCATTTCCCTGTGCAGGAGTTGTAATTGCCAAGGGGGAGATAGTATGGTTTAAATCTGCACAGCAATGTCTGTTACTGCTTGAGGCATCATTATCAAATCTGGGTTCTTTACTACATTTTCCCATTTGCTTGTGGTTCTTTATACACAAATGCTCATCTCAACTTCGCAGTTGAAATGTTTTCTTAAGCTTTGTGGACAAAAATTGATGTTTTCACAAGTTATTCAGTCACTAATCTCCCCCTTGATAATTGCCAAAATGTGTCCCGCATGAGCTAAATCGCACTCACGGCGAGAAAAAATGAATCATACATTTCCCCATCATAAACCTCATTAGCAGCTTTGGTGTGGATGTGACTCCTTGCACACGTTCGCTCGTCATATTCTTTTTCATCATCGCACGTTTGTTTATTTAATTAGAAGATAAATAGCAGCATTTAGCGACGCGGGCGCAGGAGAGTCGCGCCAGAGAAATTGTATCAAGTGCAGAGAAATAATAAGACCACCTCATTGACTTGTCCCGCGCGCCAATATGCGGAAGAAGACAGTGCAATTCCACGCGCTAAAGGTTACTGTCGGCAAATGCATACAATTTTGGGATAATTCCACTAACAGCAATAAGTTGTGGCGCGCTATAAATAGCCAAGAACATTCCCATGCGCTGAGAATTCGTGGAATTTCACTACTAAACTGCTCTCAGAGTGCAATCATTGAAAAATCAGTGTGAAGGAAATTCCACCTAATATTTTACCACAACTCAATTATAAAGCTTCAGGGTGAAAATTGCCTTGTGTATTTTGCTTTTATGCCTTTTTTCCATCCGCTCAGAAGCAATTTACTCACGAGACAGAAGATAAATAAACTTTTTCCGGATTATTGCAATTCTCGGCTGTGTTAATTTCTTAATTTTTACCACATCTCGATACTTTGCGACGATAAACAGTGGGTTTTCCGGAAATTATTGCGACATTTGTCTCTAAAAGATCAAAACAAAAGGTCTCGAATTGACTTTGAGCGGTGCTGAAGAGAATTCTGATAAAGTGTTTCTGGAATGAGTCCAAAAATGAGTGTGAAAAGATAAGAAAAGCAAGATGATTTCGGTGCTGAATTAACCTCGGGTTGAGAAATGTCTCTCTATTCTTCTACTGTGCGATTGATATAAATAGAGAAGACAGATTTCTATATTTAGCTGCTTATTACTTTTCATAATAAATCAACGCTCAGAAAGACTGTCCGTGTCCGACAGTTTGGATGAATTTGCACAAATTCAATGTCAATTTGGGAGAATGATTTATTTGAAATTAAGAGAAAACTACAAGATTACAATGTTTTGATGCATATGAGAATGTCTCGTGCTTTCACGTGCAGAACATTTCTTGCGTGTGGGCGGAGCATTTCGGTGGGCGGAGTTTGATATGCTATAAAGGTTATATGTTTATAGGCTAATATCCTTTATTTCCTCCCTGTAGTAAAAATTCACCTATTTTCAACATATGAACGCGAATAACAAGATTTAAAAACGATTAAAATACATTTTTAGTGCAAAAGCTCACTGAACGACTGGTGAAGCAGAAAGGCTTTTATGTCTTTAATCACTGTTTATGTGAATTGCACTCACGACGTACAAAATACAATTTATGTCTCATTCAGTGGCTAATGACTAACTCCTGCTTTTGGATAAACAACTTATGCTTGCTTGAGTGAATTCTTTGCTAATTTGTCGAACGAGGTTCATTGCTTGTAGGCAAAACACGGTGAGAGAGAATCAGTTGATCGTGATTTAATCATTTTGTGCGCTGAGTGACGAGAGTCAAATATTGGGGACGCTCTTGTGTATACACATATGTAAACATTGTCACATAAAATCACATAATTGGTGGTGGTAAAAGTCTTTGATGTTCACATGGGTTCTTTGCACATCCCGGAAAAGTCTGCTGATGTACACAGCATCGCACCTCTCCGGTTTTACGCTAGAAACAATTCTAGTTCAAGTCGTAAATCATTGTGTGTTATTTTTTCACTCCATCGTTAATCTGTGCTTCAGAACTGTTTTTTGGCTTAAGAATTGATTCACACATTTTATAATTTATTTACGTCCTACATATACAGGCAAATGGATTGGCTTGTCAGGGAAAATACGAAGCCGGTTCAATTCCCTCTTTTGCGGCTACAACTAGTCTGTTCGTTAAATCTCACGCCTATTGAGCAAAAGACAGAAAGACACGAACACGGAGACGCTGTATTGGAGACCAAATTGGACGACTGGATGAACACACTTTTCTGCACATAGAGTTTGGCGACACACAAGACGCACACAGACAGCAAAATCCACTAAATTATCAATAAACACAACAATATAGACACTTTATCTATGGGTAAAAAAAATCCCCATTGACGTCTTCACACGCTCTTTCAGCCTCTGTATTGAACATTTTAGCACTGCGCCTTACAACTTTTATTTTACAACTATTTTTCCGTATTGCATGTAAATTAGTTTGTTGTCTTTGCTACTTAAGACGATCTGCTGTGTAAGAATTCTGTCGAGAAACGTCCAATTGGTTTGCAAATACACAACAAAATTTTTCTACAATCTGTGTTTCTCTATGAATTGGCTGTTTTTTGTTATCTTCTCGCCTTTGAGTCGCTAATTGATATCCAGAAAAATGCACAATCAAAATTTGCCCAAATTTGGTAAGTAAATTTGCTGTTTTCTTCGCTGGTAGACAATAGATTGAGATGTTTGTCAGTGCCTCAATTAGTGGCCTTTAAGAAGTCTTCAAAGCAAACCCACTAACAAGCCATCACTTATCACTCACTCTAATCATGAAAAAAAGTAGCCTGCAAAAACGCACTTTGTGAATTTGACTCGTGGAAAACAAAGAGATCATTTCCGGACGCTGAAGAGCGAATTTCCGCGTATGCTTTTCCAACGAAAACTCCGCGCAAAATTTCGCTCACACGCCAACGTATAAACAGATGAGATAAATACTGTCGAGGATTATGTTTTAAATGATTAATTGCGCGCTGGTTGGATCTGAATTTCCAATAATCGGGACTCTGTGTAAATAACGCTTGAGCTAATAATACCATCTTTATAATTGTATCCGCCAGAGACAATGGCAGTAAAATGTCATGTCGAGCATATTCGCAAGCTTTGCCGGAGATGCGAGAAAGTGTGCCACTCTTTTAGAGCTTAATTGTTTTTGTATTACTATTGCGGTCTGATGGCAACATTGAGTGTGTATCCTTGCACCAGATAGCAATTCAACAAAGTGTGTTTTCTCTCAATTTCGCCGGGGTGGATCAATCTCGAGCTTCAATGTCACACACAATTGTCTCTCCCAACGACAGTCGAGATGAAGAGCAATTGCACACAATTAACAATTGAAGATTGGAGACTGATAAACCCCTTATCGTGATATTTCGCACATTTCACCAGGAAACAATTGGCATGGAGCGTGAAGGTTTCGTCTAAACGCTTTTCTCTCTCTCTTCCCACTCGATCTCTTCCATGCACAGGCCAACGGTGACGCATCGCTGGGCAAGTACGTCGCGGGCAGCGTCGCTGGCGCAGTTGGAGATGCCACGCTCTTCGTGGCCAATCACGCCTACTAGAGAGATGCCAAATCTTCCACCGCGACGCCAATCGGCGGAGTTTAATGACCCCATCGAGAAATCCAGCGGATTCGTAGGCAGTTTATCATGTTGGCGAGTAGATATCTTTGGCAGAAATTTGTCGCCCGCTGAGGTGGAGAGACAAGTGTCGTATAATTATTTTTAAAATGTGGAATAATATTGTTTAATAAATTATTTAATCAAAAGGACAAATAATATATCATATGGAATTATACTGGTGTTGTGAATTTTCATTTTTCTGCTCATCGAAGGACTTTTGAGATGACTTCGATAGATATTTCAGAAGCTTTCCCTAAAGCTGTAAAATTTTTATCAATTCTTGGGACTTTCAGGTACATATAAATATCTGTATTTTTCTTTTAATCCTGCATGGGAAATTCAAACTCAAATAAACCCGGAAAACATCACCATGGACCAAAACTTTACATTAAATTTAACCTTAGAAGATAATAAAAAGGGAATTTATAGGCAAAAATGTGAAGTCGAGTCATGCTGATCACATTTACAGACAAAAATCAGGTCTGGAATACCAACTGAGAAAACTTCCCGGTCAGAGAATCTGTAGCAAAAACAACCTGGCGCCTCCACTTGGACAAACGCGGCGTGACCTTATTTGCAGAGTCTGTTGGCACAGTGAGTGCCAGAGACATTCCGGGGAGAATTGAGGAAATTTCTAAAGACAGTGAATGGAGCCTTTGATTAATCGCCTGCACCACTGGGTGTATTTTTCCCAGACCCATTATCAGGTCACTGCCTCTGACTTGCCATTGACATCGGCTTCTGCCAGGTCAAAATCCCACCGGCTGGAGAGCGTGAGCGCGCCGCGGGGCGCTCAGTTGTGAGATGCTGAGAAAATTAATCACCAGTGACAATCTGAGGATGGATTCATATGAGACCATTAAGATAATTTGATTGGGAAGTCACCGTCGTTTCTTATGCAATCCGCCAAATTTACCATCAATCCTCAAATGTAATTTAATTACGTTCGAGAACCCGATGGCTTCGGATTCTCGTTGGGGATTTGGCGTCTGTCCAAGGCATGTCATTAAACACACATAAAATATTAAGTCACGCAAAAAGTCGATTCATATTGTTGGCGAGAGAGAAGCACAGATGGAGAACTTTTCCCCCCCGAAAGCGACAGATCATCAGAAGATTATTTTCGGTTACCTTTTCTCTGTGCCTCCTTTTTCACAGTTTCAGTGCATAGTTTTAAATAGCCCAGCCAGCAATTTGTCAGGCTAATTAACCACCCACAGGATGACGATGTGCCTCATGAGTCGCGACGGGAAATGGCGAAAGGATGCTAGCGGATGAATGCATGCAGTTTTCGAGTTTTATCACAAGTTTGCCTTTTATAAGGTGTAACGATTGTTGAGAGCATAAGACTCTCCCTCAGATTGCACTTTTAGAGTTTCCCCCATGGAAACTTTACAGAGAATCTACATTGCAAGGAGGAAAGATTGAAAATTAATTAGAAGTGAAAGTTGTTCAGCTCTCTTTGAAAGCTCGTTAAAGACTCTGCAAGAGTGGAGAAATTATATGTGTACATAAGGTGGCTTTTGTTCTTGTTACAAGACTCCTAAATATAATCGAAGTCAGCTTGATTGGAGAGCTTTTGCACGACAAGGCGGATAATTTGATTTCAGTCCTCAAACGTGCAGAGGCCAAAGACCTGCTTTGTGGCACAGTGTTTGCAGTGGTGCAAATTTCCCTTTCACACATTGCAATCGCTCATCATTTGGCAAGAATTCCAATAAAAATTGAAAAGTCATTAATTCGCCAATGACACAGAAAGAATTCCGCTGCCATTCACTTTTAATTGAATTCCTTCTGCGTTCTCGGGCGGGAGTGTGAGAGTAACTCACTTTGGCCATTGCGTGTGCAGCCCTAAGATGCCCTCGCTGGACAGAGACATTGCGGACAGAATTACCGTCTCCTTCATTTTGTCCCTCTCGTGAGACCGCAGAGACGCATTATCCAAGTGCACGGAGTGAATTACGCTTCTAATTTTACAACCCATCTGACCTTATTCGTCGCAACACTTTAATAATGGCGTGGATTGCGGCGAGGAGAGCGGTAATAGTTTCTTAAGAGTGCACGAAGACACACACATCGCCTCCTCCCCGCGTTGAGCAAACACACCTCGGCCACGGAGGGAGATTTGATTGAAAGTTCCTTGTGGGTGTGGACTGAAAAATGGCCGGAACGTGCCGAGGAAGAGGAATTCAATCGCTCAGTTACACTTCCCCAGATCTCGTACTGGCGGAGCCTTATCAATAATTGAGTGAAACCCTCGCAATCTCACTTAATGTGCTTTTGATTGGAAAGTTCTCCATATGGCATTAGTTTTTCCTCGCGTGAACAAGTAATTGCACGGAGTCGCGAAGAAGGCGAAGCGAAAACATGCCGAATAATGGTGCCTATAAAAAGCCACAAGACATAATAATTGTCATGAATTTCATCTCAGCACTACAGTTCGATGGAGTAATGCATAATTTGTATGGCTGTGAAAATCTGCTGTCGCATTTTCCACGAGCAAAAATAGAATATTTATGCCATCAATATAATAATCATTCTGTGAAATCCACTAATTTCTCATGCAAAAGGAAATTAATTGGCACAAAAGTGTGAGTTATTAAAATTCACCGCAAAACATCCGCGCGCAAAAGCACACGAGCGGTAATTTGTCTCCCTGCAAATTTCAGCGGAACCACTTAAGGTTTCACAGTAAATAAAATAAAGCGAGTCATAAACTTAATATGAACGCGAGTTTAACGTGGGATTCTCAGTTGCGATTACGCACTGCTCAATCTTACATCGAGATTAATCGTTGCACAAGAGCACTCGTTGAACTTTTGCGGAAGACGAGTGCCCGACTATGATTACATATTTCCACTACATTAAAATGTCAAAGGTGAATTTATTGAGGCGGCGCAAAATATGATCGCCAAGAATAAACGCGATATCCTTATTGTTGGTGTGAAAGGTTTACAAGCGTAGAAATTTATTAGTCAAAGCTGAAAGTTCGCCACCTTTGGCGTCGTTGGCAGTCAAATGCGTGCGATTCCATTAAAATTGCGTCAGTTATGTTTCTAATTGATTTGCCACCGAAAGACAATATTCTTAATCTTAATCTAAATCCGGAGACAGATATTTGACTAAGGAAATCCCTCGCCAGACGTCACAATCCGATCTTATCTCAACACATGTTTCTGAGTATTTTGGATGTATTTAATGTGAATATTTTCGACCCCATCGCAGCTTAAATATCATAAATCGTTTTTAGGTCTACTGTTCTAAAAATACCCTCTCTAAATATTTGATATGCGATTGAGAATTAATCCTTTCGCAGTCAAGTCTGTGTTCTATAAACACCGCACGTTTCCAAACCTCATTATTAGATTCACTGTGTGAGGATGTCTTTGGGTGCACAAGCTGCAAAACAAGCGCGATACAATGCTCTCATTTTTCGATTCACTCTCAAGCGTTCACCTGTCTTGTGTGCATGTAATTAACAGGTCTAAAAATAGTCCATCGAATTATGAATGCGCTGTGAAAATCAAAATATAAGGGAAAAAGCCAGAAACATGCGACAAACACACCCGCAATCTCTCACAACTGTCAACAGAGATACATTTCAATCTTATCTAACAACTGTATTTGAGTTCCTTCACCGACACTCGCAAGGGAAGAGACATTGCGATATTCTCCTCGCAGGTTAAGTGATTTTTTTCACACGCCTCATGGGAAATCGGTCGGAAAATGTGCTGGAGCATAAATTGTTTCTACATTACTTTTCCATTTAGTATTAGATTTGTTTTTCTCACAATTGATACCAATTATTCAATTAGTGATAGGAAAACATGGAAATGGTGGTGCTGGATTTTCGTGACGCAATCAAGTGCGTATGAATAAATTAGTAGGAGAGCACTTGGGAGGAAGTCTTTTCCTAGCCGGCATATTTATGGAAATTTATGATAAACTTATTGATTTTGCGCCCTTTCTTGCCTCCCTTCCTTCGCTCGCCATATGTTATAGTGCGGCGGATTTTTGATGACACTCTTGTTACCAAAAATACCTTTAAAAAGCCCATATCGAGTGGCCCAGGAAATAAACATAAAACACCATGATTCTTATGGAAATGTCGTGTAACAGAAGGTGGAGGAGGTCTTTTGCCTGCGCGAAGAAAGGCAAGAAATTTATTACTAAATAAATATTCGGCATTAAAAGCTTATTGATGCTGAAAATGAACAAAGCTTGCATGCTCCAGCAATCCTCTTACACACTACCACATTTGAAAGCTCAACAGATTTCCGTCCCTCGCAGCATCCGCAGCGCGGACGTGGAAATTTACGAGGGAAACCTCTCTTTTTCCCTGCGAAATGGCCCGCCCATGAAAAATCAATCTCATCGAGACGTGATTTAAAGATGTTTCTCCTCTGTAACCCACATTGAGGAGCTTCTTGGGCTGGCAATTGGGGAGCCTCGAGCATTGTGTGGGATACCATTAGAGTGCTTCCAACGCTGGGGAGGCCAAATGAGCGGAGGTGGATGAACAAAGCGCGCTCCATATGGAAAATTTAAATATTTTCCATCTCCGAAGGTGGCAAAGCGTGAGCAGACGTGTCGGGAAATCTCTTATATGCAAATTCATAAGTCCATGGCGCTGAAATTGAGCCGGAAAATCTCTCTAGACTATACTGATATGAAAGTTATCCAATCGATTGCATGTGAATTCTATCTCTGACTCTTGGCAGATGCTTTTAAATTTCCTCCTTGCGACAGAGAAGATCAACACTGAGTCACTGAACAGCCTCCAATTGACAATTGAAGGCGAGAAGATTGGAAGGAAGTGGAGTGAAATGAATGTATTTTTGCGAATGAATAAGCAAATTAAAGATTCATCCTCGGTGGTTGAGTGAGTGAGGATTTTTCGTCTGTGCGAGACTCAAGTCAAGTCATACGTGAGTGTTTTTTCCTACAAGCCTCACGGACGTGATTGTTGGGAGTTGGATTTCCACCCATGCGGACGTGTATTAAGAGCGAGTCGAGACGGATCAGGGAAAATATGATTTAGTACACCCACAAGTGGAGTTTACATTTAATGCATACACATGATGGATGCGAAATTGGGTCACCTTGTAGCGCAGAGCGCTCACAAGAGGCGATTGACAAGGAAATTCACTGAATAAGACACTCGCAGAGCCTC